ATAATATATTTTTTAAAAAATAAAATATTGATGTTCTAAAATTTTATTCCACAATTCATATATTAAAAATCCAAATTTATTAACAAATAAAATTATATAAAAAAAATTAAAAAATTAATTTAATGAGAATTTTAATAAGAAATAAATAATTGAAGAAATAAATTTTAAACAACAAGAATAAAATAATCGGATATATATGCTAACATCAATGTCAAATATATAATTAATATTGGTTCGGGGGCGTTAAAGGGACCAATAATATATATATTTTCTTTATCGGTTAAGGGATCAATTATATATGACCGCTTAACTTGTACAACATTTGTTGAAGGTCCAGTTATGCTATGACAATATGTATATTCTTTTAAGGATTTCTTTTTGCCTATCGATGATCCAATCCTAAAATACATCAAGATTTAAAATAATTAGCCAATTTTTTTGTTATATCATGAAATTGATGTCCATACTTTTAAAAATATAAAATAAATTATAGAAAAAAAAAGAAAAAGAGTAGGGTCACGTATGGTTGGTATATATATATAATATCATACCTAACGGACTTATAGTATATAAACTAAATAAAAAAATATATAAAAAACTCACTTAAATTATATGAAATATGTCGAAGTGAATAGATTTAAATAAAAACTACTATGAAATTGGTTTCGATCAATTTTGATTATATATATATATATATATATAACCAAATAAAACTCGATTTTTTTAACTAATTATCAATTTTTTTGAAAAAAATCAAGTCAAATGATCTTTTTAACTAATTTTTTTTTAAACGAAGTCAAATTATTTAAAATACGCTTTTAGCTTTTTCTCTCTCATTAGAATTTATATAAGCAACAAAGCCACTTTCATATAAAAATAATAAAAATAATCAATCATATAAATTATAATAATATATCTTAAAAAAATAAAGCAATTATGTTCCAAAATTTTATTTTGAAAGTCATATGTATAAAAAAGATTATCAACAAATTAAAAAAGAAAGAACAAACTAAATCTCAACAACCCGACCCTTTAAAAGGAAGAGAAAAAAGAAATGCTAGTTGGGGGAAAAAAATAGCTACGGTAATGGGACCGTGAAGGATCAATTCAGCAGCCCCGCCTTTAAGAAAAAGAAAAAGAAAAAAAGAGAGGCAAGGAAGGAAAAGGGAGAGGGGGGATGTAGCATGAACAATCTAACCTCCGGTTCTTTTATTTATTTTTTTATAATTCTCGTGCTACGCGTTACGATCACACAACCATTATACAAGTATGGTTAACGATTTGTATGGTATGATGTGAGTAGATATTTTGTTTTTGAAAATTAATGTAAATCGAATCTATATATTAAGCGAACTTATTTGATTTATATATATTCATTAACAAGATAGTTTATAATATCGGTATAAAAATTTTGTATTTGAATAATTAAGAAGTCATTTCAAAACATTAATTAAATTATTTTATTTAAAAATATAGATTTTAGAATATGAAAAAAATAACAAATAATTGATGTTATGTGTCTAGATATAATTAATTTATAACAAAACTATTTATATCGTACTCGACAGATTTAGAGTATATAAAATAAATAAATACATATAAAAAAATCTCACCTAAATCACATGGAATATATCGAAATAAATAGATTTAAATAAAAACTACTATAAAATTGGTTTCGATAAATTATGATTTGATATATAATAAAATAAAACTTGTGAATTTTTTAACTAATTATTAATTTTAAAAAATAGAGCGAATTATTTTTTTAAGCGATTATCATTTTCTTAAAAAATTAATTCAAATTATACAAAATACACTTTTAGCTCTCTCTCCCACTCATCGGAATTTATATATGACAAAACTATATATGTATATATATTAAGCGATACTCGTAGTATATAAAACAAATAAAAAATATATTAAAAATGCACTTAAATTACATGGAATATATCAAAGTGAATAGATTTAAATAAAAACTACTATAAAATTGATCTCAATAAATTCTGATTATATATATATATATATATAAAACTCGAGTATATAAAATAAATAAAAATATATAAAAAAACTCACTTAAATTGCATAGAATATATCGGAGTAAATAGATTTAAATAAAAACTATTATAAAATTGGTTTCAATAAATTCTATATATATATATATATATATATATATATATATATATAATAAAATAAAACCTATTAATTTTTTAACCGATTATTAATTTTTCCCTTTAAAAAAAAAGAAAAATAAAGGAAGCCGACCATTAAAAGGGGAAAAAAATGGTACCGATACAATGAAAGATAGTCCAACCCTTTTAAAAAAAAAAAAAGAAGAGGAGGCCGACCCTTCAAAAAAAGGAAAAAAAAAGAAAAAGGAAGCCAACCCGGACCACCCTTTAAAAAAAAACAAAGCAAAGGGACTAATTAATTCATCTATCAAAGAAAAAAGGACCAAGAAGCAACAAAAATTTGACGAATAGAGATAATAAGTCTAGAGTTACGGTGAATGAATAGTTATACTTGCATTTCTTTTAGTTTTTTTTTTTATAATTAATTATAAATTAGTCTCTTTATATTTTAAAGACAAATTAATTAGTCTATTTTGTTTCCAAAATTAATTATTTAGTCTTTTAATTAGCGTTGATCATGCTCAATTAATATTATTTTATTTCAAAAAAAGTCATAGTTGCTCATCAATCCTTTTATTCTTTATGTTTTTCTACTTAAAATAGCAAAAATAAAATAAAATAAAAATAATAAAAAGATTAAGTTACAAGATAATTAGAAAATATAAGGATTAAATAATTAATCTTGAAAATAAAAAGGACTAATTAATTTTTCTTGAAACCGAAAGACTAACCTATAATTTACTCGTCGTTTTATTCATAATTCGATCTTACAAAACAAAAGGGAAAAAAATTACAACCTCAAATTAGTCTTCGACCTATAATTTTTCCTCCAACCTATATTTTTTAGCCGGATCCCTAATGTATTTAAAAATCTTCAATATGATCATTCCATCAACAAATATGTCTTTGTCTATACACTGGGATCCAATCAAGAAAAGACTTGGTCATATGTGTTGACGAAGAATCTAATCGAGGATTCTTGAATACATCGAGCACCTATTTTGTTAAAATTATAAATTGGAAACTCAAAAAAAAAAAAACAAAAAAGTTATTCTCAAACAAAAGAAAAGAAAAAGAAAAACAACATTTGATCCTGTCTTAATCAAACGCATAAATTATAAATTAGTACCTCTCGTTTTGAGAAATAAATTAATTAGTCTTCATAATTTTAAAAACTAATCATTTAGTTTTTTATGTTTTAATTCCGTAAATAACTTAGTCATTTTATTTTTTTGGTTATATTAGTGATTTTTTTTTCTAAATTGTTCTTCTTTTGATGCTCTATTTCTTTTCTTCATCCACTTTTGTTTTCTCTCTCTCGTTCAATCGAACATTTTTAAAAAACAATAAGAAACAAAAATTACTAATTTAATGAAAAACTAGGAGCATTTATTATTCGGTAAAATCAAACATAATCAAATATCAACTTGATTTGATTTTAACTAAATAAATAAATCTAATTATTTTTTATTTTTCAGTTTTGATTCGATTTTTGAGGTTATGAGTTCATTTTAAATAGGAAACTAAAATTTATTTATTTTTATTATTTAAAGTTTTAAAATAATGAAAATAAATAAAGAAAACTCAATACCTTAACCTTATTATAAGTACATGATGGATTGAAGGTGTTTTTGATCTATTTATAATATTTTAAAAAATTTAAAAAATTTCAAAATAAAATTTAAATAAATACATAAACAATTTGGTTTAAACCAAAACCAAAAAAAACTAGTTACTATTCAATTCGGTTTTTAATTTTGCAAGTTGGTTAACCAAAATATTACAAAATTGAATTGAAAAATTTGTGAAAAACTGAGGAAAGAATTAAGTTATTGAAGGAATTAAAATATAGAAAATAGGAGGACTAAATGATTAATGTTTAAAAAGAAAGCGACTAATCAATTCATTTTCCAAACGAGAGGGACTAAGTTATAATCTACTCTGATCAAATTGGGGAAGTTAATGTGGGACCCCAACAAAACCTTAGTTGAAAAAACAATCATCCGGAATGGTCGGGATTTGGAAAATCCGCCACCAAAACTACGCGTTTTTAGCTGATGGTTCTAACTTCTAACCCAACACAACAGCGAACAGGAGCCTGTCTGCTTATTTTATTCTGGTTAGATACCCCCATAGCAGATAATTTATCTATAAACAAAAGGCAAGACTTTTGCACGTACCAAAAAGAGAGAGAGAGAGAGAGATTCATGACCCTCTAAAACATAGTTATGATTCTTTATCATGCCTACTTTTCTTTCTTCTTTTGCAGCTAAATAAATCTGGTAAACCAGTCACTATGCTTTAACTTTGGTCAAGATCTAAACTTTCTGTTTATTTACTAACTTTGTCTGCAAGGGCAGACCTTTTTTTTTTTTTGTTAATTTCTGCTTTTGGGTTGTTGAATCTTGAATTTTTCTTTGTTAATAGCTATTCTTTTGATCTAGCAAGTAAAGGGTTTTTGGTATCTTTCTTTGTTGTTGTATTAATAGTGGATTTAGTCACTGATCGAGAAGGTTTGACTATTTGTGGGATTCTTTATCTGTTGTATTTTGTTGAAAAACTCTTATCTTTGCCGTGATTTGTTGAATGAAGGTCAATCATTTTGTATTTGCAATTTGAGAAATGTTTTAGAAGCAGAGAATTTCAAGAATTTGTGTGGTAGTTGCTTCAACTTTGCTTCTATTTGTTGATCTTTTTTTTCCATAAGCTGCTGCTGTTCAAGCTTTCATTTTAATTTGGAAAATATAGGGAGTGAATTGTTTAGTATTTTGCAGTTCAAATCAGTTATGTACTGTATTGGTACTGTCAATAGGATTAGATCTTGATGTTGAGATTAGTGGGAGTGGCTAGAAGTGATTGAGTGCTGGAGAGATGGGTAATAATTGTGTAGGACCGAGCATTTCCAAGAATGGTTTTCTCCAATCGGTTTCCGCTGCAATGTGGCGAAATCGATCGCCAGATGATTCGATGTCTCAGACCACTAATGGAGAGTCTGTCCATGAGCATGAGGCTGCAACTAGAGAACCTGAATCGCCTTTGCCAGTTCAAAGCAAACCCCCAGAACAAATTACCATGCCAAAACCTGAAGCACCGGAGAAACCAGAAAAATCAGAAGAGCCTGCAAAACGTAAGAAACCCCCTCAAGTGAAGAGGGTGTCTAGTGCTGGGCTTAGGACTGAGTCTGTTTTAAAAACTAAAGCTGGTAATTTAAAGGAGTTCTATAGTTTGGGAAAGAAACTAGGACAAGGGCAATTTGGAACCACATTTCTTTGCGTGGAGAAAGCAACAAAGAAAGAATTTGCGTGCAAATCGATTGCTAAGAGGAAGTTGTTAACTGATGACGATGTGGAGGATGTGAGAAGGGAAATTCAGATAATGCATCATTTGGCTGGCCACCCGAATGTTATATCTATTAAAGGGGCTTATGAGGATGCTGTGGCAGTTCATGTTGTTATGGAGTTATGTGCTGGTGGTGAGCTCTTTGATAGGATTATTCAGCGTGGGCATTATACTGAAAGAAAGGCAGCTGAGCTTACGCGAACTATAGTTGGAGTGGTTGAAGCTTGTCATTCACTGAGTGTGATGCATAGAGACCTTAAACCAGAGAACTTTCTGTTTGTCAACCAAAAAGAGGACTCGCTTTTAAAAGCAATTGACTTTGGTTTGTCAATTTTCTTCAAGCCAGGTATGGTTTTATCTTTGTACTTTCAGTGGCTACTGGAATTAATCTTGTGTTCTTTTCATAACGATTTTTTCTACTGGACAATTTGCTGGCTAATTTCTATAGTCATATGTTTCATCACGCAAGTATACCACAATCCCTTATGCAAGACACATCACCAGAAAATTGTGTCCTGGATATCCAGCCAATTACTTCATGTACTCGTCAAAGATTGAATTTTTGCAGAGAACTGCCATGTCCTAGCATTCCCTGTAGAACTGTGCTTGAATTTTGATTATCCTTGATTTAAGCATAGAACTGTAGCACTAACTGTTAGAATTGTAGCTTTTCTGTGTTCTATTTTATTGTTCCAATATCCTTCATTTTTGTCAGTATGTCATACAAACAGAAGCCATAGATTTAACTCTAAAGAGTCCAGTTGAAAAATTGATGGTTCTGTTTCCAGGAGAGAGATTTAGCGATGTGGTTGGAAGTCCATATTATGTTGCTCCGGAGGTTCTGAAAAAGCGTTATGGTCCTGAAGCAGATGTTTGGAGTGCTGGAGTCATCATTTACATTCTGTTAAGTGGAGTGCCACCCTTTTGGGCCGGTGAGGATTTGTCATTTGCTAGCTTCTTGTTCCTGTATATTGTCTAAATGTATTTAAATGGAACTTAAATTTTGCTTGTCATTGTTGTCCAGAGACTGAGCAGGGGATATTTGAACAGGTCCTGCATGGTGATCTTGACTTTTCATCAGACCCTTGGCCTAGTATCTCTGAAAGTGCCAAGGATTTAGTGAGGAGAATGCTTGTTCGAGACCCCAAAAGGCGCCTAACTGCACATGAAGTTCTGTGTGAGTCATGATTAATCTTTTTTTCTTACATCTTTATTACTGATAGTTACTTTTGATCATTGCTTGAATGAAAAAGAAATTAAATGCTTGACTGACAAAATTTACCCAGTAAAAAAAATCGGTTTGTTCTGAGCTTTAACGCATGACATGTCAGACGGTTACTATAGCATGAAAAGTGGGCATCCTTCTATGTAGATTTCCTATATTTTGAATGAAGGAGAAACCTGCATTCAGAATGGTTGTACTTTGTCTTTATATCCTCAAGGGAATATTAATGTGATTGGTATCTCCATTAGATAATTATCTAGAAAAAAGAATTAAAGACAGCTAGCTTTTATCCAGAACTTCTTTGGAAACCCAGGTTGGTTGGCTTGCTGTTTCTCTTTTCATTTAATGTCAGAAAAACTAAATATGAAAATGAAGACCTAATCATTTGTTATCCAGGTAGGATTTTCTTTCATCTCTGATGTGTGGACCAAACTCCTTGCAGGCCACCCTTGGGTGCAAGAAGATGGTGTAGCTCCTGACAAGCCTCTGGATTCAGCTGTATTAAGTCGCCTGAAGCAATTTTCTGCTATGAACAAGCTCAAGAAAATGGCTCTTAGAGTAAGTTTCCTGATGTGCAAGACATGATGTAGCAACAAACCTTGAAGCATTTGAATATGATATAGCTGGTCAATGCTTAAAATCTGGGGTTGAAATAACTATTCAGATGTTGGGTGTCTTTAGTGCAGGAATTTAAAGCAGAAGTTTCCGAGGATATAGAATGATGGATTTTTCTTTTTCCTCTTACAGGTCATTGCAGAGAGCCTATCTGAAGAAGAAATAGCTGGCTTAAAGGAGATGTTCAAGATGATAGACTCTGACAGCAGTGGTCAAATCACTTTTGAAGAACTCAAGGCTGGATTAAAAAGAGTTGGAGCTAATCTTAAGGAATCTGAAATTTATGATCTAATGCAAGCAGTGAGTATCATAGGAAGTTTGGATTCAATAACTATATTGTATAGACAGGAAACAAACATTCGAGGAGGGGATATTCTAAACGTGAACTTAATGTATTTCAACAAAATAACCATGAACTCTATACTGTCAACCTAGAAAAAGAACTGCTATAACTTATTCATTCTTTTTACATGATTTAGGTCTAGATTTGGTGTACTTCATTGTTTGCAGAAGAGTTCGATTACGATTGCAGATTGCTTAATTCCTAAAAGATGAAAGATATTTATGCTTTAAAATAGTCTTTAACCTATGGTGTACTCTTAAATTGCAGGCTGATGTAGACAATAGTGGCACTATTGATTATGGGGAGTTCATTGCTGCAACACTTCATCTAAACAAAATCGAGAGAGAGGATCATCTATTTGCAGCTTTCACATACTTTGATAAGGACGGAAGTGGCTACATTACTCCAGATGAGCTCCAGCAAGCTTGTGAGGAGTTTGGATTAGAGGATGTTCGCCTTGAAGAAATGATCAGAGAAGTTGACCAGGACAATGTAAGTGATAGGTCTATTGTTTTTATAAGGTTCCATTTTAAGTGAACTAAGGATGAGAAGGGATGAAAGACCTCATTGATTTGCCATGGCATTACTGGTCCTGTATAGACTTTATGTGAATACAACTTGGTCCACTCATATCTTTGATCAAGAATTTTAAATCCACTCCTATTAGTTTTCTTTCGTGGTTTTGAGACATTGGAAATGCCAGAGTGGATAAGCTATTTGGATTCTGCGTTGCATCCATTACTGCATATATATATATATATATATATATATATGAACGAATTCTATCCTGTCTATTTTCCAAATGTGTCGAGGTTATAATCATCGATGGCTTATAAATTTTGCAGGACGGACGCATAGATTACAACGAATTTGTGGCCATGATGCAGAAGGGAAATGTAGCAGGTCCTGCAAGGAAGGGCCTGGAGCATAGTTTCAGCATTAATTTTAGAGAAGCTCTCAAACTTTAGTTGCAAAGGCAATGTGGAGGTTCTGTTTAATTTTTTCTTCTTTTTTCTACAGACTAAGGTAGGATAGTTAAGAGCATTAGATGCTCCGCTTTGAGAAGCCGGCAGGCCTTTCTGTGTACACGCAGTGTTTCTTTGAGTTTTCCATTTTGGTCGGAATCTACCTTACAGTCTTTGTAACAGTATTTGAGGTAGAAAGAAAACTCGTATGCTCCTTGTGTTTACTTCTTCAGAACCCAAATATGTTGGCACAGCATTTTTGTGTCCTTCGAAATGCATTAATTTGTTTCCTCCTTGGTTTTAACTTCCTCGCCATATTTGATATTTCCTTCTAGTTTTTCATTCCCATTTGTTTATTTAAAATAAATTCAAGATTTTTTGCATTGAATAGCATTTTAGAAAGTGTTTGATCGAAAGGAATGAATTAAGGGTGGAAGTAAGAGTGAACATAGGAATATAAATTTGGCTACATGGTATAATTCTTTTAAAATTTTTTATTAAATCATTTGAGAATCGGTTTTTTCATTTTCAATTTCTGATTAAATTTTCATTAACTATTTTTCATTTAAAATTCTGTTATTTTGTTAGGTTTTTATCAATTCTAACCTGTAAGTTAATTTTTTATAGATAATTAAAAAAGAAATTGAAATAAAGAAACAAGTTTTGGAATAAAAAACAAAACATTTACAAGATTTAACATATTTTTAACTGTTAAAGAAGTTAAAAAATTAATTAAGTGTAAGCCATGTGTATTTTCACTATTAAAATTAATCGGAATCTAACAAAAAGATTTAATTTTATAATTGCTCCATTATAAAACACATTATTTTGACAACTATTTCCCATTTTGTGGACCAGCCCCACCCCATAAAATTAATTATGTGAAAGATTATTCTAAAACACACAACAATTAATTTATTATCTCACAATCAATTAGTATCTTAAAGCATTTAGAGTTTTGAAAAAAAAAATCCATAAAAAAATAAAAATAAAATCAACATCAAAATCACTAGTAAATTATAAAACAATCTTTTTAATTTTGAAAAATAAATCTATTTGTCTTGTTTGTTTCAAATACTGATTATTTCTACTTAAACTGTAAATCAGTCGCTTTCACATACTAAGGACAGAAGTGGATACAGATGGATTTGTCTTGTTTGTCTTTTAATTAACGGGATAACATTTAATTTAATATTATTTTATTTTAAAAAATATTTTTTTATCAATTTTTTTATAATATTTATTTATTTTTAAAATAAAAAGCAAAACATAAGTATAAAATAGATAAAATAAATAAAAATAATTTTTAAAATAAATAAAAAATAATTAATTTGTTTCTTAAAACTAAAGAGATTAATTTATAATTTACTCATATAACAGTCCCTTGAGGAATAAAAACCAGTAACTTGTGAACCGAATTTCTTCGTTCTTTGACTCCTTAGACCTAAAATTCTACGTACAAAATAACTGGCCATGCTTCGCTTGTCACGCTTTCAACCACACCGCTATAACATTTTAGCAAAGCTCTTTTTTTAAAAACAAAAAAGGAAAATACACCATAATACAGAAACTGTGTGCGTAACGGCGTATAATACGTACGAATACTGATATACTATTTTCCTCTCTCTCTCTCTCTCTCTCCCCAATAAATAAATAAAAACCCTAATTTGATTTCTTTTTTAGCCCCTTTTTCTCTCTCTACAATAAAACATACGCTACCTTCTCTCTCTGTCTCTTTCTCTCTCTACGGTAACCCTAATTTCGCTGGTCTACATGGCGGCGGCGGCGGCGCGGGATAGAAATGAAAGGCCTTATGAAGACGGGGGAGGTCACGGGAAGTTTCGAAAAAGGCCGTTTCGAAGGAGTGCGCAAACGACTCCGTATGATCGTCCTGCGGCGGCAATTCGAAACCCTAGTGGGAGTAGTAATGGTTGGTTGTCGAAATTAGTGGATCCGGCTCAGAGACTCATTGCTTCTGGTGCTCACAGGCTTTTTGCTTCTTTTCGTAAACGACTACCTGCTCCTCCGTTGGTGCCTCCTCTGTCGGTGCCTCCTCCGTCACAGCCGCCGGAGACGGAGAGGGAGACAGGTTGGATTTTGTTACTTGTGTTTCGAAAATGTTTTCTTTCTGTCGAGTATTTGATTTTTTGCTTTGAAATTGGTTTATTTTGAGGGAATTAAGTGCTTAGTAGCAATCAGGGAATATTTATTGTCTTCTTGTAGGATTAGTGTAGTTAAGTTTTTGATTTGGTGAAATTCGGGAATTAGGGTTTTTGGATCAACAGAATTGTAAATTAGGGTTTCCCATTGTTTGTTAGAGTGGATTAATAAATTTGTAGTTAATGACGCTTACTCCTCCTTAACTGTACTGTAGTTGGTGGATTAAAATTTGTAGTTAATGTTTGTTAAAGGAGCGAATTTGTTCTCATCATGCCTTGTGTTGTGTTCTTGTAAACAGAGGCAAACCGGGGAGCAATGGATAAGCAAAAGGGAACGTTTTCCACAGTATGTCTGATTGCTTTTGTATTTCTCTTTGCTTCTGTTCAGTTTTGCTTCTGCTGATTGTAATTGGTTATACGATTAATTTTGATTATTAATGACTTGGGGTTGTGTTGTTGGAAGTGAAGGTTTGGGGAAAATGTCTATTGTTAGTCGAGGGTCTAAGTCCAAATTTCGAGTGGTTATTTGAAATATTTTTTATATTGGTTGATAATTCTGTTCAGGTTGGTAGTTGCAGAAATAGTTATTAAGAGAAAATGCATGTCTGCCTTTTCCATTATAACGTAGATATAAATATATTATAAGATTTTTACATGATTATGGATGCCTTTGATGCCCTGCTTTTTAAAATTTTTTTTTTTTTATACCAACACAAAATGGATCAAGGGGACTTTGAAAACTGATGTTTGTGAACTTTGAGACTTTAACTAGGTAATGATGAACTTGCTTTATCTTTTTACAAGTACTATTCAGGTATGCTATATTATTAGACATGAAATTTGCAGGATTAAAGAGTGAGGTGGAGAAATAGGTGTGATTAATTGTGTATTTCTTTTCTTTTCTTATGAATCTAGAATTAGTTATAGAGAAATTTTCTCATGGATCAAATAGTAAATTAAATGTATATGCTAAACTATGGATTATGAACACTTTGATCTATTTTCATGGATGAATTTGCAATATCTTCATATTTTTGCACTTATGTTTTATGTATATTCATAATATGATTTACCTGGGGAAAATTTGATTTATATGCATGTGCTGTTTCCAAAATTCTCTTAAAGGATCGTTTTGAAACACATGGAGTAGCCGTCAATGGATGCAGTGGTCCAAGTAACAGTTCTGATACAGGGGGTTTCTGAACTGGAAGTAATTCTAAAGCAGAAGACTTTTACCAGGCAAGTTACTGTGGGATCAAATTCTAGCGACTTCAAATTAGTTGTATGCACGGTGGAAACTTTCTTCATCTGTATATTTATTGTAATGTCATAATTCCTTGGTCGTTCTGTATGTTAAATTTTTTACAAGGAATTTTCTTTTCATATTCTCTGTAATAATGAAGGATAAGAATTCTTTAGTATGATGATGAGTGATGCAAGGCATAAGTTTTTCTTCTTTAACTTCTTCACAGGTCTGAGATTGATCGATTGACGGCCCTGCTGCAATCCAGGAATGTTGATTTTCCTACTGGAAGCGAAGAGAAGAAATCTGAAGTGATTCCTTCAAGAGCTATGATCTCTAAAGGAAAAAAGGAGTTATTGACTACCCCCGTTAATAATGGGTTTGAGAGCAACTTTAATTTGACACCCATTGTCGGCTCAAGTGTAGGAGAATTTCTAGTGCTTAATCTTTACTTTTATTCTGCTCACTTGCAATCATTTTTTGATGGTTTACTGTGATTCTCTTGTTTTATAGATGTAAGAGTGTGCATCTCATGATGTGTATACACATGCATTTATGTCTTATATGCATACCTGTGCATGCACATAGTTACTTGGCTTTGCACTGATGCATACCTGTGCATGCACATTTAGTGGCTTGTCACCCTGGCTCTCGTTTCACATAGAAATATGGTTTGGTGAGATTCTCTTGTTTTATGGAGAACATATGTATGTGCATCAACGTGATGTGTGAATACATGCATTTATGTGCATATGCACACCTACACATGCATCTAGTTATATGGTTTGCACTTTGTCTCTTGTTTCACATTTAGCGGCTAAAATGTCTTCAGGTCCTTGATGAGGACGCTGGTTCACCTACAGAGCTTGCAAAAGCTTACATGCGTAGTAGGCCTTCAAAAGTATCACCATCAATGCTGGAATCACGCAGTCAGGTATTAAGGGAAAGTTCAACAGCTCTGATCAATCATACATTTACACCATTATCACCAATGATGTCAATTGCGCCACGTTCTTCTGACCGTGCTGGGTTTCCTGAGAATGGTTTTGTGACACCCCGATCCCGAGGTAGATCTGCTATATACAGTATGGCTCGAACACCTTATTCTAGAGTTCATGCAACAACTGGCCTTCAGGTTGGTATGATATGAAAATCTGTTTCTGTTTGAAACTGTGATTTAGATTTTGATTATTTACTCATTTTTTTCTCATTTTCCAGTGTACTGGAACAACAAGTGATGCTTTCGCTGGACCGTCATCTTCATCTCAGAACACATGGGAGAACAACAGATTTTCTGGATCTAAACAAGGGGTATGAGTGCTGAAATCAATCATATAATATTTGTAGACAGTTAGAATTCCATTGAGCATAATGTAACAGGATTAGTTTATTTCTTTTTTCAGGCTTTAAAGCGGAGGAGTTCTGTCCTGGATAATGATATAGGATCTGTTGGTCCAATACGCAGAATTCGTCAGAAATCTAACCTTCTGCCTACTTCCAGTGCTCGTTCTATTCGTGGAACTGCTATTGGTTCTAATGTTGTGAAAAAACTATCCTCAACAGAGAAGCCAGTTTTGGTGGGTGAATCATTGAAGGATAATGGAAATAACAATGTCCATGGAGCTGGTTTTACCTCTGTGCCCTCCAAGTCCAGTGAGATGGCATCAAAGATATTGCAGCAGCTTGATGTGTTGGTTTCATCAAGGGAGAAGTCTCCTGCCAAGTTGTCACCATCCATGCTACGGGGACCAGCTCTTAGAAGCCTGGAGGATGTAGATTCTTCAAAGTTGCTAGAAATTGTTAATGATAATAACAAGTTGGATGCTAAGCACAACACCTTGCCACCTGATGCAAGAGAGTCTTTGTTTAAAAAGCATGGCAAAATTGAAGAAAATGGTCCAAGCAAACCCATTGTTCCTTATGAAAAGGCTGCCTCAGCAGTAAATGGTATGGATACCACAAGTTCAATGAAGAATGATGTGGCCGGGGTCAAAACAACAGCTTTTTCAGTGATGAGCACCACTGCCCAGTCCCCTTTACCGAAGAAAAGGGCTTTCCAGATGAGCGCACATGAGGTATGTGTTGCATCCTGTTTATATTTGATATTTGCACCGAAGTCATATCAGCCCCTTTATAGTCTCCTTTGTACATTCACTTTTTCTATATTTTCTTCACTTATCACATCTGGAATTACTTTTTTTCATTAAAATAGTTCTTTTTGCTTGTCTGTGGACCGAGTTACACCACAAGAGGGGGAGGGGATTGACTTTTCTTCTTCCTCTACCTCTGGTCTTAGGTGTGATAGAGCAGTCCAAGTGACTGAATCATGCTTCCGAGATTCAAATTTTGTATTTTTCTGTGGTTCTAACCATCTTCCACTCATCCAAAGTTTCGATTGAAGTTGGGTATGCACTCTTGTTTTCCTTTTGGGTAATCAGGAAAACATTCATCTCTGTAGTAATATAGGCTTAGAAAAAAGCAATAATCTTCATTGGAATATCCTGCATCATACAAGGCATTAAAATTGGTTTGTGGGTGGTTGAGTGAGTTAAGGTAGCCACATGCTTTTTTTGGATGCAAATTTCAGATAAGTTCTTCAACTTTCAGATAATACAATAGTTGCAAGTCATTCCATCACTTTTTGGTTGCTATGATAGGCTCCCGTTCTAACTACACACAGTAGCTAGTTGAGTTCAAAAAACTACATTTCCATCCTTCATGTGTAGGTATAGGCACTTTCAGTCCTTCAACTCTAAGTTTTCCAATGATTTAACCATTAGATCATATAAATTGTTTCTACAATTTAAACTAAAAACTTTTATCGAATTATATCCCCATTTAAACTGAAAATTGGGGTTGATGGTGTTCATGTGTTGTGCAACAGGATAAATGGAGATTAGTCCCATTAGATGTATTTTTTTTTTTTTGGAAACGTAACGTAATGGAAAAAAATTGAAAGGAATCATATGACACTGCATGATTGTCCCCATTTTGATTGTTTTGATTTTTTTAAGTTGTTTAAAATTAAAATTATATTATGAAGATAAAATAACAACATATAATTTGCAATAACTTAGCCAGTCAAGACTCATTTTGATTCAATATACAAACTTTTTTTTTTCCGCAATTTCAACTAAAATAGTTTTATCCAATTTATTTAATGCAATCTGAAGACCAAAAAAGAAGAAGTGATAATAGTATATGATCTTGGTTTTACTCTTTTTTGCATGATTCAACTTTAAATTTATCGCTCATGTGTACAGGCGAATGTGATTATTTGTAATAAATTGCCATGGCATTCACCCTTAGAGCTCCAAATAACTTGCAGCAGTGGCTGAAAGCCACCATCTAGTTGTTTTTAAATTCAGTATGTTCTATGTTCTTGCACTAGCATGTGAATTTTGTTGTTCTGTTTTTTAGGATTTTCTGGAGCTTGATGATGATGACTACTCCTGTGGGAGTGCGTCTGGTATGTTGGCTGAAGGGAGAGAAAAGGTCGATACCAAATTGTTAGAAAAGAAGACCATTGGTGCTGAGGCTGTTGCAGTGGAGAAATCTTCAGTTCATTCTGAAGACTGCTCCCCATCAACTTCTATATTGAACCAAAAAAGTGCAGGGATTGATGGGTCTGTGGTTGCTGAAAAGAGCAGTGGCTTTGCATCTCCAGCAGCACCATTGCCTGCCATGACTGATAAGCAGGCTGTAGTAAACAACAAGTTAGCTTTAATATCTGATGAAACTGCCCTTCCAAAGGACTCAGATGCTTCTCCTAGCCCTGAGGAGAAGGTAGCTTTGCCCAAGGAACCGAATGGCACCTCTCAAACATTCCATTTTAGCAATAAAACTGGTGATAAAGTTGCACCATTTGCATTTTCTTCCCCAGTCATGAGTGAACCATCTGGCCCAAAGTTGGGTCTATCATCAAATGCCAAACCAGAGGGCTTCAGGTCAGTAGATATGTGCTAGTATGTTTGTATGGTTTTTATTGTCATGTCTTTTGAAAAGTGTTAGGTCAATATATGTGTGCTATAATGCTAAATGCAGAAATTATGGGTACATATATATGTTGTAACTCGTAAAAAAATAAATAAACCACAACTATTAGTGGGCACACCAAATCGATGTTACCTTGATCTGGTTCAGTTCCTTTTTTTCCTTTCACGTCAACAATACTTTGGCATTTCTTGTAAAACTTGAGACATTGAAGTTTCCCTGATCTTTTTATGGATTATTAACTTTTTTCACTTTGCTACTGTGCAGCTTTATGCCTGTTGCTACTGGTGCTACTGAGTTGGTGACCAGAGACCCTGGATCAGATAAAGCTGATGATAAGAACAGTTTGAAGACTGGGGGTTCCTTCAAGGCACCTGAAAATGTGGCTTCTACATCAACTTCATCGACTGGAAGTGTATTCTCATTTGGCATCACCCCCAATAGTTCAAATCTGAATAATGGATCTCTTGCTTCTGCCCCATCTTCATTTTCCTCTCCCAGTCCACCTCTACTTTCCAGTAACCTTACTGGTCAAAATTCGTCCAGCATCTCTGCCAACAACCTTGCTAGCAGCAGTACTAATGCCAGCACTGCAATTTTCGCAACTGCAAACACTAACGGGAATAGCAACTTCTCTATTTCAGCACCAGCACCAGCACCAGAACCAGCACCTTCCTTGACGGCTACACCTGTTTTCAAATTTGGGTCTTTCCCATCAACTTCAACCTCAACAATACCATCTACTACTGATGAAACAACAGACGCCAAGACGAAAGAACCAAACGTTGGCAACACAACTAATGCTCCTCTCGGTGCTACTTCTTCTGCAATTACAAGCACTGCTGGCAGCATTTTTGGTGGTACATCTTCTGGAATTACAAACACAGGCAACAATATTTTTGGTGAGACCACTGTAGTTTTCGGTAAAGAAAATAGTGGTTTTGGTGGTACATTCCCTGCAGTTACAAGTACAGGAAGTAGCGGTTTAAATGCTACATCTTCTGCAGTTACAAGCTATGGAAGTGGTCCTTTTAGCTTCAATACTGGTAGCACATCTTCAACCGCTACTAATCTGTCTCAGGGTTTTAATCCTTTTAGTGCTGGCAGTACTCTTTCTGCTGCTGGAACTGGTCTGGCAACTTCAACACAGAGCATGCCGATGCACTTTAGTTCCCCTGCATCAACTCCTTTTGCTTCGACTGGGAGTACAGCCTTCTCTTCTGGCAGTTCCACGCTTGGGTCTTCTACATCTAAACCGTTCAGTTCTGGTCCTATATTTGGACTTGGCTCTTCTACTTCCTCTTCAGAGTCCATCTCTGTTAGCTCCACCGGCAGCCCTGCATCAACTGTATTTGGTTCCAACTGGCAGGCCCAAAAATCTAGCGGATTTCCCACATTATCCTCTTCTTCCTCAACTCCTTTTGCCTTTGGAGCAACTTCTAATGCTGTTACGAGCAGCAGTTCATCAATTGGGTTTTCCCCCAGTGTCTCATCAGGCCCCGTTTTCCCCATCAGTTCACCTGCATCTGCTACTCCATCACAGTCCTTGTTTGGTAACCCAAGTTCTGGCTTCGGATTTGGTTCATCTCCAACTGGTAATAATGACCAAATGAGCATGGAGGACAGCATGGCAGAGGACACAGTTCAGGCAACCATGCCTTCAGTTCCTGTATTTAGTCAACAACCAGCTACACCTGGCCCTATTTTTGGTTTTTCAACTCCACCAGGAGGGAATCAATTTGCTTCTTCGGGTCCATCAGGTGCAAATCCTTTTCAATTTGGAAGCCAATCAAATCTGGCTGCACCACAGAACCCAGCTTTTCAGGCTTCTGGTAGTCTGGAGTTCCATGCTGGAGGAAGCTTCTCATTGGGTGCAGGTGGTGGTGACAAGTCTGGTAGAAAAATTGTCAGAGTCAAAAAACAACAACAGCGCAAGCGGTGAAGACACCATAGGACTGAAGTTTGGTTTTGTTGTGCGAGTTCCTGGTTATTTGTGGTGGAGAAATAATAATTATAACGATGAGAGATATACTCCATGATTTGCCTTTTCCAAGGTCACCCACCGATTGTTCGGTGATTCGAAGGTAAACCTACCTTTTCAGGCTCTGGAGATGTGCCTGATTGTGCCTACTTCGTTACAATTTTCTTGTTTGTCAGGATGAATTTGTGAGGTTGAAAGGTGGGCTTATGTTGCAATTTTGTACCGTCTTCTTAGCAAACCTAAGAAATTTTACAATGTACTACTACTAGTGTAGCTCAACATAGGATTATAGTTGGGTAAATTTGTTTGTCCCCATGTTGTCTGTACTCTGTCACTTGTAACATAAACAGAAAATCATATCGATTTGTTTAAGGTGTCTTTTCTGGTTCTGACCATCTTACTACTTGTTTCCTAATATTACTCTCTCTTGCCTTGTTTATTAGCGCTGGAAATTAACACAAATCATTTTTTTTCCTTCTAACTCTAACCATAGTTTCTAAATACTGGCCGTTATTTAACAGATTCGGGTGTGTTTGTTACCCTTAATTATAAAGAGTAGAACAACATTTCATACAATTAACGGCATTATAGGTCGTTCTTAGATAGCATTCTTATTTTACTGTTATTTTATTATTATTTGTGATATTAAATTATGTAAAATATCATTATTTTTTTATTATAAAAATTCAATTATTATTATATAATATTAAATAATTAGAGATATTATTATGCTTAATTGGTAATACTATTAAAAATATAGCTCGCTAATGTTAATTATTGTGTACCACGATAAGTCTGATTCGCAATTGGAATTTGGATCGTTTTTACAACCATGTCAATAATTTAAAACTATGACACTGACTCTTTAATCCCCAAGAGTTCAAGGTTGACAATATCAAATTGAGTGCTAGCTATCATCCATGAATTGTAAGGTTTTTAAAGGATCTTAGAGTGTATATCATCCAGTCATGCTTTAATGTATGATAAAAGATCTAGGCATAGTGTCCAACAGTCTGAAAAAAGACGCATAAAATTCTGGAAGGAAGATTGAAGTAAAACGACAAGCACAAAACGCAAACCACTATAAATCCCTTTGAAGTCGTGGGATTAGCAAACAGCAATCCTACATTAGTGAACCACAACCAAAGCAACAAGATGAGTAACAATAGGAGAAGGGAACGATCAGAATTGAACTCATTTTGTTTTAACAGATGTAGCCAACTTAGTGAAGGGATTCGGTTATATGACTAGTAGTATCTGGCTCCAGAATTATTGTAAACACGGCCCTCAGGGTACGGAACCCTTCCCTCGTTTCCTTGAGCTCTTCCACCCCCACTGTACTGAGTTCGTTCCCGGTAGGACTCAAACTGACTGCTGGCATAACCCCGATGTGTTTCCCCGGAAATGCCAGCTCCTGCAGCTGCTGCACCACTATAGCCACGGGTATCCTGCAAACCTGTGTTTGGGTAATGGCTCATGCTCGCTTGCTGGTACTGACTTAATCGTGCTTGTGATTCCTTTCGAAGGAACTCTTCTCTTCTATTGGCTTGTTGAACTCGAACTGCTGAAAGTTTCTCCTGGTATCTGGTATTGATCTCGCTTATTTTCTGAAGCAGAAAAAATATTGAATGATTATCATTTGGCCAATCTATAGTGAAAAAAAAAACTTATGGTAGAGTAAAATACAATGAAAGCCAAAGCTCTCAGGCACCAATAAATTAGGAAAGCAAAGGGAAGAGGAAAGATTTCAAAACCGGTCATAACAAGAAAAGAAAGGCATATTAGAGAAGAAGAAAAGTTTGTAACAGGCTAAGCAACAGTAAGCTCTTTATAAATTAATTTGCTTAAATGACAATTAGATTTCTCCAGTCATGCAAGCGCAATTCAAGCTAAATTCTGCAATAGCCACAATCAAAAGGAAAAAAAGGCCCAAATAATTGAAGAATTTGCTTCATAGCAGTCTCACCTCCCTATGCCTAGCATTTTCTGCATCCTCTAAATCACTTTGCTCCTTTGCCAATTTCATTACTTCATCAAAGAACTTCCTTTCAAGACCTTCAAAAGACATTGGCAAGGTACTGTCCTCAAAGCCAAGCTCCATATCTTGTTCATGAGGCTGGGTTCTACTAGCTTCCTTATTGGATTGATTTTCTAAACCCACTTTGGGATCGGGTGGCTGCCCATGATAGTAAGATCTTGTGCCATTACCCCCTTGACCTGCAAAATGAAACAAAAATGAACAAACATTCATAAAACCAAACACTACCATTTTTTTCTCCCAGAAAAGCCACAATTTCCTAGGTTAACACATGTAGCATCCAAATTACATACAAATATCAATCTTCACTTTCTGATTCTTAACCTTAAAGCTTCAGTGCCCAACTTCACATAAACACTAGACTAATATCCAAACTTCACTTTATGATAATCTATAATACACACAAAAGGGTCGTGATCTCACCCACCTCAAATGGTCTAGTACACACACACACACACACTTTCATCTATTCCACATAATAATTCCTACACTTTCCAATTCTTAACACCAACACCTACTTTCACCATTATTCTGATACCTCCAGCAGCTTAACATTAATTCCTTTATTGTCAAACAGTTCCCACCTTCCTTTCGTCTTCCACTCAAATTCACTATCTTGACACAACCCAAAACAACCTTAACTTCTAGCATAACATTAAATTCACTCATACAATGAAATCATCAACACACAGAATTCACTGACCTTCACCGAAACCATGAGGAGGCAATTGATTGCGGACATTCTGCGACTCTCTGTCCCACTGCCACTGCCCTTCAGCTTTCGAAGATTTATACCCAGGATGCTGCTCCGCCTCCACACTAGAATACCCATCTTGCCTTCCTCCTCCTCCTCCTCCTCCATAACTATTACTCATTGCCCCTGAATTTCCTCTCGTTCTCTGTCCACTCCCTCCTCCATATGGGTTCATATTTCCATCCCCGTACGCCGCCGGTTGCTGCCGTTTCATTTTTTCAAGATTCTCTCTCTGTACATAGCAAAATTCAAAAACAAACACAACCACAATACCTTATTTTACTGTACTTTGCTTTGTCTTCCTTTTACGGATCGATTTATGAGTGACCGGAGAGACACACAGGATTGGGAGGGCGAGTGATTATTGATGTTAGCCCTTGAAAGGGATACCAAGCTGTCTTCATGGGCCATGGCCTATTGACCTTAAGGCCTATTATTTCTAGGGATTGACTACATATTGGGTATGTTGTCGGGTCGATTCGGGTTTTGCCTTCTTGTAGAGCCTCGAAAGAAATTATTAGGTATTTATAACGAATTGGATCTTTATGTTTTACTTGAATGGATTTGAGTGAGAATTAAGAGTGAGTACTATTTGATTCAAATAGAAAAAAAAAAAATCTATTTCGATTTTATTTTTAAAATTTTCGATTTGATTTAATAAAAAATTTTATTTATTTTTGAAGTTTTTTAGAAAATATATATAAATTAAAAAATCAATTCTTTTAATATTATAATAAATATATGATAGATAGTGTTTTTTTATATCAATTTGCACATTTAAAAAATTTAAATAAAATAAAAAATTGGTTTAAACAGAAAAAATCGAAATAAAAAATTATAACTTTCGATTTTTAAATGAAAAGCAGAAATTTTTTTGTAGGTTTGATTAACTAAAAATCAAACTAAAATTATTAAAAACTAAATTGAAAAATCAAATATTCACCGATCTAAGTTTTAAAATTTATTGTTAAAAATATATATATATATATATATATATATTAAAGGCTAGGTGGATATGGGTTTGGGGGTAAAAACCGTTCCGGTTCTATGTTTTTTGTCGAATCGGATAAAAACTAGGTTGTTGTTGTTGTTGTTGTTTATTATTATTATTTTTTTTACGTGTTATCCTTAAAAGCCTACAATATGGTGAAAGGGGGAAACACGGGTCGGGTTACGATTCTCTTTCTCGCTTTTTTTGCTCTCTTTTGCGCTTTGTTTTGTTCTACACAGGTAAATATAAAGCTTAGGACTTTGCTCTGATTTGAAAGAAGTGAAAGAAAAATGTGGAAGAGAGTGTTAAGAGAAGCTACAGTGAGGCAACCATGGAACGCGGTAGCAAGTAAGAGATGTTTATCATCATCACAACCAGGCATGTCCGCCGCTGTGAACACTATGTTGCTTCGGTCTCTTAAAGAACACTATCTTGAAGTCTCCAAAATGAAACCTCCTCCGGTAAGTGAACAGAACTCAATCTTTACTTAAAAACCCTTTCTGGGGTTTTATTTTTCCTTAAAAAGTAAAAATCTTCTCTTGTTTTTACATTGAATAGAAACCCCATAAAGGGTTTAGGGTTTTAGATAGAAAAAGACTTGCATATGTCAGTTTGACAACTTATTTGGGTTAAAAATGGTGAGCCCGTCTTTATTTTTTATGTTTTTTTGGCTTTATTTGTTGTGTATGTGAGTTTTTGTTGAGTAAAGCTTGTGACTTCAGGCAATTTCAGGAGTTGAAGTCACTTTTTACCTCAATGTTTTAGGTTGTTGCGGTAGTGTATATCTATGTACATGCTTGTATGTCTGTTTTTGTGGAGTGAATTTTGTGACTTCAGGGAATTTAGAAAGTTAAGCTTATATCTGTCTATATATACATGCTGGTCTGTTTGTTTGTCGGATTAGAATTATGTATGGTTTTGTGTGTATGAATATGTGAGAGTGTGTTTATGAGAGTTTTTTGGCTAATGTGATTGCCTGAACTTGAATTTGTTGTAGAAAGTGAGCCCTCCATCTGCCTTTTCAATAATAAAAGGTGCTTTGGATGGGAATGGTCCAGTTCTGACTCGCACCTACGGGAATGAGGAAATTAAACTCTCTGTAATGCGGATGGCTTATATTATACCTAGTGGTGAGGAGGATGGTGAAAATGACGAGGACATGAATCAGTTGTTCCTTCATGTGAATGTTTCGAAGCCTGGACAAGATAAATGTCTGCATTTTCTATGCGGACTTTATCCGGATGCGTTGGGAATTCACTCTGTTTCTTTGAGGTCGAAGCTTGACAGTGCTGAGTTTATTGAGGAGACAACTGCATATAATGGCCCACATTTTGCGTAAGTTTCCATTCTTGTTTCTCTATACTAGTCGATAAATCAATACTTTTTCAGTATAATATGTGTTAAACTATTGGAAAGCAATGAGGCATATGATGATTAAAAGAGAATCAACCTTCTTGATATGTGGATACTGTGACTGATTGGAGGAACTTTTCTTTGACCCCCTTTTCAATCTTCTGTGTCAAACTATTGGTAAACAATGAGGCATATGATGCTTAAAAGAGAAACAATTTTGTTGCTATGTCAATGAGGTCACTGATTAAAGGAACTTCTGTTTGTCCTCTTTCTCGATATTCTGCGTTAAACTATTGGAAAACAATGAGGCATGTGATGATTAAAAGAAAACCATTTTTTTTTATATGTGGATAATGTTACTGTTTAGAGAAATTTCTGTTAGCTATCTTTCTCAGGGATAAGTACTTTTCAGTAGCTTCCGTTAGCATGTACTAGGATACTGCAACTGGAAACCATTCTATGTGTTTTGGTTTTCTTCATTTCTTTTGCATAACTTCAAATTTAATTGATTTGATTATACACTTCGATAAATTTTTCCCTCGTTGACAGGGAACTTAATGAAAGGACAAGAGATGCATTCCACGGTTTTATTGAAGAACGAGGTGTGGATGAGAGTCTGTTTAATTTTCTTCAAGCCTGGCTCTATGTGAAGGAGCACCGGAGTATTATGCGATGGTTTAAAACCGTGGGCGCATACATCAACGAAAATAAGGCAGCTAAAAAATCTTAATATTGTCATGAAGGGGTTTTGTCAAAAGATTTGCAGGCAAAAATGCTGGACTGCTACCAAGTTTGGTTGATTACTAGCTGGCGAGCCGTGTTTTTTAAACTCTTCAGCTTTACATTTCTGCTGCTGTCTTGAAGTACAAGTATCATAACTGTTTTGTCATGGACATGACATTTTCATGTTTGAACTGATTTCTTTGTCTATTATATGATTCATTACCTAGGCACATGCTTGCTTTTAAGTGCTTTTGCAGCTTGGGTGATACTTTCCTCATAAATTTCTGTGTTTAGAGGCAGATTGTTTTGTGTGAAATAGAAGATAAAGATTCTGAATTCAAATTACTCTTAACATGCAATTTCTCTTTATCCCAAGCCAATCTGGCACACAATCCTTTGTTCCACTTCAAAAAGAAAGTTTGATCGAAGTAGTTTCTAACTATCTAGACCTCCCCTTTAGCACCGTCTTCCTGTTTTCGATCTAATTATCTAGCACTTTACCATTTCAAAATCAAAGCAGAAGGAGATTTTAAAAACGACCTCTGCATTGTTTAGCTTTCTTATTCAAATCAAATCCATTTTAGAACAGAAGATTTGATTGCTCATTTTCTCTAAAAAGCTAGCTTCAATAAACACTCGACTTCAAAAATATTTAGATAATCCCATTGTATTTTGAATCCATTTGGGGACAGGAACTTTAATGGCTCAAGCAATCGAATGGTTTCTAGCCATAGTTGCATGATCGACATGAGCAAAGACAGACTCGTTGACAGGCAGAGATGGAACAATATTTCAAGAGCCCTTCTAAATAGGGTTTTGGCATTAGGGTTTTCCGGTTTAGCTAATGAAAGCTAAAAGGGGACTTCCTAAGAATCATTAATCCTGGATTTATGATGCTTCGGAAACTCAACATATGCATTGGAATCTGAACTTGGAAATGAAGTCATTTTCATTGAGAATGAAAATCCTATCATATATTAAGTGCTAGTGAATCCAAGAGTCTTTGAGGGACAGAATTCGGATAGAATCAATAATAAGCAATTAGTCCACAATAATTATGGCTCTCCCCAAAGGATCAACATACAGTGATTTATTTAGATCCTCATGGGCTAATTAATTAAGAGAATTTCAACCGTTGCAACCTTCAACTATATAACCCCACCACAAGTAGCCTACAACATTATCATCTTAATCTTAACCTTAATCTTCTAGGCTATCAAATTCCACCAAATTAGGATTAAGATGTCTGAAAGAAAGAGCAGTGACTGGAATCTGAAGCTGAAGTCAGTGATCAACTATGATGACAGCAGTGATCGTGAAGAAGATAAAGGAGATTTGCCTGGACTTTCATTGGAGAAGCTAAGCCTTAAAGTTCCCAAAAAGAAACTTCTTATCCTTTGCCTAGGTGGGCTGCTGTGCCACAGGGTCTGCATTAAGCGCGGTTCTGGTTATGTTCAGACAAAGCGCAGACCAGATGCTGCCTACGGAAGCTTTAAAGGTGAATGTTTTTCCCGACTTTGTGATATTCTGCTATGTTTTTTTTTTCCGTTTAGTTCTGACCGTTGGTTTCTCTGCTGATCAGTTTACAAGAGGCCCTTCTGTGATGATTTTGTGAAATTCTGTTTCGAAAGATTCGAAGTGGGAATTTGGTCTGCTGCTAGAGAGTGAGTGAAAGAAATTAGTTTTCTGTAACATTTTTTGTTGAACGATGTTCTGTTCTGACTCCTGACAATGTTCTGTCCTGCTGTCTGAGACAGATGGTACCTGGATAACGCTCTTGACTGTGTGATGAGAGGTTTCAGGTCCAAGCTGTTATTTGCTTGGGTAAGTATGATCTAGTTAGCTTCATCTTAACATAATTATTTTTCTGGATCAATCTCGTCCTTTTAATGTTGTCCCTTTTCAGGACCAAGAAGAATGTACTGACTCAGGATTCAAAACCTTGGAGAACAGAAACAAGCCTATCTTCCTTAAGGAATTCAAGAAGCTGTCTGCTCTTTCATGGTGCAAGGGGCAGAATACTTCCTTGACCACTTTGCTGATTGATAATGACCCTTACAAGGCACTTCTAAATCCTGTAATATACCTAAACATCTTTCTTAAATTCCATGATTAACTAATAATTTTGGTTATGTCATAGCTGTCTCCTATTACATAATAACCAAATAAATTGATTAAACTCGAACCTGATACAAAACCATTACCTTATGTCTCCTTATGCAGTTATTTGTTTTATTATTTGCTATTTTTCTTTCTTATTCTTAGCCCCACACTGCGATTTTTCCTACGGAATATAAGGTGGATTGCGAAAATGATACTGCTTTAGGTAAGTTCTGCTAAGTACCATTTCTTCTACTATGATTGATTAACCAACTAGACTAATGGCAGGTTTAAATGTAATTAATTTGGTGATTAATTTTGGTTTTAGGTCCAAAGGGTGATCTTCTTGTCTACTTGGAAGGGCTGGCAGATGCTGATGATGTTCCTTCCTATGTGAAGAACCATCCTTTTGGGAAGCCTGAAATCACTCCCTTTCATCCTGACTGGGATTATTACTCCAAGATTGTTCGTCGTCATAGCAAAGAATCGGTTGCTGTCAACTGAGACATTGTTTGGATCAGCACTGGATGTTTTTCTTTTTTTGTGAAGTTGAACCTACAGTGTTTGCCATTTATGTTTTTTAGTTTTAAGTACCAGTTATTAAATGATTTGGAATAAATATATTATTTTTATTAGATCTTTTGTTCTTTGACAAGTTTTAATTCCCGTTTGATATAAATCATATAAGTTTTCAATCTATGTTTTATCAATATATTTTCGAATCATCTGAATTATTCATTTTTTATTTATTTTTAAAATATCCTCGCAAGCAAATCAAATATAAGATTTTTCATGTATACTGTGTGATTGCTATTCCAGTTAACCTGAAAATCTAGCTGGTAAGATAGATATATAATAACGGATATTAAACCATTAAAATTTTTTGTTTTCTTTATCTTAATCATGACGTGCGGATTTTTTCTTCGCATGTGTATCAAACAGATAATGACAAGAATTGGTTCTCCAAACAAAAAATTCCCAATTAGGTCCTCCTTCTATGGGACCATACCTGCTGATTGGTTATAAATTTTTCCTTTGTCTTAAAATGACAAGAATTTTGTCATAAGTTGGGTTACAGATGGGGGACCCAATTGAAAACTTATTTTGTTCAGGAACCTAGTTGAGAATCACGTCATAGTTTAGGGACAAATATGTCCATTTCCCTTGTTTACATTACTAAGACAAAAAGCGGATTATATTCGAAAACAACATCAAAATTTTACTAAATAAATCCTTACAAATAATTCTACAACAATGATAACAAGATAGATTTAGAACTAGGTGCATCAGGACATTCTATCTCCGATGGGAAACCTGAAATCACTCCCTTGCATCCTGACTAGGATTATTACTCCAAGGTTGTTCGTCTTCATGGCAAGGAATCGGTTGTTGTCAACTAAGACATGGCTTGGATCAAATGCTGATGATGTTTTTCTTTTTTATGTGGTTGCTAAATTTTATGTTTGTCTATGCATTTTGGGTTTAATTAGCACTTACTTTGGAATAAATATATTAATATTATTATGAAGTTTTAATCCATTAATGCTCGATAACGATTTCATATAAATCATGGCAGTAACCTTCTTTAAATAATAATAATAATAATAATAAGTTACCAGACTTTTTGGACAAATTCATCCTGACAAACAAAGAAACTGTAACGAAGGAGGCAGAATCAGGCACATCTCCAGAGCCTGAAAAGGTAGGTTTACCTTCGTATCACCGAACAATCGGTGGGTGACCTTGGAAAACGCAAATCATGGACTGTCCCCCACAAATAACCAGGAACTCGCACAACAAAACCAATCTTCAGTCCTGTGGTGCCTTCACCGCTTGCGCCGTGGTGGTTTTTTGACTCTGACAATTTTTCTGCCAGACTTGTCACCACCACCTGCATCCAATGAAAAGCTTCCTCCAGCATTGAACTCCAGACTACCAGAAGCCTGAAAAGCTGGCTTCTGTGGTGCAGCCAGATTTGATTGGCTTCCAAATTGAAAGGGATTTGCACCTGATGGACCCGAAGAAGCAAGTTGATTCCCTTCCGATGGATTTGAAAAAACAAAAATAGGGCCAGGTTGGCTGGTTGTTGGGTAAACACAGGATCTGAAGGCGTGGTTGCCTGAACTGTGTGCTCTGCCGTTCTGTCCTTCATGCTCATTTGGTCATTATTACCAGTTGGAGATGAACTGCTGCTCGTAACAGCATTAGAAGTTGCTCCAAAGGCAAAAGGAGTTTAGGAAGAAGAGGATAATGTGAGAAATCCGCTAGATTTTTGGGCTGTCCTCCATACTCATTTGGTCATCATTACCAGTTGGAGATGAACCAAATCCGAAGCCAGAACTAGGGTAGTGGCTCATGCTTGCTTGCTGGTACTGACTTAATCGTGCTTGTGATTCCTTGCGAAGGAACTCTTCTCTTTTATTGGCTTGTTGAAGAAGTGCAGAAAGTTCCTCCTGGTATCAGGTATTGATCTCGATTATTTTCTGAAGCAGCAAAAATATTGAATGATTATCATTTGGCCAATCTGTAATAGCCGTAGTCACAAGGGGAAAAAAAGCGCAAATAATCGAAGAATCGCTTCGTAGCAGTCTCACCTCCCTATGCCTAGCATTTTCTGCATCCTCTGAATCACTTTGCTCCTTTGCCAATTTCATTACTTCATCAGAGAACTTCCTTTCAAGACTTTCAAAAGACATTGGCAATGTACTGTCCTTAAAGCCAAACTCCATATCTTGTTCATGAGGCTGGGTTCTACTAGCTTCCTTATTGGATTGATTTTCTAAACCCACTTTGGGATCGGGTGGCTGCCTATGATAGTAAGAACTTGCCCCATTACCCCCTTGACCTGCAAAATTAAACAATTATGAAAAAACATTCACAAAACCGAACATTTAAAAAACATCATATCAGGTGGCTGCCCATGATAGTAAAATCTTGCCACAATTTCCTTGGTTAACGCATGTAGCATCCAAATTACATACATATATCAGTCTTCACTTTCTGATTCTTAACCTTGAAATGCCCACTCTGGGATCAGTTTCATTTTTTGAAACTAATTAAAGAGACTAATTTATAGTTTATTCGTAGTCTTATGGATGGATTTCCAATAAGGTCAAAAAAGGATTGTTCTTGGAGAGCCGATGTTTGGCTCATGACTTTTTCCTTCCTTACATTAACTTCTCCTTTAAGCAGCCATATTGTCCACAAAATTATTCAGTATGTGGACCAACCTATAAAGTAACTTTGCCGATAGACAAAGCACGTGTGCGAAATCTTATGATAAATATGAAATTAAATTCAAATTTTAATAGATTTAAATTGAATTTGAAACTTTATCGAATTTATCACTTAATGTTTGTAAAAAAATTATTATTATTATATTTCATATGTTGTTCGAATATAAAATTTATTTCAATCACTATATGTATAATAAAATATATTTAATTAGTATTTTATATATAAATTTTGTAAAAAATTTAAAATGCCACATAATACAAAAATATAAAATCAAATAATCTTTAAAAAATCGTTTTAAACTAGGTAAAAAATATGATAAAATTAAAATAAACAAATAATAAACAATATTTATTTCTTGTCCATGTGGCAGCAAAAATAGAGTAATGGTGAATATAATAACAAAAAGTCTTGAAAATATATATAAGTCAATTTATAAGAAAATGACAAGAAATTTATATGTAATTTTTTTTAAATATAGTCTTCATTGTTGAAGCAAATGCATTATTTGAACTTTATAATAATTAAACTCTAAATTTCATCCTAGTTTCTTATTTATAAAAAAATTTTCATATTTAAATTTTTACTATCTCAAAAAAATATTATATTTATTATAAAAATATTATTTTTAATTTTAAATCGATTGGATTATTATCATATCAAATCAATAGAGATCCGGATTTGATTTATTTAATAAATGAACTAACGGATTCAAATCATAATCAAACTTAGATCAAAAAAATTATTTATCACATCTATTTAATTACATCGGATTCGAGTTGAATTCGGATTAACATTCAATTTATTTACAACCCTACTTATGCCAATAGTGATTCCCTTTGTTAATACTTTATATATATTAAGTGTGTGTTTAATAATGCGGTATATGTGGTTTTTTAAAAATTTATTTGGATTGAAAAATGTTAAATTTGATGTTTTTTCATGTATTTTTTTAATGTTTCCGATATCAAAATCATCCAAAATTACCTAAACAAGAATCAAATTAATGTATTTTCAGGCAAATGTACTTCGAAAAACACTTTCAAACGCAGTGCAGTGCAGTGAGCAAAGGCATTACCAAACCCATTTTAAATTGAGTGACAGAATTCGGATAGAAACAATAACGAGCAATTACCCCACAAGAATTAAGGCTCTTTCCAAAGGATCAACATACAGTACGTGGGATTTATTTAGATCCTTGTAAGCTAATTAATTAAGAGAATTTGAACAGTTGCAATTTTTTTTTTTTTTATACTCACACACCAACTCTTTAATTTTATTAGCATTTGAACCCGTTACTTTTTACAAGGAACCACTATTACTCGAACTATAAGCTTTTGATTAGTTACAACCTTCAATCGCATAACCCAACCATAATTAGCTTACAACATCATCATCTTAATCTTCTATGTTGTCAAAACCCACCAAATTAGGATCGAAATGTATTAAAGGATAATCTCACCTAAAAGCTTAAGCTGATAGGTGAGGCCCTAGAATATAATTTATAATAGTCTCTAACACACCCCTCAAGTGAAAGGCCCAACATTTGGGGCATGAAACTTGCATGCAGTCTACATTGCCTTGTGTTTAATACTTGAGAAATTGAGGATGGTGAGACTTGAACTTAGGACCTCAAGGTCAACAAAGCATTAAAGGACTATCTCACCTAAAAGCTTAAGCTGATAGGTGAGGTCCTCGAATATAATTTATACTAGTCTCTAACAAAATGTCTGAAGGAAAGAGCAGTACTGACAGTGATCTGAAGCTGAAGTCAGTGGTCAACTATGATGACAGTGGTGACAGAGAAGAAGATAGAGGAGATTTGCCTGCTCTTTCAATTGAGAAGCTAAGCCGTAAAGTTCCCAAAAGGAAACTTCTTATTCTTTGTCTTGGTGGGCTGCTGTGTCACAGGGTCTGCATTAAGCGCGGTTCCGGTAATGTTCGGACAAAGCGCAGACCTGATGATGCCTACGGAAGCTTTCAAGGTGAGTGTTCTCCTAACTCTGTGATCATTCTGCTATGTTTTTCTGTCTTCTGATCAGTTTACAAGAGGCCCTTCTGCAATGATTTTGTGAAATTCTGCTCCGAAAGATTTGAAGTGGGAATTTGGTCTTCTGCTAGAGAGTGAGTAAAAAACATATCTAGTTTTCTGTAACCTTTTTTGTTGAAATATGTCCTGTCCTATTGATGTTCTGTCCTACTGTCTGAATCAGGTGGTACCTGGATAATGCTCTTGATTGTATGATGAGAGGTATGAGGTCCAAGCTGTTATTTGCTTGGGTAAGTATGATCTACGTAGCTTCATCTTAACAGTAATCTTTTTCTGGATCAATCTTGTCTTTTTAATGTTGTCCTTTTTTCAGGACCAAGAAGAATGTACTGACGCAGGATTCAAAACCTTGGAGGACAAAAACAAGCCTATCTTCCTTAAGGAATTCAAGAAGCTCTCTGCTCTTTCATGGTGCAAGGGGCAGGATACTTCCTTAGCCACTTTGCTGATTGATAATGACCCTTACAAAGCACTTCTAAATCCTGTTATATCCCTAACCATCCATGATTAACTAATAAATTGCATTTTTTCTATTTTATTTCATCGGAAGGCCTGTGGGACTTAGGTTACACAATGGCGTAGTCCTTTTCTATTGCATAATAACCAAATAAACTCGAGTCATCAAGTCTCGAACGTAATACAGAACTGCTAGATTATACTTGCGTAATAATTTGTATTATTAACCTTCGTAGTTGTTTTTTTTCTTCCTTTTCTTAGCCCCACACCGTGATTTTTCCTACCGAATATAAGGTGGATTGCGAAAACGATACTGCTTTAGGTAACTTCTGCTAAGTACGATTTCTTCTTCTATGACTGATTAACCAACTAGACTAATTGCAGGTTTAAATGTAATTAATTTGGTGATTAATTTTGGGTTTGGGTCCAAAGGGTGATCTTCGTGTCTACTTGGAAGGGCTGGCAGATGATGATGATGTTCCTACCTATGTGAAGAACCATCCTTTTGGGAAACCTGAAGTCTCTCCATTGCATCCTGACTGGGATTATTGCTCCAAGATCGTTTGTCGTCATGGCAAGGAATCGGTTGCTGTCAACTAAGACATAGTTTGATCAGCACCAGATGTTTTTCTTTTCATGTGGTTGCTAAATTTTATGTTTGTTTACGTATTTTTGTTTAATTAGCACTTACTTTGGAATAAAATATATTATCATTATTATGAAGTTTTGATCCATTAATAGTCTAATAACGTCTCATATAAATCATGGAAGTAACCATTTTATTTATTTATTTATGTTAAACATCCAATGAGGATTTTGTTCTTCCCATGTGCATCAAGATTCAAGAGTATTTTGAAGCAAAAAGCCGAAATTAATTAATTTTTTTAAAATAATTGTATCATAAAATTTGAAATTATAAATTATAATATATCAATAGCAAAGAAGACCAACATATATAACTAAAAAAGCATTGTTTTACAAAGCAATAATTAAATTATTATTTTATTGTTTAAAACTAATTAATTAGTCTTTTTGTTTTAAAAGTCTATTTTTATTTTTTTAATTTATTTTGATTTTTTTTTTTTAAGAAAAAGGGGGAAAAAAGACAGGTAAAGCACTCCATTGCTTTTACTACTCTCCTTTTACTAAAGGTGGGAAAATCTTGTCTTTTCAAAGGCTTCTACCTTAAGTTTCTGGTGGCAATATTATCATAAACTAAGAGTATTGGTGATTAAAAAAAAATCTTCAACAAAGCTAGAAAATTAGGACTTGAAAGCCTGCATAATTTGTACCACTAATTCTGATTAAAAAAAAAAAATCTTCAACAAAGCTAGAAAATTAGGACTTGAAAGCCTGCATAGCATGTTATTCTCTTTGTTCCGATTTTCATGTTTTCTATTTTTGTTTGTCTCAAAATAATTGTCGAGTCAAAACATTTAAATTATGTATTTTATTATAATATTTCTAATCGAAACCTTATTGGTATAAGATCTTCAATTAAAAAAATATGGATAAAAAATGTAGACATAATATTTTAATTAAAAAGTCACACTCACTACTTCTTGTCAGCTCGTTCAATTTGTCGATTAATATCAATGGAATCTTGGCGAATACTAGGTGGTCAATTCATTCATTTCTTTTTCAAGGATTCTAATCTAATTACGCATTTCCAAGTAATGATTCGGGACTATTATACCTAATCTAGCGGTTGTATATTCATATAAACTTTTTAATAAAATAAATTTGAGTTTTGATGATTTTAATTTTTTTTTACGGTTCTAAAGTCATATAATTTTTTTTATTGAAGTAAAATCCAAGTTTTAGTGATTTTAGTTTTTTTAATTGGTTATATAATAATAATAATAATAATAATAAAAGCTATCTTTATTGTATAATTCAAAACGGATAAGTCTCCGGGTGAATTAAAAAAAATAATTTACGACCAGCTGCATCAGAATATTGTATCTCTAGTCATGGAATATAGACCTGACTCAAACCTAGGATCCGAATTGAAACATAGTCTTATTGTCTTCTTCATTGGATTTCCAAAAGGAGTGCTTTTGGTGAGCCAATGTTTGTCTCGTACTTCTAACTTTTATCTTTACATTAACTTCTCCCTTAAGCAGAGTCATGCATTTTCTAATCTTTCCAATATACTTTTTGACCTACTTGAGTTTAATATAATTAATGTTTCTTAACAAGTGTGTCTTGATTTTGATCAAACCTATAGTATTAATTATCCTTTGTAATTAATTAATTAATAAACAGAAGTTGAAAAGTACTAATCTTTCAAACGGTGAATCGACTACTTAGCTACCCCTTTCTTTAAAAGACAACTAATCTTTGAAAATTTAAAATCACCAAACTATTAAGATGGCTAGCAATAGTGATGATGGCAGCCATTGGAAGCAAAAACCTTTGGCTTGTCGTGACCAAAATGATGGAGAAGAAGGAGCAGATGGGAAAGACATAAATGGCAATGGTATTTTACTAGAGAAGCTAAGCCTTGGTGGCCTAGATGGAAGAAAAAAACTTCTTGTTCTTGATCTTGCTGGGATACTATGTGTTAGGGTTTTTCATACAGACAAGGCCAATATCCCAGATAATCGCACTCCTGATGCTGCCAACGGAAGCTTTTTTGGTAAATTTTTTTAGCTTTTTCTACAAATGTATTTGCTTAGTCTTGTTTATGATGATCATTTCTCTGAGCAGTTTACAAGAGGCCATACTGTGAAGAGTTTGTGAAATTTTGCCTTGAAAGGTTTGATGTTGGAATTTGGTCTTCTGCCAAAAGGTTAGTAGAGTTGCTAGTTTAGTCCTTGGTAGCTAAATGTTATCAATGCGATCCCAAAATTGACCCAATTTTCTGTTTTGAGTACGGGAAACAGGAATAACTTGGAAAGTGCCTTAGATTGTGTGATAGGAGGATTCAAAAGCAAGCTCTTGTTTGTTTGGGTAGGAGAACAAATTTGTGCTCATGCCATGAGTCTCTTGTGCCCTAAGTTTTTCTTTCTTGTCTAATGTATGTGTTCGCTTTTCAGGACCAAGATGACTGTACTAATTCTGGATTTGGTACTAAGGAAAACAAAAACAAGCCTATCTTTTTCAAGGAGTTGAAGAAACTGTGGGAAAACAAGTCCTCTAATCTTCCATGGATTAAGGGGACATTTTTGTCATCAAACACATTACTGATTGATGATAAACCTTACAAGGCACTCTTAAATCCTGTAATATCTCTTCTTTCATGTTTTAGTTTCGTCTTTTTTCTTTTTGGATTTCTAAACTTTTTTTAACATCAAATCAGGATAGCAATCAATCTATGTAGCCCTTTCTTTTTGTACTAGTGCTTTCATTTCTCTTTTTTTCTTTTTGACTCCTTTTTTTCAAAGTCATTTTTAAGGGTTTTTTTGACAAGTTTAATTGTTGAGAAATTCAGTCTTAATTTGATTAGTTTATTTATTTATGAAATTCACTCTCTTTTACAATTTAATATTTTATTTATTTAACTCATCTATTTGGTATAGTATAAAACAAATTATATATTATTGAATGTTCGAATAAATCAATTATTCTATCTATATTTATTACTTACATGTCATCATATGATTGGTCAGACGTTGAAAGAAATAACTAATTAATTTGTTCTAATGTTTAGTTTTATATGATTTATTTTATATTATATAAGTATTAAAATAAGTAATACTGTATAATTCAAGAGTACGGGATGAATTTCACCCGATTTTCTTTTGATGCTTATTAGGGTTTTTGTTGTTTCCTCTTTTAGCCTCACACTGCAATATTTCCTACCGAATACATGCCAGACCAAATTGATGATGCTACTTTAGGTCCAAATGGTGATCTCAGGGCTTACTTGGATGGCCTGGCAAAAGCAGCAGATGTTCCTGCATATGTTAAGGAACACCCTTTTGGACAGGCTGCTATATCAACAAACCATCCTGACTGGGATTTCTACTCCGCCATCATCGTCCATTCTAAGGGCAAGGAATCATCAGCTTCTGGGGAGGTGATGAACAGATGATTTCAAATGTTTTCTTGTTTGGCTAGAGGGATGGGATGATCATATCATTTGATAGCTTGCTTTGTGCCCATGAAAGTAAATCAACAAATATTTCTAAGTTTGTCTATTTTAGTGGTATTTGATATGAATTCTTAGTTAATCCTTCTTTATTAACTTAAAAGATGTAAAACCTAACATAATAAATTAGTTGATTTAATTTTAGAGTCTGGATTTAATAAAGGGAGAATTCTAATGGTATTTATACTTGATTAAGATTAAATTGATTCAAAACAAATGACAGAATTTACCATCGATATGTATACATTAAAAAAAGAAAAGAAAAGAAAAGTATCACGTTTTGAGAAACACCGGTGGAGTACTAATTATCTTTTTTTAGTTTTGCAAAATAAATTAAATATTTTTTTGTCTTAAAAACTAATTAATTACTTTTATTAATTTTTTCTTTTTTCAAAAACTAAATTAATTTCTTGATTTAATAGTTTTTTTTTAAATTTTTTTTTATCATCAATCCTTCCGCATATGTTTTAGTTGATATATATATGTTTTGATAAATAAAAAAAATTAAGTTACAAATTAATTTTAAAATATAAAGACTAATTAATAAGTTTTTAAAACTAAAAAAAATATATTTATTTGTTTTTAAAAAACTAGGACTAACTTATAGTTCTTTCCTCAATTTATATGGCACTCGAAGTCTCAGACACAACAAATATATATATATACACATACACACACACACGCCCACGCCACACATCAAAATCCCATTACCAGCTCTCTCTTTTTATATATATAAAAAAAGAAAAAAAATCTATAAGAGCGCTTAAGAAAATAATTCTAATTTCTTATAATTTCTCATGTATTCAATTTAGTATATTACTAATTATAATATATACAAACAATTATAGAATAACGGTTATTTGTATTGTAATTCAATTTAATTGTTTTTTTTTTCGCTTTGTTTAAGTTTTTTTTATTGGGAGGAGACTCAAATTGTTGTTATAATTTTTGGTTCTGATATGAAATTGTTAAAAAAAACAAATACTAATAACTATAGTAAAGAAGGATATTTTAATTGTTTAAATATTTTTCTACATTCTATCAACAGAGAAAAATGTCGAAATAATTGAAAATTCCTTTTTCCATCAAGAAAGAAATTATTAACTTAAATTAAGAAAAAACAAAAACAGTAATTAAGGAAGGCATTTCATAAATATTAATTAATAATGGGCTACATTTGGAAGTTGGAGTCTTCCCTTTACTTGATGGGCCTTGTAGTCTTTAACGATAAAATAAAGTCTTTAGGCCCAGTCTAGATGGTGGGCTTGACTCAGGCTCTATTAAAAGATTACGAGCCTTTTCTTTTTCCTTTTTTTTTTTTTTAATTTGAATTGTTTTCTTTCTATCTTTTTTTTTTTTTTCGTGATTCATTTACAAGTTTTTTAATTCAGGAATTTAATTAGCATTTACTTACTTATTTATTTATTTATTTATTTTGAGAAATGAATTTGACATTTATTGATCAAACAACAAAATATCACTTACATTAACTCAAAATTTAGTAACAAAATACCACTTATAGTATCACAAAACTTAGTGATAATTGAAAAAAAAAATATTATAGCAATTTTATTGGTAAAAATTTATTAAAAATGAAATTATGAATTTTGTTTAATTTTTGTGAAATATAATTTATAATCTAGCAAATAAAAGTTTAGTAAAATAGGCCTAATTATAGATTATTGACCTCTCTAGAAGAAAAGAAAAAACCTGCTACATGTGCTTCTATAAAAAATTTATATATAAAAAAAAAAAAAAAAAAAAACTTGTTTGTATAGCATTAATTAAAGTTTACACCACCATTTTTTGCATTTCTTTTTCGCACCTTAATAAGACCTTAATTGTCTTTAATTAGTATTTCTTTGTGGATACTAAACCATTACCTCATGTTATAGAAACTTACATAAATTAATCATTATTATCAAAAGTTATTGATAGAGTAATAAAAACAATATTTCTAACTCATCAAGTTAAGAGTTTGATTTTCACTATTAGAAAAGCTCTTTTTCTTTTTCTTTTTTTAAATGACATTGGTAATGAGTTTTTAAGAGTTTGATTTATATATAATCAACTGAAAGTTAAGTTTGATTTGGCACTATTTAATTAAGAAAGTTATGTACTTAAAACTTAATTTGGTTGATGCAAAAGCTTATTTGAAAAACTTCATTAACTATAAATATTAAATAAATAAAAAAATCAATACTCCATAAATGAGGTAGTTTAAAGTAAGGCATTTTTTTTTTTTATTATAAATTTTCGATTTCTCTCCCCAACTAAAAATTATAATAACTAGCTTCTTTACCATATTGAATATTGATGTCAGCCCAGTTGGTCAATTTTTGAAACCCACCATGCTAATTTCTTAATTGACCTTGATATTTTATGAAAATAATGTATTAATTTTGATAAATAAATAAATTATTACTGATTAAAATGAGATTTTGGATTCCAAAATGAAACGATTAATCTTTCATTTAGAATAACCATGCAATCAATTTTGATATTTCTAAGAATTAACTGTTTATAAAATATTCTAATTTTTTTTTAATTATAATTTGAATCCCGAATTTTCTTTTGTTCGTTATTAAAAATCAGAACAAAAAATCCTAAATTTCCTCTCGGTCTTTGTCTGCTCACTCCTCCATATGGGTTCATATTTCCATCCCCGTACGCCGGCGGTGGCTACCGTTTCATTCTTTCAAGATTCTCTCTCTCTCTCTGTACGTAACAAAATCTAGAAAGAAACATAACCACAACTTTAACAACTTTTTAAGACATGTTTCTATGTGAAACAACTTCTTATTATTATATAATACCTTAGTTTACTGTGCTTTGCTTTGCTACTTTTAATGATCCATTTATGAGTGACCGGAGAGACGAACACAGGATTGTTGATGTTAGCCCTTGCAAGGGATACCAAGTTTTCTTCATGGGCCATGGCCTATTGTGCTTAAGGCCTATTGTGTCCAGGGGTGATTACATTTTGGGTATGTTGTCGGGTCGAGTCGGGGTTTTTGCACATAAGCTCACCTTTCAATCGACAAATTCGTCTTGATGAACAAGGAGAATGTAACGAAGTAGGCAGAATCAGCACATTTCCGGAGCTTGAGAAGGTAGTTTTACCTTCGTATCACCGAACAATCTGTGGGTGACCTAGGAAAAGGCAAATCATGTAGTGTATCTCGCATTGTTATTTTCAGTCCTGTGTCTTCACCGCTTGGGCTGTTGTTGTTTTTTGACTAAGACAATTTTTCTACCAGACTTGTCACCACCACCTGCACCCAATGAGAAGCTTCCTCCAGCATTGAACTCCAGACTACCAGAAGCCTGAAAAGCTGGGTTCTGTGGTGCAGCCAGATTTGATCGGCTTCCAAATTGAAAAGGATTTGCACCTGATGGACCCGAAGAAGCAAATTGATTCCCTCCTGGTGGAGTTGAAAAACCAAAAATAGGGCCAGGTGTAGCTGGTTGTTGGCTAAATACAGGAACTGAAGGCGTGGTTGCCTGAACTGTGTCCTCTGCCATGCTGTCCTCCATGCTCATTTGGTCATTATTACCAGTTGGAGATGAACCAAATCCGAAGCCAGAACTTGGGTTACGAAACACAGACTGTGATGGAGTAGCAGATGCAGGTGAACTGATGGGGAAAACGGGACCAGATGAGACACTGGGGGAAAACCCCATTGATGCACTGCTGCTCATAACAACATTAGAAGTTGCTCCAAAGGCAAAAGGAGTTGAGGAAGAAGAGGATAATGTGGGAAATCCGCTAGATTTTTGGGCCTGCCAGTTGGAACCAAATACAGTTGATGCAGGGCTGCCGGTGGAGCTAAAGGAGATGGACTCTGAAGAGAAAGTAGAAGAGCCAAGTCCAAATATAGGACCAGAACTGAACAGTTTAGATGTAGAAGAAGAACCAAGCGTGGAATTGCCAGAAGAGGGGGCAGTACTCCCAGTTGAAGCAAAAGGAGTCGATGCAGGTGAACCAAAGTGCATCGGCATGCTCTGTGTTGAAGTTGCCTGACCAGTTCCAACAACAGATAGAGTACTGCCAGTGCTAAAAGAATTGAGACCGTGAGATTGATTAGCAGCAGTTGAAGATGTAGAAGAAGAATCTAGTGTGGAACTGCCAGAAGAGAAAGCTGTACTCCCAGTTGAAGCAAAAGGAGTTGATGCAGGTGAACCAAAGTCCATCGGCATGCTCTGTCTTGAAGTTGCCTGACCATTTCCAGTAGCAGAAAGAGTACTGCCAGCACTAAAAGGATTAAAAACCAGAGATTGATTAGTAGCAGTTGAAGATGTAGAAGAAGAACCTAGTGTGGAACTGCCAGAAGAGGGGCAGTACTCCCAGTTGAAGCAAAAGGAGTGGATGCAGGTGAACTCAAGTGCATCGGCATGCTCTGTGTTGAAGTTGCTAGACCAGTTCCAGCAGCAGAAAGAGCACTGCCAGCACTAAAAGAATTAAGACTCTGAGATTCATTGGTAGCAGTTGAAGATGTGCTACCAGCATTGAAGCTAAAAGAACCAAACCGTGCTTGGGATTCCTTTCGAAGGAACTCTTCTCTTCTATTGGCTTGTTGAACTCGAAGTGCTGAAAGTTTCTCCTGGTATCTGGTATTGATCTTGATTATTTTCTAAAGCAGCAGAAAATATTGAATGATTATCATTTGGCCAATCTGTAATAAAAAAAAAAAACTTGTAGAGGTAGAATGAAAAATACAATGAAAGGCAAAGCTACCATGCACCAATAAATTAGGAAAAGCAAAGGGAAGATGAAAGATTTCAAAACCGGTCATAACAAGAAAAGAAAGGCATATTAGAGAAGCAGAAAACTTTGTACTAAGCAACAGTAAGCTATTTATAGATTAATATGCTCAAAAAACAATTCGATTTCTCCTGTCAAGCAAGTGCAATTCAAGCATAAACAGAGTTATCCCTCCCCGTCTCTCCCACCATGTTGAAGCCTTTACTGGCCCAGGTTTAAATTCTGGAACAGTCGTTGTCACAAGGGGAAAAAAGCGCAAATAATTGAAGAAATTGCTTCATAGCAGTCTCACCTCCCTATGCCTAGCATTTTCTGCATCCTCTGAATCACTTTGCTCCTTTGCCAATTTCATTACTTCATCAGAGAACTTCCTTTCAAGATCTTCAAAAGACATTGGTAATGTACCGTCCCCAAAGCCAAGCTCCATATCTTGTTCATGAGGCTGGGTTCTACTAGCTTCCTTATTGGATTGATTTTCTAAACCCACTTTGGGATCAGGTGGCGGCCCATGATAGTAAGATCTTGCCTCATTACCCCCTTGACCTGCAAAATGAAACAAAAATGAACAAACATTCATAAAACCAAACACTGCCATTTTTTTCTCCCAGAAAACCCACAATTTCCTAGGTTAACACATTTAGCATCCAAATTACACACAAATTTCAGTCTTCACTTTCTGATTCTTAACCTTGAAGCTTCAGTGCCCAACTTCACATAAACAGTAGACTAATATCCAAACTTCAATAGGTTAACATTAATCCTAATAACTTACATTGTCGAAAAGTTCACAGCTTTCTTTGATGATCTATACTGCACTCAAAAGGGTCATGATCTTACTCTCACCCACTTCAAATGGACTAGCACACACAACACTTTCGTCAATTCCACATGCCAATTCCTACACTTTCCGATTCTTGACATCAACACCTCACAAAATATACTTTCACCATTATTCTGATACCTCCGGTAGCTTAACATTAATTCCTATATTGTCGAAAGGTTCACACCTTCTGTCCATCTTCCACTCAAATTCACCACCTTGACACAACCCAAAACAATCTTAACTTCTAATATAACATTAAATTCGCTCATACAATGAAATCATCAACACAAGAACATCAGCAAACACACAGAATTCACTCACCTTCTCCGAAACCATGAGGAGGCAATTGAATGCGAACATTCTGTGACTCTTTGTCCCACTGCCATTGCCCTTCAGCTTTCGAAGATTTATACCCAGAATGTTGCTCCGCCTCCACACTAGAATACCCATCTTGCCTTCCTCCTCCTCCATAACAATTACCCATCTTGCCGGTGGCTGCCGTCTCATTCTTTCAAAAACTTTTCAATAAATAAATAAGTAAAGCACTCCTTTGCTTTACTACTCTGCTTTTACCAAAGGTGGAAATCTTGTCTTTTCGAAGGCTTCAACCTTAAGTTTCAGGTTGAATATTATCATCAACTACGCTTATTCAGGGTAAAAATTTTAATCTTCAAAAAAGCTAGAAAATTAGAACTTGAAAGCCTGCATAATTTGTACCACTGCATGCTTTTACCAAAGGATGGCAAAATTTTGTCTGTACAAATGCTTAAAATGTTATTCTCTCGGTTCCAATTGTCATGCTTTCTATTTTCGAGTGTTTCAAAATAATTCTCGCGTCAAAACATTTAAGTCACGTAGTTTAGAAAATAGTTTTTTTTTTTTTTTTGTAAAAGCCACACTCACTGCTTCTTGTCTGTTTTTTCAATTTGTTGAGTAATATCAATGGAATCTTGACGAAAACTAGGTGGTCAATTCATTCACTTCGTTTTCAAGGATTCTCAATCAAGTTAGGCCTCCCAAACAATTTCCAGGCAATGATTTGAGACTATTACACCCTAGCAATTATATATTTATATAGCTTTTCTAGCCAAACAAAATTCGAGTTTTAGTGATTTTAATTTTTTTTAATGATTATATAATAAATAAATAACTATTTTTCATTGTGTAGTGAATACCCTTAAGTCTTCTCATGAATAAAAAAAATAATTTTGGATCAGCTGCATCAGAACATACTATCTCTAGTCATGGAAGATAGACCTGAGACAAACCTAGGATCCCAAACCTAGTCTTATCGTCTTCTCAATTGGATTTCCAATAATTTCAAGAAAGGAGTGCTTTTGGTGAGCCAATGTTTGTCTCGTACTTTAACTTTATCTTTACATTAACTTCTACCTTAATAAGAGTCATGTTTTTTTCTGATCTTTCCAACATACTTTTTGACCTACTTGAGTTTAATATAATTAATATTTCTTAACAAGGGTGCCTTGATTTTGATCAAACCTATAGTATTAATTATGCTTTGTAATTAATTAATTAATAAACAGAAGTTGAAAAGTACTGATCTTTCAGATGGATGAACCGACTGCTCAGCTACCACTTTCGTTAAATGGCAAAACTAATCGTTGAAAATTTAAAATCACCAAACTATTAAGATGGCTAGCAATAGTGAAGATGACAGCCATTTGAAGCAAAAACCTTTGGCATGTCCTGGCCAAAATGGTGATGAAGAAGAAGAAGCAGATGGGGAAGACATAAATGGCAAAGGTATTTTACTAGAGAAGCTAAGCCTTGGTGGCCCAGATGGAAGAAAAAACTTCTTGTTCTTGATCTCGCTGGGATACTATGTGTCAGGGTTTTTCATAAAGACAAGGCCAATATCCCAGATAATCGCACTCCTGATGCTGCCAACGGAAGCTTTTTTGGTAAATTTTTTTAGTTTTTTCTACTAATGTATTTGCTTACTCTTGTTTATGATGATCATTTCTCTAATCTTCCATGGATTAAGGGGACATATTTGTCATCAAACACATTACTGATTGATGATAAACCTTACAAGGCACTTTTAAATCCTGTAATGGCTCTTCTTTCATGTTTAGTCTTGTCATTTTTTCCTTTTTGGATTTCTAAACTTTTTCTAACTTCAAATCATGATAGCAATCAATCTACATAGCCTTTTCTTTTTGTTTTAGTGCTTTCATTTTTCTTTTTTCTTTTTGATCCCTTTTTCTTTTTCAAAATCATTTTAAGGGTTTTCTCGACAAGTTTAACTATCACTCTAAAATCATTTATTCTTAATTTCATTAGTTTATTTATTTATTTATGAAATTCACTCTCTTTTACAATTTAATATTTTATTTATTTAACCCATCTAACTTAGGTATGGTACAAAACAAATTATGTATTATTGAATATTAGAACAAATCAGTCATTCTATCTATATTTTTTAGTCAAATGTTATCAAATGATTGGTTAGATGTTAACCAGAATAACTTATTAATTTGTTCTAACGTTTTAGTTGCATATGATTTATTTTATACTATATAGGTATTAAAATAAGTAATACTGTATAATACAAGAATACGGGATGAATTTCACCTGATTTCTTTTGATGCTTATTAGGGTTTTTGTTGTTTTCTCTTTTAGCGTCACGCTGCAATATTTCCAACCGAATACAAGCCAGGCCATATTGATGATGCTACTTTAGGTCCAAATGGTGGTCTCAGGGTTTACTTGGATGGCCTGGCAAAAGCAGCAGATGTTCCTGCATATGTCAAGGGAAACCCTTTTGGAGAGGCTGCTATATCAGCAAACCATCCTGACTGGGATTTCTACTCCAACATTATTGTCCATTCTAAGGGCAAGAAATCATCAGTTTCTGGGGATCGAAGTGATGAACAGATGATTTCAAATGTTTTCTTGTTTGGCTAGAGGGATGGGATGATCATATCATTTGATAACTTGCTTCGTGCAAGCCCATGAAAGTAAATCGACAAATATTTCTAAGTTTGTCTATTTTATTTGATATGAATTCTTAGTTAATTCTTCTTTATGAACATAATGATGTAAAACCTAACATAATTAATTATTTGATTTAATTTTAGAGTCTGGATTAATTTAATAAAGGGAGAATTCTAATAGTATTTATACGTGATTAAGATTGAATAAATTCAAGGCAAATGAAAGAATTTACCAACAATATGTGTACATCAAAAAAAAAAAAAGAGTATCACGACTTGAGAAACAACGGTGGAGTAATTAGCTTTTTTAGTTTTTCAAAGTGAATTAAATAATTTTTTTGTTTTAAAAATTAATTAATTACTTCTATTAATGTGTTCTTTGTTCTTGTTTCAAAAACTAAATTATTTTCTTGATTTAATATTATTTTGTTTTTATTTTTTTTTATCACCAATATGTTTTACTTTATTTTTTTATTTGTAAAAATAAATAAAAAATAAATTTATTTAGTTACAATTCAATTTAAAAGTATAGAGACTAATTAATTTTTTAAACTATTTTTTTTTAATTTTAAAAAACTAGAAAGAATAACTTTTAATTTACTCATCATCCGTTCTTCAATTTATATGGCACTCAAATATATATATATATATACACACACACACACACACGCACGCGCGCCAGCACATGTCCACAAATCAAAGTATCATTGCAAGCTCTCTTATTTTTTCAAAAAAAAAAAATTAAGTGCTCTTTAAAAAATAATTATAATTTCTCATGTATTCAAATTAGTATATTACTAGTTATAATATATATACAAACAATTATAGAATAACGGTTATTTGCATTGTAATTCAATTTAATTGTTTTTTTTTCTCTTTGTTTAAGTATTTGTTATTGGGATGAGACTCAAATTATATATATATATATATATTCCAATTAGAAATTTTTTAAAAAATAAAAATAATAAAGAAGGATATTTTGATTGTTTAAATATTTTTCTCCATTCTATCAACAGAGAAAAATATTGAATAATTAAATTACGGTTTAACTGACCAACCTAAATTATTTTTCTGTGATGATAAAATTGTGAATTAATTGAAAATAATTTTTTCCATCAAGAAAGAAATTATTATCCTAAATTAAGAAGGGAAAAAAAAAAAAACTAAAACAGTAACTAAGGAAGGCATTTTCATGAATATTAATTAATAATGGGCTATATTTGGAAGTTGGAGTCTGCCTTTTACTTGATGGCCTTTAGTCGTTAACGATAAAATAAAGCCTTTAGGCCCAGTCTAGATGGTGGGCTTGACTCAGGCTCTAGTATAAGATAACGAGACTTTTCTTTTCCTCTTTTTTTTTTTTTTTTCAATTTGAATTGTTTTCTTTCTATCTTTTATTTTCGTGATTCATTTACAAGTTTTTTTTAAAAAAAAATTCAGGAATTTAATTAGTATTTATTTCTTTACGGTTTTTTGAGAAATAAATTTGACACTTATTGATCAAACAACAAAATACTACTTACGTACATTAACACAAGATTGAGTGATAATTCAAATTGCAATATTATAGCAATTGTATAGCTAGAAGTTTATTAAAAATGAAATTTATCAATTTTTATTTTTATTTTTATGAAATATAAATTAAAATCTAGCAAATAAAAGTTTAGTAAAATGGGTCTACCGAATGATAAATGATTGACGTCTCTCGATAAAATACGTGTTACATATGTTTCTATAAAAAAAATAATAATAAAGTTTACGTCACCATTTTTTTCATATCTTTTTCACTCTTTAATAAGACCTTAATTGTCTTTAATTAGGATTTCTTTGTTGATATTAAACCATAGCCTCGTGTTATAAAAACATGCATAAATTAATTATTAGTACCGAACACTTATAAATAGAGGGATAAGAAGAGTGTTCTAACCCATCAAATTAAAAATTTAATTATGGCTCTTTGAAAAACTATTTAGAACAGCGTGCCTTTCAATGCCATGATACAGAACCGAAGTCGTAAAGTTTTATAGGAATAACCAAAAACACTTAATTTATCAAGGGCCGAAGCTACAAATCCTTTGTTATTTCCAGTGCATTCATAGAAATCTATAAAGAAATTTGACTGTCAATCTTCTGGCACGCCAATTTAAGAGAGAAATGAATACATGCATGATCCAAATCCACTATATAAGCACCACCCTTCTCTTGTTTTGGAACAGCAGTGAAATATTGCAACATAAAAATCTACTGTTTATTGTTAAGAAGTTATATTTGTGCTGCAAGCTGGTGAGAAAATGTCTGGAATTAAGAAACCATCTGGTGTTACTGGTGGTGCAGGAGCTGGCAAGGCTCCTGGTGGTGCTTCTACAAGACCTGGCTCTGGCTCAGGAGCAGCAAAAGATGGAACAATGAAAGCTCCTGGACAAGACGTTCGCATATCCAGGGAGGCTTTTGAGAAAAACCCTGCTGGATATTTTCAAGACTTACGCAAGAAGTAGAAGTAATATATGGTGATTCTGAAGTTTAAAGACTAAATAAAATGTTGCTTTTTTTGCTGCTTTTTTCTTTAATGTCTAATGGAACTTAAAATGCTGCTGCACTAGCAGCAGTTATTTCTAATTCTCTCTTCCTTCTTTACCATCATTTAAAGTAATGGGCTATCATTTCCAAGTGCAATCATCCTGTTCATCAATATGATCATACTAAGCATTCATCATCGATCAATGAACTTGCAGTAAAACAGATCACCAACGTCGCAGTGAAATATGTTACCAAAAAACTGGAAATTAAATTGAAAAGTATTGTCTGCAATCAGACATTTAAAAACAGAACCAGAAATATTTCAAGTGCAGATGCTTACATTCCATCATCACAATGCAGTCACAGCAAACAAAAAAAAAAAAAAAAACAACTGAAAAGGCTTTTTTTCCGACTAAATGGATCAAATCTCTTCTAAATTTTAACTTACTTAAAATTGAATCTTTGATTTTTAAATTTAGTTTTTGGGATATCTGAATTTTTTTAAGTGTTTGAAATTTGGTCCATCTTTTTTAATTTTCTATTATTTATTCTAAAAAATTAACAATCACATAAATAGCTCCATGATGAAAATCTTATAGTAAGATTTATATGAGGTTCCTAAAGAATATTAGAATCATTTTGGATTATTTTTAATTTTTTAATTTTTAATGTTTTTTAAAAATTGAAAATATACTTTTCATTTAAAAAAAAATAGAAAATAGATTGAATTTTTTAGAAGGGAGAGTGTTAGCTAAAAATTGAACAAAATCTGAAAAAAAAAAACAAAAAACAAAAAACTTTTTAGAGATGAGTGTGTCATCTAAAAATTGGACTAGATCTTAAAAAATTAAAAATTTAGATATTTAAAAACCAAATTAAAGTTTCTAAACTTTGGAGACTTGATTTTAAATAATTTAAAGTTTAGAAAAAGTTTGATTCTTTTAGCATTTTTGTTGTGGATTGAAAGTTCAAAATGCTTTAACTAATAAGGGGCAATGTTGGGAGCTTGGGTATTCCCTTATTTTTGTTAACCATAAAATAAAGCCCATCGGCCCAGTATTGATGGTGGGCTTGACTCAGGTCTATACTTTGTACAATTTATTCGGGGCCCAATTACGAGATTATGCATCTTTGCTTTTCCCTTTTTTTAAAAAAAAAAAAAAAACAAAAACAAACCCTGTTTACCGGTTGATGGCTCAATACGTTTAGTTAGTAGCCAATTTTATTCATTAATACAGTTTCTAATTTACTGTAATTTTTTTAATTTGTTTCTTATATATCTAATTGAATTAATTTTATCTATTAATAGATGTTAAGTTTTTAATCAATTCTTCTAACAAGTTTTTGATACTAAAACACCATAATTGATAACTTAATTTGCACACCTTTCATTTGTTTAGTTTACAAAGAATTTTTAGAAATAAAAAATAATCATATGTGAATCAAATGACTAATTGCGATTGTTTGGGTTGAGAAAATTACTAAAAAAATAAGTTAGAAACTTAATATATATTAAAAGATAAAATTAACTCTATTAAAAATACAAGAACAAATTGAAAAATTATCTTATTATATAAAGACAAATTGAATTATACGTTAACTCTTTTTTCTTTTTTTTCATTTTAAGTTTTATATATTCTGGAATAGCATTTACTTATTCATTGTTTTAAATTTGAGAGATGAATTTCACATTAATTGATCAAACAACATAATACTATCTGCATGAAGCTTGTTTGTATATCATTGGTTAAAGTTTACACCACCATTTTGATTTTGTTTTGCATTTCTTTCTTCACTCTTTAATAAGACCTTACTTGTCTTTAATTAGGTTTACTTTTTGTTATTAAACCATAGCTCATAAGGTTATACAAACATTCATAAATTAATCATTATTAAAGAAAGGGTATAGATAGAACCATAAGAAGAGTGATATTTATGATTTACCAAGTTATGTGTTTGATTGTCACTATAGATAAAATCGTAAGAAAAAAGTATTTATGATTCATCAAGTTATGCATTTGATTTTCACTAAAGTTCATATGACATTAGATATGAATTGTTGGTGGGTTTAAAGAATTCAGATATTATAAGATTTTTAGATAAGTTACTTATCAATTTAGACTAGCTTCATCATTCTCGGGATTAGTTCAATATTGGATCTCGCTTGATTGAAACAAACTAATGAAGGAAAATTAAGGTCGGAAGGCTCTGTTCCCATTAATTGAAACAAACGAAGCTGCATGCGTGCATTGTTTAAACGAGACTAGAACAGTCAACAGCGTGCCTTTCAATGCCATAGTACAGAACGTACAAACAGGAAGTTGTAGAGTTTTATATAACCAAAGCTACAAGTACTCCTCCGTTATTTCCAGTGCATTCATAGAAATTTGTAAGGAAATTTGACTGTCAATCTTCTACCACACCAATTTACGAGAGAAATAAATACAAGAGGATTTCTTACGTTCCCAAATGTACTATATAAGCACCACCATTCTCTTGTTTTGGAACAGCAGTGAAATATTGCAAACCAATGAAAATCTACTATTGTTAAGAAGTTATTTTGCTGCAAGGTGAGAACATGTCTGGAATAAACAACCCATCTGGTGTTTCTGGTGGTGCTTCTACAGGTCCTGGCTCTGGCGCAGGAGCACCAAAGGATGGAACAATGAAAGCTCCTGGACAAGACGTTTGCATATCCAGGGAGGGTTTTGAGAAAAACCCTGCTGGATATTTTCAGGAGTTGCACAATTAATAGAAGAAATGGAGATTCTGAAGTTTAAAGACTAAATAAGATGTTATTTTTTTGTTGTTTTTTCTTTAACTGTCTGATGAAACATAAAATGCTGCTGCACTAGCAGCAGTTATTTCTAATTTTCTTCTCCTTCTCTTATCTTTCTTTCTTATACCAGCATTTAAAGTCGATCATGGCCTATCATTTCCAACGGCAGTCATCCTGTTTATCGATATGAATACCAAGCATTCATCTTCAAGAAACTAGCAGCGAAACAAATCACCAGTGTGGCAATAAAATATCAAACTGATAAACTGGAAATAAAATTAAAAAATAATGAATTTCTTAAAAGGCTTCCATCTTCTTGAATAGATGCTTTGTTAGCCCAGTTTCAATGGTGATTAGCGATAAAATAGAGCCTGTTGGCCCAGCCTCATTGGTCTGCTTAATTTATTGCGATATTATATCCTTTTTCTTTTCCTTTTTTTTTTTTCCCAATCCGTTTAGTTTGTAAATTTCTTAATTGAGCTAATTTTATTTATTGTAATTTTTTAATTTATCTCTTATATTTTTAATTGGGTTGATTTTTTTCTATTAATATATGATCTAACTGATCTTTTTGGTAAAATTTTTATACTAGATCACTAGAATTAATCATATAATTTGTATATGAAAGCTTTCTATTTGTCTAGCTTTCAAGATTTTTTCATGATTAAAAACAATTTATATGCAACAAATTAAATTACTAATTTTGATAGTTAGATTTTAAAGATGCTAAAAGGAGGATGGATAATAATTTTAAGATAAAATTGACTCAATAATGTGTTGCAAAATTATATTATTATATAAGGAGATACTGAATTTTATTTTATTTTATTTTTGTAGTTGGAATTCGCCACACCTCCATGTTTTCTTTCTTTCTTTTTTTCGTGGTTCATTTCAAGTTTTTTTTTTTTTAATTCAGGAATTTAATTAGTATTTACTTATTTATGGATCTATGGAGAAATGAATTTAACATTTTATTGATCAAACAACAAAATACTACTTACATGAACACTTCCTGGCCGTGATGATGCAAGGCAGTAAGTACCATTTAAATGATGCCTCTGAGTTGACTTGATAATAGTTTTAAAAATAAAAAGTAATAATAATAAAATGGAAAATCGAAACTAAGACAGAATTGAGATCATGGGAACCAAATGCATCGTTAGTTCATGAAGATTGTTTGTATATCATCGACTAAACTTCACACCACCATTTTGATTTTGTTTTGCATTTCTTTCTTCACTCGTTAGTCAATAAGACCTTGATTGTCTCTGATTAGGGTTTCCTTGCTGATATTAAACCATAGCCCAGTTTATGAAAACATGTATAAATTAATCATTATCGTGAAAAATTATAAATAAAGTGGTAAGAAAAGTGTTTCTGATTCATCAAGTATGAGAATTTGATTTTTACTCATGTTTTTTTTTTTTTTATGTGACATTAGACATAGATTGTTGTGTGTTTAAAAAATTTAATATTTTAAATAGATTAAAAATTAAGCGTGATTTAATGTTGACTTAGTTTAGAAAATGATATATTTATTATTAATTGATACAAAAGTTATTTAAAAGTATCTCATTACGTTTTAAATATTAAGCAAGAAATATTCAAGTTATGTGTGGCTACAAAAGATTATCACCCTTAAATTCTTTTCAAAATATTCTTGCAATATTGAATATCAATGTCAACCCTGTGATGTCAACTTTATGTTGCTTTCCAGGAAAGTGAAGGAATTGTAGGGAAAAATTTTTGTTGATAATGACAATAGTGGTGGGGAATTGGTCAATTTTTGAATCTCACTGTGCTAATATTTCTTAGTTGACTTTTATATTTAGTGGGATTAGTGTAGGGCCAATAACATGCGTTGTACCATATATGTTACATGCACCAACACCGATCATAAACTACAGATGATAAAAATGCACTGCTTATCGATTGAATTTAATTTTGATAAATAAAAAAAATCAATTATTAGTAATAATTTTTTTGTGGTTCCAATGAAATTTTGGATTCCAAAATGAAATGATTAGTCTTCTATTTACAATAAACATGCAATCAATCTTGATATTTTAAAGCTAATTGATTATAAAGTTATCTAAACTTTTAGTTAATAGTAAAGAATATTCTAACTTTTTTTTTGGTTTTTCTCATAATCTTGATTACGCATTGAATATATGAACAATTTTTTTTAATAAGAACGATAAAATTTAACTCATCTTAATAAATACGATTCTAAGATTTGAATCATTTATGTTAGTAGAAAATTCATCTAAAAACCAAATCGTTTACTTGCTTGACCAACAAATACTAACAATCGGTTGATAACTTTTTTTTATTCCTAGATCTCAACTTTTTGTCCCATAATTAAGTCATTTCATTGCATTAATCAATCTTAAACGACATTGAATGCGAGATAAGAGGACACGTATTATTGTTTTAATAACTCAAGTATTCAAAAATATTTTTTTCAAAACACGTATCATTATTTTAAAAACGTATTTACCTTTCATATAGGTTCGATGTTGTCTAAAATTAATTAATGAAACAAAATGATTTAATTGAGAATAAAAGAAGATTTACAATCCCAATAGAACGTAAAAAAAATGTTTTTTTTTATTGATAAAAATTCAAAATATTTTATAACAAATTAGCCTATTTTTATTCTTGGCCTTGCAATCATACTTTTTTATATTGAATGAATGAATTTTGCATATTGTTTTTGGGGACAAAATCAATATTCTTGAAGAGACAAATTGATTTATGGTGACCCCATATTTATACTCCATTGGCAAGAGTCGAAAAAGACCTTGGATTTTCTTTTCCTTTTCTTTTTTCCCGTGAAGGTAGTGGTCGGTTCTAGCTATCATCATGTCATCATCATGTCATGCAACTTTAACGGTTCTTATAATTTGTGATTTTTAATGTTTAATTTATTTTATAGCTAAAAGGGGACGATAGGTACTAAAAAAAGGCATGACACGTGGCAGATTTTTGCAACTTTGGAGGTGCCACCGGCAATGTGCATTTCCTGTTCAGAGGTTCTCTTATTATTATATATTTAGTGCTTCCTTATATATATATATATATATATATATATATATGATACAAATTATGTATTAGTTACAAATTATCTTTAAGAAAACCTAATATGATAGATACAATTTGTCGCTGCAAATTAACATAGGATAACCGAAAGAAGTGGCCTAACGGTTAAAAAAACTGTTTTGGTTTAACAAAAATTAGATCTAATTATCATTATTCATAATTATCTTTTGATGGTATTAAATGTAAGTTAATTTGATTTGAAAAACAATTCAATAATCGATTGAAAGTTAAGTATATTTTGAATGACTTGATCTAATAAATAATATATTTAATCTTGATTGACGTAAAAACTTATTTGAAAATACTTCATTACTTATAAATATATATACATAAAAAGATAAAATAAAATAAAAACTAACATAATATTTGCTACGAACAAGGTGAAAATTAGTCTTTTTATGAATATCAGGTAGAACTCACCTAAGCATTCTAACAACAGACTTATCGGATCTGAATTTTATATCCATCTGCGACATTCTCTCTAGTCAAGGGACGAATCTAAAGAACGGCCAATGCCAAGGACTCGTTAAAGTTTATAAAAATTTCGAGATCCCCTTTGTTTTTAGAAAATTTTCAAGCAAATCCCAAGAAAGGCCCTTTCTAAAAATGTTACATTCTGATCCTTTCTAGTCCCACAGTCCGAATTCACCTTTGTTAAGCTGTTATTGGCATCGCTACATGGGAGAGAATAAAAGAGGATTGGCTAAATTGCAAAATACCCTCTTAAACTCGAGCGGGAAAAAAAAAAAAAAAAAACTCTATAAAGTAAAAAATCTCTGATTTTTCTCCCTAAAGAATATTATTTTTTGAATTTGTCCCTCATCTTAGAATTTGATTGAGAAATTAACGAAAAAGCTTTTAAAAAATCCTCTCGATTTCTTTTTTTTTATTATTATTAATAAACATGTTTTCCTAAATCGTTATATAAGATCAGAATTTTATTGAGAAATGAACGAAAAAACTTTTTTAAAATCATCAAAATTTTTTTCTTTATTAATAAATATGTTTTTCTAAATCGATGTATAAAATGATAGGGATTGAGAGAACTTTTATTGATTTTTTTTCGTCAATTTCTCAATAAAACTCTAACGAAAAGAACAAATTCAAAAAATAAAAACATATTGTTTAGAAAACAAAATAACAAATGTTTTACTTCACGAGTATTTGCTTTTTCAAGGGTATTTTATAATTTAGTCAGAGAGAATGCAAGTGACTTGCATATCTTGTCGAGAGCCATAAATGGAAATCCATGTGGATTTAGAAAAGATGAGAGAAACTGCAAGTAGATCGGACATCAAGGACATGAAGATTAGGTCATTGATTGGACACCAGGAACATGAGTGGTCTTGAGGTTGAGGATGTCTCCATCTTCCATTTATTGAAGAACAGGAGGCTGTTAATGCTGCCCTTGTATTTCCCAAGAAGATTTTTCTACACGTTTTCCTCTATGTTCAAGTACTCACCATAAGATTGATTCCTTTCTTTGCTATTCTTTTCGTTGCTACTCGTTCCTACTTTCTGTTCTTTGCAAAAAATTCTTAAAAATCTTCTCCTTTCTACCCCAATAAACATGTTTTTTTTTTAAAAAAAAGTTGGTAGAGAAAATAATAAGAATTTTTTTGGCAATTTTTCAATAACTCTAACACAAAGTATAAATTAAAAAAAAATTATATTATTTATTGGATAAAATCAAATGTTTTTTTTTTTTTTTAAGTTCAGAAAGGTATTTGTCTTTTTGATTGAATTTAGAAAGACATTTTACAGTATAGTTTTTTTAAAAAAAAAACTTTAACAATGACACAAGCATTTGGATGATAATAAGTGATAAGAACGAATAATAAACCAAAGTTTCTAATTTTTCATGGCAAAACAAGAAAGAAGAATCATAAGGTAGAATCTTGTCCATTCTTTTGATTCCAATTCTAAACCCATAATTTTTGTGCTTTTTAAAAAAAATCTAAATTGGACTTGTTTTGCTACATTCAAAAGACTACATTGCCAACTAAGAAATTGCTGTTCAAATCAAATAAGTCATGATGTGACTAAAATCAAAAGAGCCTAATTTTTTAGGCTTCTAGACGAGTAAATTATAAATCAGTCTCTTGTTTCAAAAAATGAATTAACTAGTCCCTCTCGTTTTAAAAACTAATCATTAAATTTCTTATGTTTTAAGTTTGTCAATAACTTAATTTTTTCATTAGTTTTCTATTAGATCGGTGATTTTTTTCCTTCAAATTACTCTTTCTTTGATGCTTTATTTCTCTCAAGACTCGAATTATAAATTAGACTTTTTTTGTTTCAAGAAACGAATTAATTAATTTATCCGGATTTAAAAACTAATTATTTAATCATTTTAACAATTGTTGATCACGATTAATTTAATATTTTTTATTTTATAAAATACTTTTTCATCAATCTTTTTATATTTTTATTTATTTTTTATTTCTTTTTCTATTTCTTAAAACAAAAAATCAAAATAAATGAAAAAAAATAGCAAGAAAGACTAAATTATTAGTTTTAAAACCAAAATGACTAATTAATTTGTTTCACGAAGCAAGAGGGGCTAATTTATAATTTACTCTTTCTCTTATTCGCTCATTTTCTTTCTCTCTCTTCAAAAAAAAAAAAAACTTGGAAACAAAAATCATCAATCTTAAAAGAAAAAACTAAGTTATTAATGAAATTAAAATATAAAAAACTAAATAATTAATTTTTTTAAATAAGACTAATTAATTTATTTCTCCGAACAAAAAGGATTAAATTATACACAAGATATGTCCTATACGACATGCTTCTAGAATTTAGAGAGTGGCCTTTTTTTTCCTTTTGGCCACAATCTCGACAATGACTTGTTTGCATATCTAATATTAGGTATTGCCCTCTAAAATAGTATGCCATGCCTAATTCCACTCAATAAAAACTCATGCTTTTTCAATAAAGTTGAAAAAGAAGGAGGAAAAAGAAACCGGTTGTGTGAGTTGTGTCAGAGCCTACCTTAGACAAAACTCTACACAATTGCAGAGGCATTTTCTAGTTTTCTTCTACCTAAAACTTCCTCCATGCCGTGTCCAGTGATCACCTAATTAGATATGAATGGTTGTTATGAAAAAGGATCAATAGCTTAATTTATGTTTGCATAAGAAGATAATTTTTTAATCTATTATTATATATTAATCGAGCTAGTTTCATTTTTGAATTTATATTACTTTTTTAAGATTTTCAAACCAATTCATCAAAATTATTTACGTGATTTACACATAACTAAATTTTATTTTCAAAAAAATTCTTGTAAGTGAATCAAATTAAAAGCTTTTATATGCAAATCATACGACTAATTTTTATAGTTTAGTATGAAAAATTTGTCGAATAATAGATTAAACACTTAATACATATTCAATTATTTATGCAATTATAAATAATTAAATTTTATTTTTAAAAAATCTTTACAAGCTAGTCTAATTAAAATTTTTTTATATACAAATTGTATGACTAATCTATGTAGTTTATTTTGAAAATTTTACTAGAAAAATAAATTAGATCCTTAATATATATTTAAAAATAAAATTAATTCAATTAGATATATAAAATATATTGAAGATTTACCTTGCTGTATAAAAAACAAATTGAACCATTAACTCTAAGAAAAACAATGACAAAAAACCAGATCCACATGGCCATTTGAAAGAAGCAGCTTCTTGATTTTTTCTTTTTTGACCAAATTGACAAGTGTGGAAAATGAAAAGCACATATTTAAACCCTTAAAACATCTTGCAGATGGGTCCCAACACGGTGTTGTGTACGGGCAACATTTCTCAAATTGTTATTATTATTATTTTCTACTTTGAGAAACCCTTCCATGAGTGGGTGAACAATCATGAATGCTAATAACCTTGCTAACCCATCTTGCAAATTTCAATTTCGTAAATGATTACTTTTCCTATGCAATCACCAATGGAATGTTAAAAAAAAAAAAAAAAAAAGACAAAAAATGAGGACGAAGATTACGCAGGGAAAAATAATCACCTATGGAATTGCTATAGAAATATTTATCAAAAAATTATCTCAATCTAAAAGCTTAAATTATTAGATAAGTTTTTTTCATCAAATATCTTTATTCTATATTAGAAATATGACTAATTGTATTCGGGACGAGAGTGAAAAGATTGATCTCTTTTCAATAAATATAATTTTAGAATTTAAATCTTACATATTGATAAAAAAATCTATCCGAAAACCTTATTATTGAGCTAACAACTTACTAGTCATGTAAGGTGAAGTTTTAAGGATATTATTTTAAAAATTTTTAGTAAAAAAGAGAGAGAGAAAGCGTGAAGATTTTATAGGTAATTTTTATAACTATGGAATTGTTGATGGAAATCAAATTACCGGTGCGAATTTTCTTTACAAAAAATTTCATTGAAATTTTTCGTCGGTAATTTTTTTTTTTACCTGTAGGATTTTCTGTTATTAATTCATTGTTTTCTTGTAATGTAATTATATCGTGATTAAAAAAATTAATAAAGAGAATAAATGAGATGGGTTTTGTCTTGATTCAAAAAAGAGACTAGAAGATACTAGGAAATCCTAAATGCCAAAAAGTAGGATAGGATACCATATTTATTGGTTTGTTCCATATATAAATCGGAAGGATAATTTTACATGACAATTTTCTATATATGTAAGCCAAAGGATGAAGTAACCTAAAAAGTTGTAGCAAGAGATTTTTTTCTTCTCTTTTTTCAGTGGCCACACAAATTTACAGGAGATGATGACAAATTGACAATCACTAAAGTGGAGTAAATTATAAATTAGTCCCTGTAGTTTTTCAAAATGAAACGAATACTTTCATTTGTTTCAAAAACTAATTAATTAATTAATTTCTTAACTAATATTGATTATAGTCAATTTGATATGATTTTATTCTAAAAAATACCTTCTTTTTTCGTCAATCCTTTAACTGTTTTCCTATTTCAAAATGAAAAATAGTAAAAATGATTATGTTATAAATAAATTTAAAAATATAAAGACTAATTTAAAATTTGAGGGATTGTTCAATTTCTTTTGAAAACTAAAAGGACTAATTTATAATTTACTCCTCTTAAGCGTTATCAAGATCATCATATCACGGATAATCAAGCAGAAAATATTGAAGATTAGGTAGCTCATCTGTCACGATTACGGGAAAAAATGGGAAATGGATCCTCTTCTTATAATATATATTTTTTTCATTCACTACCTTTCGATAAGCAACAGAAAACAAATAGATAAATAAGAAAAAAATATATGAAAAAAAATTGCATATATTGTTGATATATACCCTCTTTCTCTCTTCTATTTTTCTTCCCATTTCTCCACCATGGTATTAAAACAGTAAATTATAAATTAGTCCTTTTATTTTTTAAATTAATTAGTTATTTTCGATTCAAAAACTAATTATTTAGTTTCTTAACCATATGAAACAAGTTTAATTTAATATTATTTTATTTAAAAAATGTAATCTTTTTTTATTAATTCTTTAATATTTTTTACTTATTTTTTTGTTTTCTATTTCTTAAAACAAAAAATAAAAAAAATTGAAAAAAAATTAAATTATAAAAAAAAATTAAAAATGTAAAAAATAAATAATTAGTTTTGAAAACAAGAAAGAATAATTAATTTTTTCTCAAAATCAAATGATTAATTTATAATTTACTCGATATTAGACCCGTTATTTCAAACTTTGAAGAACAAAATCATCTTGTCAGTTTTGCATAAACACCATTTAAAATATATATATATATATATATATATATATATAACAACGAGACTCCAGGACACCATCATTGTCTCTTTATAATGGCCATTTTTTTTTTTTGAAAAAAAAAAATTTAAAACTCGTCTGTTCATTCTTAAATCTGAAACCAGGTTGGATGAAAATTGCAAGATGGTAGGAATCCACCATGCAAAATTCCAAACAATTGTCATCAAGTTTCCAGTCAGCTAACTGTCACCATATTTTTCTTCTCCGTCCTTCAACGGTTGAATTTAATTTTATAAACTTGTATCAAATCCACTTTCCAAAAAATCAAGGTAATCTTCAACGGCTCGGAATCCATAACACTACGCTGTCGAGGAAAATTATATATCTAGACTTATGGATGTAATATATTAGTACGTTAATTTATTAATTATTATATTAATGTGACCTTCTATATGTTAATTTATTATTTTGTATTGATGTCGTGGCATGACGGATTTACTTGGTGCTCTTAGTCCAATAAACTATTAAATCTAATTAATAAATCGATAAAAAATTTATTTTTTTATGTTTTATATTTATAAATAAAGTATTTTCATATTAGATTTTATAACATTCGGACTATATTTATCACTGTCAAAACATATATAATTTTTTTATCAATTTAGTTAAATTGTTTTTTAGATAAACCCAATATAAGCTTAATATTATTAAAAAATAATTATAATTAATTATTTATGAATAATGAAAATTGAATATGGATATTATACCAATTTTGCTCGTGTATATTAATTTATTTATTAACGTGAAAATGAATAAGTGGATTTATTATTTTGTATTTGACGTTGTGGCACAAAGGACTTACATACTGTTGTGAAGTCCAATAAACTATTAAACCCAACTAGTAAATCGGTAAACTTTTACTTATGAGTTAGGATGGCACATATATTTGGGAGAAAATTATAAACTAGTCTTTTTAGTTTTAAAAATGAGTTAATTAATCCATATTATTTTAAAAATTAATTATTTAGTTTTTATATTTTTAAATCTTCGCATAACTTACTCCTTTTCGTTAAAATAAAAAAAATAAAAAATATGAAATGATTATGAAAGAATAAGATATTTTTTGAAATAGAATAATATTAAATTAAACATAATAAACGTCATTAAGAAACTAAATAATTATTTATTAAAATAAAAAATAATTAATTAATTTTTAAAATTGGAGGAACTAATTTATAATTTAATCTATATTTGATCACGCACTAAGCAAACAACAAACAAAAAGATGAAGGGTTTCATGTGAGTAAATTATAAATTAGTCATTTTCGTTTTGCAAAATGAATTAATCAGTCTTCTTCATTTTAAAAACTAAATATTTAATCATCTACGTTTTAATTATGTCCATAACTTAATTTTTTTATCTGTTTTATGTTAGATTAATATCTTTTTCCCTAAATTGCTCTTACTTGGATACTTTATTTATCTTCTTCACCTACTCTCTTTCTATTTCCTTAACAAAAAATCAAATTGGAAAAAAATTACTAATTTAATAGAAAACTGATAAAATGATCAAATTATTGACTGAATTAAAACATAAAAAATTAAATAGTTAATTTTTGAAAAAAGAGGACTAATTAATTCATTTATCAAATCAAGAGGGACTAATTTATAATTTACTGATATCGAGGCAATACCACCTTCTAAAGTGGAAAAAGAGACGTTGGTTCTTAGGTATATTTTATGTCCTTTTATATTCATTTGCCGGCCTCTCTCTCTGTCTTAACTGGATTTTGTATATCCTTCAAACTCCAAACATCTGACGGCATATTCTACCCATATATTAGCCAAAGACACATCTTCCTCTTCACAAAATCTTCTCTCTTCTTCAATCCTTTCCTTTTCAGATTTCAAATCCGTCAAATACCATATCCCAAATTTCAATTCTTTCTTATCATCATTATATGTTACTTTGAATTCTTAAACACTTTAATTCTCATAAAATCTCTACCAAATCTCATGATCTAGCAGGAAAATCCTAGTCAAAATCATATCGAGATTTTCTTTTCCACTGAAATAGAGGAAAGTGATAGCGAATCTATCTAATAATTTCCATTTAAGTATCATTCGCTTGAATTTGTTACAATCTTTACCATAATCTCCAAAACCCATCTCTTAAAATTCTCTTTATATCTCTAAGATCACAAAATCACTTCAAATTTCTCATTTTTGATCGCTGTAGACGATCATTTCTGTTCAGACATCGATAAAGTTTCACTATTTTCTGTTTGAGGAAAGAGAAGTTTCTATCTTCAAATCAGAAATGGTTGTGAAGATGATGAGGTGGCCACCATGGCCACCTTTGTCATCAAGAAAATTTGAGGCCAAATTGATCATTCACAAACTGCAAGGCCTAAATTTGGTACAAGATGAAGAGCAAAACAGCAATGAGAGCAAGAAGAGGTTGGTGGTTGAGATAAAGTGGAAAGGTCAAAAGGGTATTGCTTTAAGGAGGTCTGTAAAGAGAAATTTTACAGAGGAAGGTGGGTTTGGAGGTGATGGGGTTTTTGAATGGAATGAAGAGTTTAAATGTGTGTGTAATCTTTCTGGAAATAAAGATGGTGTTTTTCTTCCTTGGGAGATTGCGTTTGCAGTTTTCAGTGTAAGTTTCTGGTTCTTTTTTTTTTTTTTTTTTTCCTTTTTCTCTTTGGTATTTATTGATTATCTGTTGATGGATTGCTGAAGTTTGATTATATCGAAATGAATTATTGTCACTTTTTGTTTTTATTATTTGGTTTCCCAGAAGGGTTGACTTTGAATAATAGAATGGATACGTGCTTTTGACAATTTACCTCTCTCTGCTCTCTCTTAATTATGGTCTGTTATAGCAGTAAACAGTTTTTGTCAATACTTGATTTTTTTTGGTTGTCTAGGGTCTAGGTTGTCTTTTTCTTCTCTTGCCTTGTAGCTTCAGTTGCATGTTGATCAATGCTGTTATCTTTTCTTTTCATGAATTTTTGGTTTTGTGTTTTTGAATCTCTATAAAGATGAATACTTTAGGGAAAAAAACTGGAGCTAATGAAGAATATTATGAATTTTCCTTAGTTCCAGGGAATTGGATATTATAATACAGGATAACAATGGAGGTCTTCTTTTTTTAGTGGGTGTATTTTTTAACTTTTATTGACTATTGTTTCAGTCATCATATAATTAATTTTTCACATGAATTGCATTTTTTTTTCTGTTTGTTAAATCAAAGTTTGGATTACGTATAATGATATGCTTATGCAGAATAATCGGTATAGTTTACTGGGCCAATAATCTAAATCGTTGTGGGATTCTTTTTGAGTATCTTTCAGATCAAGTGGCTCTCTTTTTTGGCTTATATGTGTGGTTATTATTTTGAAGTGATTGGCTTCACACATGGTGGAAGTTACTATCTTGCTAGATCATTTTAAGTGGCATATTCTTCGAGGATTTTCTCAGTTGTTTCTGTTTATGCTATGGGGTCCTTATGCAACTTTGTCCATTTGTTTTTTTGACAGTGACCTAAATCTCACATGGGTATGTTTATTTTTTCAACATGATGTAATATTTGAAAATACATATCCATAGAGGACTTATTGGCTTTCATTCGTTGATGATATATTTGCATATTACCGGTTGTGAATTAATCATAGATTTCTTAAATTTTCATTTTGCCTTTGTTTCTGGAACTGTTGAATTTTAATCTGCAATATTAGGCAGTAGACTGGTATATTAAAATTCTATTGTTTTGATTTCACAATTTTGTTTCTAATGGTTCAGGGCTTGAACCAAGGACCAGGGAGTAAGGTTCTTTTAGTTGGAACTGCTACATTAAACCTCGCGGAATATGCTTCAACAGCTAAGGAGAAAGAAGCCGAAATTGATGTTCCTTTAACAGTTCACAATGGCACCGTTGAGGGTACTCCCTTGCTTCACGTAAGTGCATTCCTTTCAATACATTCTACAATGAACATCTGATCTACAACGAAAGCTCATGTCTGTTTCCTTTCTGACACTAGTTCAAATATAATGCAGTTGTCTCTCAGGTTGATGAAATTGAGAACTATTCAAGAACCTCTACAGGCAGTACACAGAGCGATAGAGACAGCCCCGCCATCTCCCACTTCTCTAGAAACTCTGTCGCCAAGGAGAGATGAGCTTTCTGTCCTTAAAGCAGGTCTGAGAAAAGTGAAAAGCTTCCAAGTGACAAGAAAGGCTTGTCATGAAGAAAACAATAATGATAAGTGTTGTGTCAGAAGTGAAGATGCTGAGGACACCTACCCATTTAATACAGACTCACTTGATGATGATGCTGAGGGGGAATCAGAGGAGAGTAATGGGGATTCTAGTGCTCAGATGTCGTTCAATTATGAAACACTGGCACATGCAAAGAAGGCTGGAGGATCATTTCACTCAAACGCTATAACTAATGCTGAAGATGAGAGTTGGATATATTATAACCATCGTAAACCAGATATGGGATCTTTGTATGTTGAATACTCAACTGCATCAGACCATGAACAGTCTTTGAAACAGAGTTCAAAGCGTGGAATCTTAGCTTGGAGGAAAAGGAAACTGAGCTTTATATCTCCTAAGCCTAAATCTAAAGGAGAGCCTCTCTTGAAAAAGGATTATAGAGAAGAGGGTGGTGATGACATTGATTTTGATCGCAGGCAGCTCAGTTCCTCTGATGAGTCCAGTTTTGGGGTACAAATCAACCCTTTTTCTATCTTCCTTTATATATATATATATTGGCATCCTCTGGCTTCGGCTTTATGGTTCTTAATAAATTATACGAGTTCAACTTTCATTCTAAAACTAATTTTGTTTTGGCAGTGGAATAAATCAGAAGAAGGTTCGACTACTAGTAGATCATCATTCTCTGAATTTGGGGACGACAATTTTGCTGTAGGCAGCTGGGAGACAAAAGAAGTAACAAGTCGTGACGGACACATGAAGCTCCAAGCACAGGTCTTTTTTGCTTCAATCGATCAAAGAAGTGAGCGAGCTGCAGGAGAGAGTGCCTGTACGGCACTGGTTGCTGTCATTGCTAATTGGTTGCAATCTAACCAATATGAAGTGCCAATCAAGTCTGAATTCGACAGCTTGATCAGAGATGGATCTTTAGAGTGGAGAAACCTGTGTGAGAATGAGGACTATAGACAACGATTTCCCGACAAGCACTTTGATCTTGAGACAATCCTCCAAGCTAAAATTCGTCCTCTTTCAGTAGTTCCAGAAAAGTCCTTTATTGGATTCTTTCATCCCGAAGGCCTAGAAGAAGGGGATTTTGACTTCCTTCATGGTGCAATGTCCTTTGACAGTATTTGGCAGGAGATTAGTCATCATGGGTCAGACTGGTCTAATAATTCTGACCCTTTGGTCTACGTTGTAAGTTGGAACGACCATTTCTTTGTCCTCAAGGTTGAGCAGAATGCCTACTATATCATTGACACACTAGGGGAGAGGCTTTATGAGGGATGCAATCAAGCCTATGTCCTAAAATTTGACAAAGATACGACAATCCGGAAACTAGCTAAGGAAACTGAAGTATCAGATGAAAAAACTGTTGGCACCAAAGTCCAACCAAGCAGCTCCAAGGAAAAAATTCTAGCTGAAAGGAGTGCGCCATCAAGTCCAAATGAGGCAGAAAAGACTCAGATGGAAGAGGAGATTGTCTGTGAAGGAAAGGAGTCATGCAAAGAGTATATTAAGAGCTTCTTGGCTGCAATCCCTATAAGGGAATTGCAGGCTGATATCAAGAAAGGTCTGAAGGCATCGACACCCCTTCATCATCGCCTTCAAATTGAGTTCCACTACACCCAGCTGACCCAACCTGTAGATGAAAATTCATCAAGGGATGTAACAGTTTGTTGATGCACCAGGATCGCATTGGCTGTTATCGCATAGAGTTGTGTTCGGACAAATTTTCTATAATTGTGATTATTCTAACCCCCTCCCCTCTTGCAATATATGTTTTTTTAGGCAATAATTAGGCTGACACAGCCATTTAGTAATTTGTTTTTGAGGTTCTTTGTATATTCCACATGTAGTTTTTGGACGAGGAACGCAAATATCTGCCTTTTTTATATTTTGACATTCTGGTGTCGCATACAGTTTTCTTATTTTTATTAAACCTGTATTTCACATGCACATGATGTCTTTAATTGCAGTGGAAGCATAACTTAAGGTGACAGCTTAGCTCTTTGACTTCTCTTTCACAAGAAAAGTGGCCCCTTATATTGTTCTTTTTGAGCAAAACTATAAAGAATCACCAATTATCCCCGTTATATAAGATCAGCTTAGCTCTTCTTCTCTTGTACTGTTGTTTCTCTTTCTTATCTCTACAAGAATGTATAGGTCAGCAAGTAGTTCTCGAGCCTCCTCCCATGAGTTTTTGGTCAACTTGGCACCAGCTTCTGATGTTTCTTCTCTTACAGCTACAGCTTTCACTGAGTTGCCAACGTATGGTCCCATTTCTGTTGTGACCAAGAAGGATCTTGCTTTGCATCACAAATCCATGGGAGAAAAAGCCATTCACCTCATCCCGGTAGTTCTGGTTATATGTGCTTTGACTCTTTGGATTTTTTCTTATCCGGATAAACTGTAATCAAGTCAGTGAAAGTTGTAGCTGTCAGATTCTCTCTTTCATATTGTTTGCAATATTTCTCTGCTGTTCCAAGAGAAGGAAGCATTCATTTTTTTATCTATTTCTCTTAAATTGCTATGCAAGAATGTTGACAGCCAAATTTCTTTACATAGTATGTATATCTCAAAAATGGACTGAAGGTTACTTACCAATAAATATTTCTGGTTTTCATTGCCACACAGATTTTTTTTACTGCTAGTTTCTTGAAGATGAATGCTTGGTATTCATAGCTCTTGGAAATGATAGCCCAAGATTTTAAATGCTGGTAAAGGAGGAAAGATAAGAAAAGAAAAGGATGACGGAATTAGAAATAAATGCTGCTAGTGCGGCATTTAAGTTTCATTAGACAATAAAAGACATTACAACAAAAGCATCACTTTATTTAGTTTTTAAACTTCAGAACACCCATTCCATCTACTTTTTGTGCAATTGTTGAAAATATCCAGCAGCGTTCTTCTCAAAAGCCTCCCTGGGAATGCGAACGTCTTGGCCTGGAGCCTTCATGGTCCCATCTTTTGCTGCTCCTGAGCCAGAGCCAAGACCAGTAGAACCACTTGCAGGAGCTTTTCCTGCACCAGCTCCACCAGAAACACCAGAAGGGTTGTTGATTCCAGATATTTTCTTTTGCCTTGTAGCACAACAATAACTTCTTAACAACTGTAAATTTTTGCTTGCAATATTTCCCTACTATTCAAAAACAAGAGAAGGGTGGTGCTTATGTGGTGCATTTGGGAACTTAAGAAATCCTCTTGTATTTATTTCTCTCTTAAATTGGTGTGCCAGAAGATTGACAGTCAAATTTCTTTACATATTTCGATGAAAGCACTGGAAATAACAGCTTTGGTCCTTGATAAAGTTTTTGGTTTTCCTATAAAACTCTACTACTTCCTGTTTATAGGTTCTGTGTTGTGGCATCGAAAGGCACAATGCATTCTACTCTCGTTTATCCAATTATGCATGCATGCAGGTTAATTTGTTTCAGTTCATGGAAATTGAGCCTTCTGACCTTCAAATTTCCCTTCAAATTAATTAGAGTTTGGAACTTTTCTCTTGCATCTGCAATTTACTAACGATTGAAGAAAGAAATGCAAAACAAAATCAAAATGGTGGTGTAAACTTTAATTAATATGCAAAACAAATGCAGTGGTCTTTTTTCGAGAGAGGTCAATCTTATCAACCGTTAGACCTATTTATTAAACTTTTATTGGCTAGATTTAAATTACATTTTACAAAAAAAAAAATTCTTAAATTCGTTTTTATCAATGCAAGAATTACTATGATATTGTGACTTGGGTTATCATTAAATCCTGTGTTAATGTAAGTAGTATTTTGTTGTTTGATCAATAAATGTCAAATTCATTTCTCAAAAAACCATAAATAAGTAAATGCTAATAAAATTCCGAAAAAAAGAAAGAAAGAAGAAGAATCTTGAAATGAACCACGGAAAAAAAAAAAAAAGGATAGAAAGAAAACATCGAGGTGCTGACGAATTCTAATTATCAAAAGAAATAGAGTTAATGATTTAATTTGTTGTTATATAATAAAGTAATTTTTCAATATCTCTTTATATTAATTAATTTTATTTTTAAACGTATATTGAGTATTTAATATATTATTTTAATAAGATTTTCAAACCAAACCATTGGAATTAATTAAAGTGAAATTTGCCCGTGTACTTATACTATTCAATATTATTTATTTTAAATTTTTTATTCATGTAAAATACAAAATAAATTCTTCACTACTGAATGTTAGAACAAATAAACCCATCCATCCATCTCTGTTAACTTGTCATCATTTAATTGCTCAGACATTAGGTGGATGGATTATTTGTTAACATTTAGTAATACATGATTTGTTTTATGCTATATCTAGATAAAGAAATTAAAATAAATAATACTATATGATAAAAAGATACGGAATGAATTTCATCCATCGAGTTTAATCATGTGATTTGCATATAATTATTTTTTTATTTTTGAAATATGCTTATAAATTAGATAAATAGAAGGATTTTATGTGTAAACTAATTATGTGAATTCTAGTGATTTAACGTAAAAATCTTATCAAAATAATAGATTAGAAACCTAATGTATATCTATAAATAAAATTAGCTCAATTAGAAATATAAAAGATAAATTAAAAAATTACAATAGAATATAAAATTAAACTTATATCAGTGGACGGTTGAATTAAAAAAATTACAAACTAGACGGATTAAGTCATTAACCAAGAAATAATTTAATTTTTTTAAAAAAAGAAAAATGAAAGGTAATACTAATTAATTGTGAAGGTTTAGTTTGAAAATTTTACTTAAAAAAAAAAAAATTATATTCAAAAATAAAATTGAATCAATTAGAAATGTAAAAACAAATTATAAAGTTACGGTATTATATAAATACGAATAAACCATTAACCCAAATTCAAATTAATTAATTTTTCTTGTTAAAAATGGAAAAGTAAAGGTTCGTAATTTCATAATAGGGCCCCGAATAAATTGTACATAGTATAGGCCTGATTCAAGCCCACCATTGATACTGGGCCAATAGGCTTTATTTTATGGTTAATAAAATAACGGGAATGCCCAAGTTTCAAATATAGCCCATTATTAGTTAAAGCATTTTGAACTTTTGATCCACAGCAAAAAGGCTAAATGAATCAATTTTTATCTGAAATTTAATTTATTTGAAATTGAGTCCCTAAATTTTAAATTTAATTTTTAAAATCTCTAAGTTTTTAATTTTTTGAAATTCAGTCCAATTTTTAGCTATCACCCTCCTCTCTAAATAAATTTCTAATTTTGGTATTTTAAGTTGTTGAACACAAGTTAAAAAAAATCCAATCTATTTTCTAAAAAAATATCAAAATTTTTTAAAATTAAAATTATTTTTTAAACATTAAAAATATGTATATAAAAAAGAAAAATAACCCAAATGATCTCAATATTTTTTAGGAGTTCGATATAAATCTCATTAAATAATTTCCAAGCTATTTATGTGATTGTTAATTTTTTTGAAATAAATGATAAAAAATTAAAAGATGAACTAAATCTCAAAAAATTAAAAATTCAGATACTCCAAAATTCAAATTTAAAATTCAAGAACTCAATTTTAAATGAATTAAAATTTAAGAGAGATTTAACCCATTTACGCTAGTAAAAAAACCATCTTAATCTGTCTTTTTTTACGATAATGACTATTATACCGGAAGAAATGGTTATCTTGATTCATTAAAAATGGAGGTATCTAACCTATGAACAAGATTTCAGAATTTCATTTCGCTGTGACTGCATCGTTATGATGGAATCTAAGGATCTGCATTTTAAATATTACTTGTTTTCATTGCCACATTGGTGATTTCTTTTACCGTTAGTTTCTTGACGATGAATGCTTGGCATTCAAATTGATAAATTAACAGGATGCTTGCCCTTGGGATGATGGCCCATGACTGATGAAGAAGGAAAGATGAGAGAAGGAAGAGGGAAATAGAAATAAATGCTGCTAGTGCAGCATTTTAAGTTTCATTAGACAATAAAAGACATTACAACAAAAGCAACATTTTGTTTAGTTTTTAAACTTCAGAATCCCCATTCCATTTACTTCTTGTGCAATTCTTGAAAATATCCAGCAGGGTTTTTCTCAAAACCCTCCCTGGATATGCGAATATCTTGGCCGGGAGCTTTCATGGTCCCATCTTTTGCTGCTGCTGAGCCAGAGCCAAGACCAGTGGAACCACTTGCAGGAGCTCTCCCCGCACCAGCACTACCAGAAACACCAGAGGGTTTGTCGATTCCAGACATGTTGCTATCACCTTGCAGCGCAACAGGAACTTCTTAACAATGGTAGATTTTTGTTTGCAATATTTCTCTGCTGTTCAAAAACAAGAGAAGGGTGGTGCTTATATAGTGGATTTGGGAACTTAAGAATTCATGTTGTATTTATTTCCCTCTTAAATTGGTCTGCTAGAAGATTGACGGTCAAATTTCTTTACAGATTTCTATGAATGCACTGGAAATAACCAAGGAGTTGCAGCTTTTTGGTCCTGGATGAAGTTTTTGGAACTTTACAACTTCCTGTTTATAGGTTCTGTGTTATGGCATTGAAAGGCACAATGAATGTTTTGGAAATTTACGACATAACATTGTTAAATAGATAAATGATTCACATTAAAGATGCATTCGAAAAGAAAACCTAAGCAAAGAAATAATTAAGTTGTTGTTTGGTAAAAAAGAATGGTAAAAATGAGAAAGTTTTATTCCTATTTTATAAGTGTTTCTTTAAAATGAATAAAGTAAAAATAGAAATTAAAAAAAATGATAAATGAAATAAAAATTAAATATAATTTCATTAATGGAAAAGATGGAAATAAAAACAAAAAATGAGATTGAGATTTTTTTTCTTTTTTAAAATAATAAATATTATTTTTATTTATTATGTATCAATTATTTCTACCACCATCACTATTTCACTTCGAGTATTAGCTCCATTACCAAACTCCCATTGGTTGTGGTTATAAAAAAATTTAATTTATACTATAATTCTGCCACCACTCCATCAACACTAACATTATTTTTATTATATCAACACTAACATTATTTTTATTATACCATGACTACGACTATTCTTTTTTATTAATCTTTTTTATTTTAAAAATTAATTATTTAATTTTTTTATTTTTTTTAACTTAATCATTTTCATTCCTTTTCAATTTATTTTTGATTTTTGTTTTAAAAAGAAAAAAGAAAATAAAAAAAGAAGAAGAAGAATTAATGAGAAAAGATGACATTTTTTTTTAAAATAAAATAATATTAAATTAAGAGTGATCAATATCAATCAAATCACTAAATAATTAGTTGTCGAAAAAAAAAGACTAATTAATTCATTTCTTGAGAATAGAGAGATTAATTTATAACCTACTCTAAAAAGTAGCTAGGAATCTAGGATGTCAAACTATGAGTTAGAGGAACAAGATACACTCTTCTTGAATAATAGGATGCCATAAATACTTATCAGCCTTGAATACATAGATTCTTTGCATCATACAAGAGCTAATAATTGCTTTTGGACCAAATGAACTACAAATATTTTGTACCATTCTAGCAAAATAAAATAATGAGCTATCTTCTGCCAGCATCCTTGCCCTAGGCAAGGAGATCCCATGATTTTCTCATGAGTGGCACTTTCAGAAGAGTTAATTATGGTTAAGTCTAGTTCATATCTCCACTTTGAGATGAGGTAAAGAATCAGTTGACTGTTGAGCACATCTGAGAAACAAGCTTGACTACTCCCCACATGGGTGCATCATTCTGCAAGACACTAATTCAAGTCAAAATTTGCAGTAGCACCATAGCTGAAGGTGTAGTTTTTTAGCGCAAATTTTCTCTCAGCATCGCTCTCTCCCTTAAAAGAACACAAAACGAATGCCGCATCCTCTTATCAGAAGTAAGCGACCCTCATGCAGAAGCTTTTTCTGATTAGAGGGGTTTAACTCCTAAACAGAGACATCAACTCACCAGATAAACCACATCAAAGGCTTTGCGGTAGCTACTGAGGTTGTTCTCAATGTTGTCGTTCCTGAAACAGCAGTTCAGATGACTAAGAAACTAAATGAACTCATTGTACAGTAGGAAAACGCAATTTGCTCCTACTGAAAACATGGTTCAGGAAAGAGGAGTTTTCAAGTAGTTCTGCTCTTCAATATCTTCACATGAGGTGACTACTCATGTTTCAAAGCTGCAACCTCTCTGGTTGCAAGCCCAAGACATTTAATATTGCATCTCAGAAACAGAAAGACACGCAAACAAACCAAGAAAACATCTCTGTTAAATTGCCCTCCAGTAATCATTCCATTTTATGGTGAGCATTATTGGAAGTCCATAACTTCCATTAACAGTAGAGTTAAAATGCCCAACAAAATTGTGAGTTCCTATCATGCAATTTCTTTTTGCCTGCCTTTCTGATATTTTCTGTATTATGTATGTATGTATATGTATGTAGCGAAAACTAAGGGAGGTATGGCAAAGATAATCAGGTAAAGAAGGTATGGCAAAGATAGTATGGCAAAGATAATCAGGTAAAGAAGGTATGGCAAAGATAGTATGGCAAAGATAATCAGGTAAAGAAGGTATGGCAAAGATAATAAGGTAAAGATCAACCAATTTTACAAACTCACAGGAAACCCGCAGAAATTCGAGTCTCATAGTCCAAACCATCAGACATTCCCAAGTCTCCTAGGTGATCACCAAGAAGCAGCACATTGGTTCTCTTCTTTACAGAGGCATTGTCATTGATCGGACCATCAGCATCACCAAAATGTTCGTGAACAGGAGCAGCCATTTCAAGAGCATGCTCATTTTTATTTAGACTATGGATCAACTTCCCTGCAATGAAATTATGCAAAAGCCAGAATCAGAATCATTCTAACATAAAGAAGAACAAATGGGCAACATTTCAAAATCTTTATAAAAAAAAAAACAATGAAAGATGCATCAACTTTTTTCGGTTCGACATGACAAATGTACTAAAAAGCAAATGAGACTATGGCATGGAGCTGAGGTGTTTGCCTCCATAAAAACTTGGCACTAACCCCAGAAGCATAGACCATTAACTTAATTGGAAAAAGACAGATTACTGGCATTGGCTCCAAGGTGAAGTGATGGTGCTGCTAGGAAAAAAAAAAAAAATCCTAGGCAGGTACCAGTATGTGGAGATGCCAAAAACATCGGTTGAAACAGTGGTCATGTAAACCAGAAAGGATCAAAACGATACCTTTGAAAGAAATAAGGCGACCATCATTATCAAATACCATTCGGTTTGAGACAATCTTAACATTCTTAAATGATCTATGGACTTTCTGTCTCAGGACCTGGCACATTAAAAAGAAGAAGCACAAGTTTTTAGAAGGTTACCATACAAATTAGGCCCAGAAATCAATTAGTAAAAGCACTTTGTTCTAGCACAGAATCACCAGAAAGCATATCTTGTAAACTAACCTCCTCTATAATATCTGCAAGTCCAGCAGAGAATATGAGAACCGGAATGTCTCTTTCCTTTGAATTGCAAACACAAATAAATTTGATGATATGTATCTTGACATAAATAGCTCTGTTTAGAAACCACAGTGCTCAAAACTTTATCTTGAAAAGACGAAATTTTACCTCCAAAAACTCAAAAAATTCAACCACACCATCCCTGAAAGCAATTGCAGAACCAGCAACAGACTCCCTAATCGCATCATATGTAAGGCCTCCTTCAATCAGAAGATTATGGGTTTTCCCCCACCTGCATTAGCAAAACTATTAGCTTCAGTTTCCCAAACTACAACTAAAATCTCTCCTAAGCCATTCACTGAAAGCAAGAAATGAATCATTTAGGTGGTAATAAGCTACAATAGCAAATTTCTCAAATCATCATATTATGACGGTAAGGCGAAAGACACAATAAATAGAGTGATATACCACTCTTCCATGAGCTTAGTTTTCTCTTCAACTGGAATTGTTGGGGAGAATTCTAATGGATGGTAGTGTTCATACAATGCCTGCCTCTTATCATCATACTCAGCATTCCCCTGCCTCAAAATTCCATGACTGCCTACACATTGCCATCATAAGAAACTCAAAAATCCAAACTTTCTTACAAATTTTCAACTATAGAAGAACCATAATTAAGACAGCAACATACTTTGCCCTCGACAACCATTCACAAAGTACTTGGTTAATGTTCCATCAAAATCAGCTATCACCTTGCATATTTAACATCAACAACAACAAAAACAACCAAAATTATTTAGAGACTAACATAAATCTCTTAATTCCAATAAACAAAATCAAGAAACCCAAAATGGGTTCTTTGTTAAACTCAAAAATCAAGAACCTAAACAAAAAGGAACCCAGAGAAGATAACAGTGTAAAGAAAAGAAAAACCTGGAGTTTAGCAGGACCACCCAAACGAACTGCATCAATTTTCTTTTGGAGTAACTGAGGATCCCCAACCACTGTATCCTTTGAAAGATCATGATGCCCCTCCTCCATTTCTTTCACTTGATTCTTAGAACTATAACTGCAACACAAAACCCTGCAAAACAAAACAAAGCAAAACAAAAACCAACGTGTACAACAAATGTAAGAACTGAATAAGGCGTGGACACTTCTTCACATTATATTTGTGAGTAAAAACAAAACCTCGAGTTACTTGATGGGGATGAAGGTTTGCAAGGGATATTTATGCGAGCAGGGAGAGTGGTGAGGATGCTTTGGAGACGGTAACAACTCATTTGAGAGACAGAAGTAGAAGGGAAAATTTATATAGTATCACAATACTGTCCAGTGGCCGTAGACTACTACAACTGTGTGAGCCAAATTAAATTTTATATTGTGTAATTTAATTTATTAAAATTATGAATGATCAATTATGTTTTACATTTTCTTTTAAGTGCAATAATTATAAATGAATATTTCTGTGGAAGCATAAAAATTTTCTGTATTCAAAAACCAATGGAAGTTCCTCCAATTTAGTGTAAAAAATGTTGAAAAATATCAATCATTAAGTAAATAATTAAAACTATTAATTAATTCCAGGGGAAAGTTGGGCTGAATTAAGAGAGTATAGTTAGGGTTATCTTAATGGGCTGGCTGACTCTATCTCTATAGGCCTTTGGGTCATAACTAGACAAGACATCACTCTGTTGTTCACATGACGTTTTCACTCCATTGGGAGCTGGATTGTTTAAGGATTCCTGAATTTCAAGGCAACAACCAGTCCATTACAACCATAGAGTTTCATGCTCTTGAACTTGAACTCCCCTTTCTTATTATGATAAAGACATAGAGAAGATAATTGATGGGTTTTGTTTTTCGACCAAATTTTGAGTGCTCGTATCTCCAATTAAAAATCACCTAGGTAACATTCTTTTTTCTTCTTTTCCCTCCTTTTTCCAAGATGGGTTTCCCTTATATTATCTATATTTTGTCTGAGTTAACTTGAAAGCAATGATCTTGATAGATTCTGAACATGGGTGTGCTTTAAAGTTCATATATGTTCATTGCTGGTTTTATTTTTAACTCTGAAGCTAATATTGTGATGGATTATAGACATATCCATGTTGTTTAAAGATCATTTCTTTTTCGCACATGTGTGATCCTACGTGGTTCTCTGCTCTTTAAATTTAAGGTTGGAAGCTAATTGGTAGCTCATTCTATTGGAATAGTTTCTCTTGGGGATTGAATTTTGAGTGTGGGTTCTTGTATGTTAGAGCTTTTTGTTATAATAGTCTTAAATATAACCAATTAGTATATTTTGAGGTCATTTTCACATGTCTTAAACAGGGTTTAATGGATATAGGTTAAGCTAATGCACTGCTGTTTTTGCTTAGATAGGCAATGATAAAAGGGTGTTACGCTTTTGATCTGTTATCTGAATAAGAGTTAAATGACTGATTTTTGCAGTTCGGAATAGTAAGATGGCTAAACAGGCTAATACTCTTTTCCTGGAAGAATGGCTGAGGAGCACTATTGGTAGTAGTGCGAACCAATCTTCTACGTCGTCTGCCCGTGCCATCATCCAAGCATGGGCTGAGCTTAGAGACTGCCTTCAACACCAATCATTCGAGCCCCATCACTTTCAGTCTTTGAAAATTCTTCTTGATGCTCGCACATCTCTTCATGTTGCTGACCCCCAAGCGAAGCTTTTAGTTTCAATTTTATCCTCTACAAACCTCGTCATTCCTCATGAAGCATATCCTCCCCTTCTCCGACTTCTTTATATCTGGGTCAGAAAGTCCTTTAGACCCTCTTCTGTACTCATTGATTCAGCTGTGGAGGCACTGTCTCATCTTTTAGCTACTGAATTTGATTCTAAGAAGAGCCCTGAGTTTTTCTCTGAAGGTGTACTGCTACTAGGTGCCTTTTCTTTTGTGTCATCTGTATCAGAATCCTCTAAAACAGTCTGCCTGGAGTTGCTCTGTAGGTTGTTGGAGGATGAGTACAGACTGGTTAGTCCATTTAGCGGGCTCGTCCCAGATGTTCTTGCAGGTATTGGCTATGCACTATCTTCGTCTGTTATTGTTCATTATGTTAGAACATTGAATGCATTGCTGGGGATTTGGGGAAAGGAAGATGGGCTGCCTGGTAGTGTTTCTAATGGGCTCATGATTTTACATTTGGTTGAATGGGTAATATCTGGTTTCATCAAATCACGTTCTCAAGAGAAATTGCAAATATTTGCTAAAGAGACTCTAGACACTTTGAAGACAGACTGTGTTCCATTTTCTATTGTCATGGCTGCAGCTGGTGTTCTGAGAGCATTGAATAGATCTCCACCAAGTGCTCACGGACTCCTGATTCTTTCCAGCTTAAGGGTTTCTGCAGAAAATAGAATAGAGTCTGTGGCACGAGGATTTATTTCTAGAAGTAGAGACTTAGATAATTCTGGTGATGATTGCACAACCAGTCTTCTACTTCAGTGCATTTCGTTAGCTTTGGCTCGGTGTGGTTCAGTGTCTTCCCAACCTCCTCTGCTTATATCCCTTGCTTCAGCGTTATTAACGGAGATATTTCCTTTGCGGCGTCTATATGCAAGGATTCTTGAGCCAACACATGGCAGTCCAGTGGGACTGGAGCCTGGCAAGATTAAAGAACATCTAAGCAGTGTCATTTTTAAGGAAGCAGGGGCCATTAGTGGTGTTTTCTGCAATCAATACATGTTAGTAGACGAGGAGAACAAGATTATAGTGGAAAATATGATATGGCGATTCTGCCAAGAACTCTACTCCGGGCATCGGCAAGTGGCTTTCTTGCTACGTGGGAAAGCAGATGAGTTGCTTGAGGATATAGAGAAAATTGCTGAGTCTGCTTTCCTTATGGTTGTGGTATTTGCATTGGCTGTTACAAAGCAGAAACTAAATTCAAAATTCTCAACTGAAAGGCAGATGGAGACATCTGTCTTGATACTAGTTTCATTCTCTTGTTTAGAGTATTTCCGGCGTATGCGTTTGTCAGAATATATGGATGCAATACGAGGGGTTGTTGTCAGTGCACAGGAGAATGAGACTGCATGTATCTCTTTTGTGGAGTCTATTCCCACTTATGTTGATCTGACAAGTTCTCAAGGTATGACTTTTTGGAATTTTGTCATTTCAATCTCTTAACACATGTTGCATGAGGTTTCATAATGGGTTTTACTCATTTATTTGTAAAAAATTGTTGCTTATTCATTAGATTTGAAATGTTCTCTTAATATCTTTGTAGAATTCCGGCAGAAAGTGGATTACATATGGTTCAAGGATGAAGTACAGACTGCCCGCATTTTGTTTTACCTGCGGGTTATTCCGACTTGCATTGAACGCTTGCCTGGCTCTGTATTTAGCAGAGTTGTTGCCCCAACAATGTTCTTGTATCCTATATTTAAGAACTAACTAGATTCACTAGGAAGCTCTGTTCTTACGTTGTGCGTTCCTTATTATAATTGCTATTAGATATGTGGGACATCCAAATGGAAAAGTAGCTCGAGCTTCACATACTATGTTTGCAGCTTTCATATCCTCGGGGAAGGACACTAATGAGAATGAAAAAGAGTTACTGAAGGAGCAACTTGCTTTCTACTACGTGCAGAGATCTTTAGCAGTATGTAAAGCAGCTGGAAACCATATTGGTTAAACATGATTGTTATTTCAGTGTTAAAGAAAATTTAGGTGCTAACTTTGTCCTTTTGTACTAATGTAGGGATTTCCCGTTATCACTCCTTTTGAGGGTATGGCTTCTGGAGTTGCAGCCATGGTCCGAAATCTTCCTGCTGGAAGTCCAGCCACATTTTACTGTATCCACAGTCTCGTTGAAAAAGCAAGCAAGCTCTGTGCTGATATTGCCACCCAGAAGCCTAATATGTGGAAAAACTGGGAAGGGGAGTCAGAGCCTTGTAAGAAAATCTTAGAATTGCTTTTACGGCTTATTTCCCTTGTTGATATACAAGTAAGTGGTGATCTGTTTGTTACACTTTTCATGTTCTTTTGTGTCTGATCTCCATTTGGAACATTTGTTTACTCATGCAGTGTGCTTCACTTTGCAGACTTGTTCTGACCTTTGGGCATTGATGATGTCATCATTTTCTTGTTTTTAGGTACTACCAGACTTGATGAAGTTGTTGGCACAGCTGATTGTTGCGTTACCGAAAGAAGGCCAGAATGTGGTTCTAAATGAGTTATATTCACAGGTTGCTGAATCTGATGATGTCACGCGCAAGCCAACATTAGTTTCATGGCTGCAATCAGTATCGTACCTTTGTTCTCAATCAATAAGTGAAAGTGCACCTTCAAAAGGTATTGGGGGCGTAGAAAGTTCTGCTTCATCTCTTAGAGACCCATCAAACTGGGATGGAATAAACGCAAGACTATGAACTATTGAGGTGCACATTTCATTTTCCTTCTTTTCCTTTTGGTGAAGATTTTTGTAGTTTAATAATAACGTCCAGTTGGGGCTGCGTTGCTGAATTAGAATTTGGGATAGTTTAAAGGAGTGATAAAATGAAAACTTTTGGCATGGTCAGGGGAAGGGTTGCTTTTACCACCATTACTTGTGTATTGTCGGCCAAAATGTATAATACAACACATCCTGATTTTCCAGTTTTTGGAACTGCAAATTTTTGGATTTATATCTCATTATATCACATGCATAAGCAAAAGACATCTCAAGTTCTCTCTCTACCTATCTGCCTACTTGTATTTACTTATTGTTCTGACCTGTTAGATTATGTTACAGGACATCTTTCTTTCTACTGTGAACTGATACAACTTAAAACACCTTGTAATTAAATGCGTCTCTAGACTCATAATGCTTCCTGTCAAAAGCTCAAGGTCCATGTTGATCAGATCAAAGAAGCTAGCATTGTAGGGTCCATGTTGGAAGTGAATGCCAAAGAAATCCGAAGACTTCACCTAGCAGCTTTTTTCCTAAACTATTGCAATGTTGAATTTGGTATAGAAATTTGTGGCAGCCCTTGATTGGTTGAATTGGACATCAGTTTTGGTAAAGGCATATGCACAGATGTTGGATGCTGAAATTCCGTGGTTGTTGCCGGCGTTTCGGATGGTTCATTTGATGTCTGTTTTGTGAGCTCATACATGTCTTTGTTGGATACTTGAAGGGATAGCACAGACATGAGCATGTAAGAGAAGTCTCAAGTACACCTCGAGTTGGCTTGCAGCCTTGCATACAATTCATGTATTATGTCATTCCTATCTTACCCGTTGAACAAGCTTGGGAAGCATTTAATATACGGCCAAGAGCACTAATTTGACATATGCTTTGTATGCTAGGCAGGAGCAATAATAATTGACCTCGTCTCTTTCTCGTATCAAGTAGAGAATTTGTTGCCAGGTTAATCGGTTATGGAATGCATTTTTTCATGAAAATTTAGATTTCTGGTCTGCGTTGAACATGATAGAAACAGAAAGTCTTGGCTACATTATCGAAATGTTAATTAATGGAGCTGCTTTTGTTGACTCTTGGTTTTTACTTTCGATGCTTGAAATTGGGGTGAGAAACTCTCTTAACTTCTATGCTTATATCAGAAAAAATGGTTCTGCGGCTACTACAGTGCTTCATCTAGACACCAAACAATGGCTACATTGAAAGTGAATAATATAAGGCTTCTTAGAAAGGTATAATCTGCTTATCTGCTCATTCTTTATGAATTTTACAGTGAATATGGAAAAAACTGATTCCAACTCACAATCTGGTACAATATAAAAGAATGGGAAAGAATCCTTGTAATGACAACACCCTTGAAACAAGTAAAGACTTGAAAAGAAAGAGAATATCAAGGAATAAAAAAAGGGACAAATCCAATACTGCTATATTCAACAGCAAAGGGGACAGATTATCAGGCCATTCTCATTACAATCCTGGCATGTACATGACAACCCATTTTCTGCAACAACCTTATGGCTGCCATTGCAATGGAAACAAAGCACAAACCTAAAACCAGCACATCCTTCACATGGTGAACCAATAAATCTATCAATTGGGATCCCTTCAAAGAGCACTCTAAACCTTCCCTGCTCATGCAAACTCAAAACCTCCTCAGCTCCACCTATATATCTCCCCTTAATGAAAAGCCTTGGGGGTTTCACCTTGCCATCCAAAACCCTCCATAACTCCTCCTTAAACTCCATGTGCATTGACACATCCCTCTCAAAATATAGTACCCGAAAACTCTCTAGAAGAAAGCGAATGCTGCTACAATCCTCAAAAGTTTTTCTTATTCCTCTAAGGGTTGTTGTGTAGAAAATCACTGAGTCACTCCCTCCTGGCGGACATATCTCTGGGAAGCCTAATATAGGGTCACCAATATCCTCATCTTCCCCGATTCGACGGGCTTTCAATGGTGGCTCTTCTTCCTGGTCTTCGATATTCCTCTCTGCTTCTCGACTCTTTTCTGTATTTTCTTGCTCAATTCTTCCTCGTCTCTCTTCTTCACTCACTCTCATATGCTCTTTCACTGCTTCTTCAAAGGCAGCCAATAAATTCGGGTCAAAAAGAGTACCGGAATTCAAATCCGGTCGCCGGAAAGATGATATATCAATCTCTGACAAAGGGGCTTGTCTAAAATTAGAGCCTTTTGACTCAACCTTATCTTTAACCCCAAAAAGATCCACTCTTGCCTTCACTACTGGCCTAACATTTTCCTTATCATCATCAACCTCCATTTCCTCCTCCTCCTCCTCCTCCTCCTCCTCTTCAAGATCTTTCATAAGCTCATTTACATCAATAACATCTGGTTCTTGATTAACAACAAAGCTGCGATCTTTAACCTTTTCTTGCTCCACTTCTTTGCATACCATCACCTCTGGGGTTTCAGCTTGAGCTTTCAGAATCGGCTTCTTTATAAATGTCTCAATGAACCCATCTGCTGCATTCACTTGCAGAATTCTAGTTTCCTTCAAGTACCCAACTGGCTTGATTGACTTCAGCTTCTTCATCAACTTCCCCTTCATTATTCCCTTCATCTTTTCAGCTCCTTTAAACCTGAGTCTTCAAAATTTGAAATAGATAAGAAGAGAAAGATATGTACAAGAAGATTTGAAACTGTGTAAAGGAGGTTTAGGTGAGAAATTAGGGCCAAGATGGAGACAAATTTCTCTCCTTTTTGTTCCCTTTGATAGAGATGGAAAAGAGAGTTTTCAACCTCAACGGCTATAAAGCTGTTTTTGACTTTAAAATTCAAAAAAAATAAAAAAATTGCTGTGTGGGGACAGAAGGCAGAAATTCTTAATCTCTAGTATTAAAATTAAACCATCTACAACTTATCTCTATTAATTAACAGAGATAATAATAAATCGAATATGAAGTAGGTATTGATCTATTCGATTCAATAAAAATCTATTAAAATGTCTAATAAAAATCGAAATGGATAAAAATAAATATATAATTGTCAAGATAATTTTCGGATATGAATCTTCATTTTATGTCCTACTAGTGTCTCATTTTTTTTTTTTTTAATAATTATAATTAGGAAGTGATGAGTATATCTCCATGCAATGGAGTTTGGTGGGGGTGGTGAATTTAGAGGGTAACGGTCATAATTTATGTTAGGGCCTAGGGGCCCACTTCTTTGCTGCCTTTTGGCTTTTACTTGAGTATATTCATCATGCTTTGTGTAACTTTCCCACCATGCTTTTTCAAAGTGAAATACCTACAAGAATCCGATTTATGAAAGTAAATTATAAATTAGTCTTTTCTAGTTTGGATAACGAATTGATTATTTAAAAAAAATAATTATTTTAATTTTGTACTAATTTTTTGATTTTTTTTAAAATAGATATTATTAAAAAAATTGATAAAAAAAATTAAAATATTTTATGAAATAAAGTGATATTACATTAAACATGATCATCACTAGTCAAATAATTAATTTTTGAAATAAAAAAATATTAATTGATTTATTTTTTAAAAAATAAAGAGACTAATTTATAATTTTCTCACAAGAATCTGATTTATGAATTTCAAGATTAAAAAAAATTTCAGTAAAATTAATTTTATTTATTTGTTTGTTTGTTTATTCTTAATGAACCCAACTATAAAAAAAAGTTAGAATATTCAACAAGTTGTTTGGGCCCATTAATGGATCCTTAATTTAACAGGGGTTTGGTGGGTGACTCTTTGCAGCCTTGGAATGGATTGTACTGGGCTAGGCCCTTAAAGATTTTATTATTTTATTATTACAGTTATTATATACGTATTTTTTTTTTTGGAAATAATTTTATTTTTTTATTTTTTATTTTTTTTATGGAATTGGACAAAACTAACTTGTATCTTATTTCAATTATCAAATTACAGTAGTGGCTTCAAGTATCTTTATATAATAGGATAATTTTTTAATTTATTTTTATATCGTTAATTGAATTAATTTTATCTTTAACAATACCTTAAGTGTCTAATTTATCACTATAGTAAGATTTTCAAACTAAACTATTTGATTAGCTTGCAAGGAATTTTGAAAATAAAAAGTAATCATATGTAAATTACATGAATAATTTTGATGGTTTGGACTAAAAATCTTAATAAAAGAATAAATAAAAAACTTAACATATATTAAAAATAAAATTGATTAAGTAAAATATAAAAACACATTAAAGAATTACTTTATTATATAAAGATATATTGAACCATTAACCCTATCTAAATACTATGATTCTGGTTTTCTATTTTTTTTTATTGAACCAAATTTAACGAGAACAACACAAGGGTAACAAAAAAGATTAAAAAAAATCATGATGGAATTAATGGACTAGCCATGCTTCCCCATGCCATGAAGCATTGTTTTTGTGCCCCCCCAAAAAAAAAAAAATCTATATTTTATGGGGTTATATGAGAAAATAAGTAAATTATAAATTAGTTCTTTTATTTTTTCAAAATAAATTAAAAAGTCCCTACTTGTTTTAAAAACTAATTAATTAGTCTCTTTATTTTTAAATCTATTTACAACTTAATCTTTTTTTTTTTCAACTTATTTTGATTTTTTGTTTTAAGAAATAAAAAAAAATAACTAAAAAAAATGGAAGGATTGACGAGGAAAAAATATATATTTTTTATAATAAAATAATATTAAATCAATATAATCAATACCGATAAAAAACTAATTAATTAGCTTTTGAAATAAGAAAAACTATTTAATTCATCTTGCAAAACCAAAGGGACTAATTTATAAGTTACTCAGGAGAAAACTGATATTAGTATATGGAAAATTTATAAATTGGGCTAATTTTTTAGGATTTTCTTTCCATATATTTGCTGATTGGTCCTTGGTCGGTTACACATTCTTGAATGGTAATATCCCCGCCACCTTCAAGCATTTTCCTTTTCACACCCTTCAAATTCCTCACCATATAACAGCATAACACAAACTATCTATCTTCCTCTACCTTTCAATGTCTTTACAGAGAGAATCTGGCATTACGACATTGCTTGTTCTAGCTATTATTGCAACATTTGATGCCACTTCTGGTTTAAGGTACACTGTAGGAGACTCAGTATGGTCCATCCCACCACAACCTGATTTTTACGCCAACTGGTCCTCGTCTCATACTTTCTACATTGGTGATGTTCTAGGTATGTCTCATGTCTAGTCTACATAAATGATGATAATAACGGTATGATATAACAACAATGGCCGTAATTATGTTATTTGGTGAATAACAGTTCACATAACGGTCATTATATTATTGTTTAATTTTTTTTTAAGAATAAATTTATTAACAATTGCTATGCATTTACAATATCGATTGTTATGAATATTATTTTATTATCGTGATACAGTTTTTAAAACTACATACACGATTTAAAATTGTTTCAATCCAATAAATCAAGTTTATGTAATTAACAATTTCTCTTGCCCACATGCATAGCACATAAAATACATTTTTCAATATGTTTTTCTTTTTCCTATGAAATGGTTATTCTATTAGGAATTGTGAATTGATGATGATTTGTTTAAGTAGCATTGAATTATTATTATTTTTGGGTGCAGTATTTGACTTTGAATATGAGTTTTTCAATGTGATACAAGTGCCAAGGCTAGACTATGAGAGTTGCACTGCTCTTAATCCCATAAGGATCCTTACAAGAAGTCCAGCACTCTCTATACTAAGCCATGAAGGAGCAAATTACTACATCTGCAACATCTCGAATTATTGTGATCTAGGCCTAAAATTTTCAGTTGTGATCCACAAGTTCTATTACTCTACAGGGCATTCACCAGCCCCATCGCCATCGCCGTTGCCATCACTACCACCATCGTTGCCTCCTTTTGCTCCAACCTTGAGTCCATACTCGGCACCTCAACCATCTGAAGCAGGGTGGACTAATGTATCAGAACCTTCGATACCTAACAGTACTAGTCCGGTAGTTCCAAATGATGGAAGAAGAAATGGATTGAGTGCTAGTTCTAATAGAGTTGTTGTTGGCTTGGCTTGTTCATTATGTTTAGGGATATTGTTTCTGTTCGTTTGATTCTTTTTATGGAGATAAATTGATGATTTCCTGGAAAGCAGAATAATTCGTAGAATTTTTAAAAATCTGCAACAAAGAAGCTGCTCCATCTTCTATTTGAGCAATCATAGTTTTAATAAGATCGTGATTGCTTATTGCAGCAGTAAAATAATCATCATGACAACCAATTTCGTAAATATATTAATAGTTGTTAATAAATATTTTCTAAAGTAAAGAATCAAAACTATTTTTTTTCTTTTGAAACAATAATACAACTACTGTTATTTAGATTGTTATTCATCAAATAACGACAATGACGATCATTATCGTTATATAATATTGTTATTTTTGTTATTTGGGTGAAAAGCCATTTAGTTCTCTATAACACCGTATAACAAAAACGGATAAGTCCAAATCCGTTAAATAACACGTAATGATTATTATTTGAAACTATTTTAGCAATATTTTCAACATCTAATTGTAAATTGATATAATTAATTGTAGACTTCTTGATTGACACTTCATGAGCACAACAAATTGTCAATACTTTTAATCTTAAATTGACAATGTTCTCAAAATTCGAGTAATTGTTAATCATAATCTCATCAAGTTGATTGACCTTGTTGCCAAAACTCTAGCTGAAAAATAACCATTTGAAGGGCATTCAGCTAATCTAATCAGCAATCACCATTGTTTATGCTGCAATTTGCTTGTAAGAAACTCCTACATTGACTTTTACCTAGTATTGATATCCTTGATGATTCCAAAACCTCATCAAAAACCAGTGTTAAGGTCCATTTGTCAATTCTGTCAAATTCACTAGGAAATTTAGATCACCAAGCAATTGTCCTTATTCTCATCATACATAATCTCATGCATCATCTTGTAGATGTCACATGAAGGAACATTTCAACTAAAGAGCAGTAATTGGTGGACAATTATATGTACATGTTCATGTGATGACAAAATTTCAGACAGTTTAAGTGAGAATCTATGTGCTTGTCTAATCTCAGCGATCGCAATCATTTGTTGAATGCCTAATTTTGACTATATCATGGAGATACGAATGAATGAGATGGATGATCGGATTATTCGAAACTGTCGATGGCATTTCCAGTGCATTCTTCTGGCATGTATTGTATAACGTTTTTCTTTACGAAATTTATTAGCTACAAAACTCTGTACAATTACATAAGTTGTAAGAAAAGTTCTACAATCATAATAAATTTGAGCAAAACCTTCTAGTGTATAAGCTGTACGAACCATGTATCGTAGAACACTTGCCGGGGTGGCCCAGAAGCTGTTTCGTTGACATTACTCAGCGAACGGACAGGCGAGGTTCGACATAGTGGACAATTAGCATGCAGCTTGAGCCATGGATCAATGCACTGTGGATGGAAAAGGTGATGACACTCAGGCAACAGCCGCAGCAAGTCACTATCTTTATAGTTTGCCAAGCAAATTGAGCAACAAGAAGCTATAGAATCATCTCCTTTTTCAAGCTTTCCTTTTGCTTCAGAATAAAGCAACTTCGGATAGTTATCGAGAGTGGCTTCATCCAAACCTATTGCAATAGTGACAGAGTCTTCGTCAGACGAGGAGCCATCATGGTGTGAAGGCATCGGTTTTCGAGTGCAGAGAAAGTAAACAACAATGGCGATTGCTATTACTGAAAGAACACCAATGGATATTCCAAAAGTGAGAGTAAACCCATCAAAACTTTTTGCTGATGAGTCTACAGGACTGCTGCTATTCATCTTCTTGAAATGTTTTTAGGGCTAGCTGGAAGTTGAGGGCTTGAAAGATATATATAAAGAAGTTGAAGATTTATCCAATGGGTTGGCTTGGATCTTTTTGAAGTTATACAGCTGGATCTATAGATAGAACAGGAAGCAAGAAGCAGGCTGTGTAGTTTTTGCAATTTCAAGCAAGGTATATATAATGGGAGAAAGGCATGGAGACAAAAACTTTCATATTAAAAATTAAATGCAACTTGCTTGCAAGATAGTTGTTGTTTTTTGCTATGAGATTTGAGTAAAGTATTAGTCCAAAATTCAATGAATTTTTCATATTTGATAATTGCTTGCATGATTCGATGCTGACCTAGTCTAGAAAATAAAAACTTAATTTTGATTGATGTGAATCCTGATTCGAAGATACTACTAATTTTCTTAATCAGAAAATCTCTCTCAATTTCTATCTCGTTTTCATGCCTTTTCTTGTGGGATTATTCTAACTCAAACTCCCTGTCATTCACTGCATGATAATTACTTGCACTCTGCTAAAATGTGCGATTCCAATCATTTGGAAGCTGTAGATTTAAATTTTCCCAAGTTGGCTACATTAAATAGGTTTTGAGCTATAAGAGAGAAGAGTATTTATTATTATATGCTTGGAGTTTGGTAGTGATTAATTTTAAGTTATTACCTGGAAAAAGAACTGAAGCATGCAGGTTTGACCTTCATTTCTTTTATCAAAAATATATAGTTGTTCCAACAGTTTGCTCTAATGAATTTGCTATTAAGTTGTATTGCATGATTTTGCATTTGACTAATTATTTTATCTTTGTGCAAACATCTGCCTCTATAGGACTGTTAGCTCATAAAGGAAAATTTGGTGGGCAATTGGTTATAAAATCCTGAATTTTTGGTTAGTAGAAAAAAAAATTTAATCTTCTTTTATTTTGATATGGATCCCAAATTTTATTTTTTTAGTCTACAATTAATTTTTTATATCATGTCGACCGATCTCAAGCAACATTAGACACGGGCAAAACGACACGTATTATTGTTTTAAGAGCTCGAGTATCTTTTTCAAAATATGTATCATCGTTTTTATAATTTATGTGCTTTTTATGGATGTCTAATGTCATCTGAAATTAGTCAATAAGACAAAAAGACTTAATTGAGAATAAAAAAAATGTTAGAAACCTAAATCACAATAAAAAAATTGATCGAAACTTTTCATCTATTGACCAAATATTCATGCTACTTTCTAACCAATTAGCCAAATATGTTTCAATTGGCTGTCATTGATCTCGCATAACATGAAGCAAAATATGAGCTGATTGAAATTTGATCATTGTCATATGTTGCACATTTGATTTGACTGTCTAAAATGCTTACATGATTGCTGAAAACTTCATGTTAAAATCTCTATTACACTGTAAAAAATCCTATCAGGTAATTTCTATCGATTTTACACCATTTTATCTGCACAAAATATATGTCTACAAACACTAGAAAACCTCAGATTGACCTCCCAGAAAAAAAAATGGAAAAATTAAGAAACATATGCAATCTCTCGAATCAATATCTGCGTGATGCCAATGGTGCCACTTCAGTGAGAGGAGTTGACAGAGGAGTTGGAACAGGAGAGTTCCGGCAAATCGGGCATGTCGGATGCAGCCTTAACCAAGAGTCCACACAATTGAGATGAAAAACATGACCACAATCAGGCAACAACCTTAGCATGTCACTATCCTTATAGTCCCCTAAGCATATAGAGCAACAAGAAGGTGGTAAATCCTTACCCTTGTGTTCTAACTTTGCTTTTGAATAGAGTAATTTGGGGTAGCTTGCAAGAGTAGCTTCGTTGAGGCCGAGTTCCACAGCAATGGAGTCATGGTCAGTGACGGTCGCACCGTGGTTGGTAGCTCTGTTTCTGGAAGAATCTACTTCACGGGTGCAGAAATACGCGGCCAAAGTTATGATTATGAGCAAAACTAGGACACCAAAAATCATTCCAATAGCATATGCAAATCCATTAATACCGTTGGGATCACCGTATTCGGTGGAGTTGTTCATGGTTCTCGAACTATAGATTCAGCTGTGTTGAGGGTTTGATCTATAGGATTATATGTACAGAGGGAGATATGGGAAAGGAGAGACTAGAGAGGGAGGGAGGAAGAGTTGGAGAGAGAGAGAAAGAGACAAACAAACGTCTGACTAGCTTGGGAGTTAATATCTGGAGATGGCTGGGTAGTTTTGTACTTGTGGAGTTATTCTCTGGGAATTGTCAACGTGTCTGTCGCTTTCATGGGAAAGAAGTATCAATTTCTGTCCTCATGTCATCATTTAACTGAAAAAATTCAATGTGACTTCTGAATACAAGCATTGTTTATTTGACAAACAAAGATCTTGCGAGAGCAATAAATACTACCGTTTCTCTCAGAAACTTGAGCTTATTGGATCTTCCCAAGTGAATTCCTAGGAAGAAGTCAAATTTCAAGAAGCTGAGGTTTCTGCTGGTCTTTTTCCTTTTTGGCCAGCGCACACCTAAGGCCCAAACCATCAAGGGTAGGAATAGGATAAAATGAGCTGAAAATCCTGTTTTGGTATCCATAGTTGTTAAATGGCGGACAAAAAAAGCACATTCAATCTCCCAAATCAGTACCTGCTCGCAGCCAATGCCACTTCAGAAACGGAGTCCAGAGAGTAGGCACATGCAAGTTCCGGCACATCGGGCATGTAGGATTCAGCCTTAATCAACATTCCACACATTTGAGATGAAAAGTATGACCAAAATCAGGCAATAAATAACCTTAACGAATCCCTGTCTTTATAGTCCCGCGAATATATAGAACATCAAAAATTAAGCAAGTGAATGATTGACCTTGTACTGTAACTTTGCTTGTGAATATAGCAACTTAGGGTAGCTTGCAAGAGTGGCTTCATCCGAATTCGATTGCAACAGAGCTGTGGTCAGCGATGGAGCTGCCTTTCTTGCTAAGGGACCTTGTATGCCATGGGTGCAGATATATGAGGCAAAAATTATGATTATGAATTTATGATCAAATATCAACATTTTGCAAAGAGACTAGCACCAGAGAAAATGCGGTTGGCAAGAACATCGGCAAGGTGTATAGCGAGAGACGTTTGACGATCTTCTCTATACCTATTGGCCTTTTTCGAGTTATCTTTCGCTCCTTGACCAAGAATTGGATTATATGAAAAAGTTTACCGCTAAAGAGAAGAGCTTCTTTCGCTTTTCCTGTACCTGACTCGGTTTTATAAACGTTCTTTGGCATAGTCTTTTTCCTCAACCAGGACTGGCAGCTTCCACAACTCTTTCAAAGCTAGGTGATCAACGAATAGTATGACCGAAAGCAACCTAGTTGTGTCTCGAAACAATCATCTAAAAATTTTAGCAAAACTATTTGGATGTTCTCCGTTCGTTATTTTTTCCAAGTAATATCCTTCTATTTTTCCAACAATGATCAATAATAAGTTGACAATTATATGTATAATTTCATTCGAGAAACCATGTCGGACATTCACAAATTTCAATTGCGTGATGAATGTCGGGCAAAAAGCACGATCATCCGTTAAATGTCTAGTTTTAACTATGTTTGCAAATGCACAAACGAAGGAGATGAATCGTCGTATCAATCGAGACTGTCCAAAGCATCTCTCGTTGCATTTTCGGACATCTAGTTGGTTCTTCTTGTTTCAAAAACCAATTATTTAGTCATATTTTTTAATTTTATGTTATTGTCTAATTTGTTTTCCTTTTTGTTCTAACAATGAAAAAAAAAATTACATCATGATAAGAATGATGAAAAAAAATTGTGAAATAAAATATCTTACATTAAATATAGCCAACACTCGAATAAATTTATGAAAATTAAAATATGTTATTACTTATTAATATTCTTAATTTGTAAAATTATTAAAAATATATGAATTAGAATAAATTTATTAATAGTTACAAACGTATTCACGATATTAGTTGTTGCAATCGTTATTTTACTACTCGTGATAAGCTGCAGTAGCAACCTTTTCTTAATCGCGATCATTATTTAAAACTATGATTAGATACTAATACCATAATAACTGGTTCTTAGCTATTGGAACAATGCAAGAAGAAATCCAAAATTCAGGATTTTGCCACTGAAAACATCCAAACACTAAGTCAGGAAGAGTTCAATGCTGAGCAAAGGCTGGAGGTGACATGTTCTTATCGCAAAGATCTCAGAAATAGTCCAAAGCGATATCAGTTAATCAATGGCTATATTCTCTTTAGCAAGTCCAGTGCAAGCAACAAAGAAACAAAAGAAGTGTAATGGCACTTACCAGGGCTGACTACTTGTTTGGGATTAAATTATGAGTAACTGCCTGCCATCGAAATGATTCAACGTAGACTTTAAGCTGCAGAGTGCCTCTGTAAGAGACAAGGTGTGCTCAACGAATCAGACTCAAAACTGTTTTTTTTTTTTTTTTAACTCACACAGCTAACGGTCTTAACAGAACTAGTTTGTCAGAATTTAAATTTATAACTTCTTGTTGCAAGAGACTACTACCGTTAGGTTACAAGCTCTTTAGTTGTACTTGAACCTAAGACCTCACTTTCCTCTCTTTTGAGAGAATATCAGTAGGCTAAAAACGTCTTTTGGTAACCTACATTTCCTTGATTGATGCTCTGGACTAATTATATATCTGTGCAGATCAGCCTCTACGGACTTAGTCTCGGCGAGCAAAAGCTAGCCTGAGTAACCAATAAAACCGAAAAGCCTCTGCCGGACTATTAGCTGAACAAACTTACGTACGAGCAGATATAGCTTTCCTTTGGCTCTCATTGATATCAGATAACAAGAAGCAAAATATGAACCGATTGAGGTTTGAATTAATATCGGTATCTCTAAGTCGTCGTAAAATTCTAACGTGAAACTCCAGTGCCACTCCGGTCTGGACAGATACATGTCTACAAACACTAAAACCCTCCCCTATAAAAAATGGAAAAGAAGCACATTCAATCTCTCAAATCAATATCTGCTTGCAGCCAATGGTGCCACTTCAGAAACGGAGTCCAGAGAGTAGGCACATGCAAGTTCCAGCACATCGGGCATGTAGGATTCAGCCCTAACCAACATTCCACACATTTGAGATGAAAAGTATGATCACAATCAGGAAATAAATAACCTTAACAGATCACTGTCTTTATAGTCCCGTGAGTATATAGAACAGCAAAAATTAAGCTAGTGAATGATTAACCTTGTGCTCTAACTTTGCTTGTGAATATAGCAACTTAGGGTAGCTTGCAAGAGTGGCTTCATCCGAATTCGATTGCAACAGAGCTGTGGTCAGCGATGGAGCTGCCTTTCTTGCTAAGGGACCTTGTATGCCATGGGTGCAGATATATGAGGCAAAAATTATGATTATGAATTTATGATCAAATATCAACATTTTGCAAAGAGACTAGCACCAGAGAAAACGCGGTTGGCAAGAACATCGGCAAGGTGTATGTGCTCACCGAATAGTATGACTAAAAGCAATCTGGTTGTGCCTCGAGACAATCATCTAAAAAATTCAGCAAAACTATTTGGATGTTCTCTGTTCGTGATTTTTTTCAGGTAATATCCTTCTATTTTTCCAACAATGATCAATAATAAGTTGACAATTATATGTATAATTTCATTTAGGAAACAATGTCAAGACATTCACAAATTTCAATTGCGTGATTGTCTAATTAATCTCAACTTTACAAAGAGCAGTAATTGGTTGACAATATATATGTCAAGTTTGCATTCAGGACAAAGCATCAAACAGTGGCCAAGCACAATCATCTGTTAAATGTCTGGTTTTAACTATGTTTGCAAATGCACAAACGAAGGAGATGAATCGTCGTATCAGTCGAGACTGTCCAAAGCATCTCTGTTGCATTTTCAGACATCTATTGGCTTATGTTTTATGCAACTCTAAGATATAAGTCAACTCAGTTAACATCTAGAGCTTTAAAATTACAAGATCCTAAAAAAAAAACTCTACAAGGATTACAAATTTGAGTAAAAAGTAAAAAAAAAAAATCAGGGCATAAACTCTACAAACCATGTGTCAAAGAACGCTCTCTGGGGTGCCACAGAAGCTGTTCTGGTGACATCGCTTGGCGTTCCGACAGGCGATTTTCGACATATAGGACAAGTAGTATGCAACTTCAACCATGGATCAATGCACTGTGTATGGAAAATATGATCGCACTCAGGCAAAAGCCGCAGCAAGTCACTATCTTTATAGTCTGCCAAGCAAATCGAGCAACTCGAAGCAGCTATCGAATCATCACCCTTTTCGACCTTCTCCTTTGCTTCAGAATAAAGCAGCTTTGGATAGGTATTGAGAGTGGCTTCATCCAGGCCTATTTCTACAATGACCGAGTCATGATCATCTATGGACAAGGCGCCATCGTGAAGAGAATGGCCTGCAGGTATTGCTTTCCTGGTGCAGAAGTAGGAAGCCAGAATAGCAATTGCAATCACAGAAAGCACGCCAACGGATATTCCAAAAGTTACAGCAAACCCACCAAAGTTTGGTGTGGATGACTCTATAGGACTGCTGCAATTCATCTTCTTGGAATGCTTATTGGGCTAGCTGGAAGTGTTTTGTCTTGAAGATGAACGGAAGTGGAAGAGTCAAAGATAGATCTAAACGAAGTTAAAGACTTGGAGAAAGATCTGCAGACTCAAGTCATCATCTTGTTATAAATTTAAATGCAACTTGCTCCTTGTCAATTTTCAACTTGATGGGGAGACAATAGGTTAAGGTGATTGGATTCTGTTTTTCTTCGTAAAGCATTGCGATGTAAGAAATAAAAGATTCATGAATCTCGATAAGCGGAATTCACTTCTAAGGTAGCATCTAGATAAAACTGGAAAAAATACTCTTCTAAGCTACCTAGATAAAACTGGAAAAAATACTCTTCTAAGTATTTTTTTGTATGAGAGAATTGTTTAGATGTTGGATTCATAGTTCCAAACGATGGCTGTTATGTTAAGTAAGAATCGTTATTTAATGTCTTTAGACATGTTTGTTTTTATTACACAACGTTATAAAAGATCAGACGATGTTTTACCTAAATAACAACAATCATTATTTGATGAACATCGACTGTCATATTATTTTTTTGTCTTGAAGATGAATGGAATTGGGAGATTCAAAGAGAGATCTAAACAAAGATAAAGACTTGGAGAAAGATCTGGGGACTCGATTCATCATCTTGTTATAAATGAAATGCAACTTGCTTCTAGTCGATTTTCAACTTGATGGGGGGGACCATAGTTTAAGGTGATTGGATTCTGTTTTTCTTCACGTCTTTATCTTTGTTTAGATAAAGGATTGCGATGTAAGAAATATATAAAAGATTCATGAATCTCGTCACTTCTAAGGTAGCATCTAGCTAAAACTAGAAATAATACTCTTTTTAAGAATTTTCGTGTTTGAGAGAATTGTTTAGATTAATAATATTGTCGTTTGGATTTATAGTTCCAAAATGACGGCTGTTATGGTAAGAAACAACAGCTGTTTAATAGATTAGATTTGGATCCGTTCGTTTTCATTATACAATATTATAAAAAATACAAAGAGTTTTTTCAAATAAAAACAATCTTTAGTCATATTATTGTTTTAGAAAAAAATATATATTTTTTTATTTTTTGAAAAAACACCACTAACTGGCTGGAAATGTCACTACTTTTTTCTTAATTATTAAAAATGTTATTATCATATTTTATTAGTAAACTAATTTTTAATAATTACTAATGTATTTACAATATTAATTGATATGACCTGCGGTTACATTGTTCGTCACAATATAAAATTATGGTTGATATTCCTTAAGCAGCAAATCTCTCTAATACTAATATTGATGCCTCGTTTTTGTGGTGACCTTTTGACATTATTTTATCCTCAAATCTCTCGTCATCTGGTGCGTTATTACATAAAAATATTGCATGTAGGCTTGAAATAAAATATATTTTTTTATCCTTTCTTTCTATTGAAGATTGGCACGAAGCAAAAACAAAAAAATGTATTTTGACCCTTACAAAAAAGATTGAGCTAGACAACATTAATTAATTATCTTATGATGTAGTAGTCCACGGTTGCCGATTTATTTTTATTCTTTTCTAAACCACTGGTCAATATCCCTAGAAATGTTGGCCTTTTTGGGTGTCTAAAACACTCGATCAAAACTAGTAATATATCTTCTCATGTCAATCAAAACTAAACTATTAATTTTTAAATTAAGTCAGAAATGTATTTAGCTTTTGGATGATTATTAAATTATTTTTTGAATCAAATTAGTCCAAATTGAATGTCATTTAAGAATAATTATAATTAATTATCTATAAATAATGAAAATTGAATTTTAATCTTAACGGAATCAAAACAATCTAAAATGTCGCAAAAAAGAAAACTTTCGGAAATACGTAAAATTAATATATATATATATAACCATCATATACACCTGCCTGAGGTCAGAATGGTGCATTTCAACCTTTGGAAGTTTTCAATTTATAGATTGTCAGCTAGTAATACTCAGCCCTGCCTTTCTTGGATAGAACTTTAGACTTCCTACCCTTGAAACACACTGAAGCATATAGGTTTGACTAGCACAGTATGCATGCCTTGCCGTGGATAAGTTTACATAATGTATTTTAATATTTTAAATAATTTTTTTGAAAAAAAAATCTAAGTTATAATTAAAATAAATTAACATCAATTGTATAATTTGTTTAGATGTTGGATTCATAGTTCCAAATGAAGGCTGCTGTGTTGAGTAACAATCGTGATTTAACAGATTTAGACATGTTTGTTTTTATTATACAGCGTTATAAAAAATTCAATGATGTTTTTTATTAACAATAGCCGTCGTATTATTGTTTTAGAAAAGAAAAAATATATTTTTTGATTTTTTGAAAAAAAACTATTAACTCAACATGAAATGTCACTACTTTTTTCAATCTCTAGATGTATTATACAAGCTTCCATATAGTCAAATAATTATATTATTGGAGATTTATTATCATATTTAGTTAGTAAATTTATTTTTAATAACTATTAATGTATTTACAATATTAATTGTTATATTCACGATTACGATTGTAACTATTTTTATATTCATGTTCGCAATATAAAATTCTGGTTGATATTCCTTAAGCAGCAAATCTCTCTAATATTAATATTGATGCCTCGTTTTTGTGGTGACCTTTTGACATTATTTTATCCTCAAATCTCTCATCATCTGGTGCGTTATTACATAAAAATATTGCATGTAAGCTTGAAATAAAATATATTTTTTATCCTTTTTTTCTATTGAAGATTGGCTCGAAACAAAAACAAAATTATATATATATATATATATATATATATATATTTTGACCCTTACAAAAAAGATTGAGCTAGGCAACATTAATTATCTTATGATGTAGTAGACTACGATTTATTTTTATTCTTTTCTAAACCACTGGTCAATATCCCTAGAAATGTTGGCCTTTTTTGGGTGTCTAAAACAATCTATCAAAATTAATAAGATATCTTCACACCTTAATCAAAACTAAATTTATTATTTTTTAAATTAAAATTAAAATTATTTTTTAAAAAATTAAATCGGTGTCAGAAACGCATTTAGCTTTTAGACAATTATATAACTATTTTTTAAATCAACCTAACCCAAGTTATATATATACCACCAAAAAATAATTATAATTAATTATCTTTAAATAGTGAAAATTAAATTTTAATCTCAACCGAAGCAATATAACCTAAAAAGTCATAAAAAAAATGTCGTGAATACTTAATATATATATATATATATATATATATACCTGCCTGTGGTCAGAATGGTGCATTTCAACCTTCGGAAGTTTTCAATTTATATTTTCTCAAGATAGCTGAAATTTGCTCTATCCAACAAGATTGTTCAAGGGTTTAGGGGCATCAGCCCTGCCTTTCTTGGATAAGCTTTAGACTTCCTACCCTTAAAACATACTGAAGCATATAGGTTTGACTAGCACGGTATGCATACTTTGCCCTGGATAAATTTACATAATGTGTGTGTATATATATATATATATATATCTAAGTTATAATTAAAATAAATTAACATTAATTGTATGGATTTTTTTAATTTAATATGTATTATATAATATTTAGTAAAATGTTTATATTCCATAATTGAGTTTAAATATCATATGAATATGTTTGATTTTGATCAATAAAAAAAATAACAAGAATTAATTATCTATTTTTTTTAAAAAAAAAATCAAATTAGAAAGGGAGTTAAATCAATTTATATTAGAATATGTTTAATTATAGTTAATGGATCTATAAAAAAAAACTATTAACTATTGAGAAAAAGAATATTTTGAGCAAATAATAAACAATTAAAAAATTAAAAGCATAAAAAAGAAAAAGAAAAAAGGAGATTGGGCTAGGGCGCACACCAGGCCCTTTCACTTGGGCTCAGGCACACAAAAAACTTGTTGTAACAGAAATTAAGTTTAGAGATCGGTTAGTATAAAATTAAACCTTTAAGGACCAAAGCGTAAACAATTGACTGAACGTCGAAAAAATCAGTTTTTTCTTTTCTTTGTTTCCGATAGAGCGACTTCCTTTCAATCCAAAATTACATAAAATAACGTTGTTTGATCCCCCACATTATGAGTTCAGCTATAGTGAAATCACTAATCCAATAACCGCGTGATGTCGCCAATAAATCTATTATATTTATATTTTAATATTTTAAATAATTTAAAAATATAAACATAAAATAAAAATTAATTAACACTCATTGTAAAAAAATTGTTTAATATATATATGTGTGTATGTGATTGAATTTAAATATATCTTGGGAATTTTTTTATTTTGATAAATAAAAAATAAATGCAATTGATTATTTATTTTTAAAAAATAAAATTAGAAGGAGATGCTTAATCAATTTATATTAGAAGAATATTTAATTTTAATTAATGAATATTTATAAAATAGAAAAAGTAACTATTAATTATGGGGAAAAATTATTTTGATTAAATAATAATTAATAAAAAAATAACCCAATCAGATAAAAAACTTATAGGGATCTTTTTATAATATTAATTAAAATTAGAAACCATTGTATAAAAAATAATAACTTAGATGATCAAAATATAAAATATTAAAAAACTGACACGGGGTCATTTTAAACCTAAAAGACCCAAGACGACGCCGTTTTGGTTTCACCGTAGCAAAGGTTTAGCTATAGTGAAATCCATCCTCTTTTAGTTTATGTTATAATGTTCTCTTAATATATATATATATATTGTTTGTTTTTATATAAATAGATCACTTCACTCGTTTGCCTCGACAAAAAAGCTATTGACTTTTTTTTTTTTTTTTGGCTAGGTTTCGAATTACTAGTTAGCTAACAAATAGTTTTAGACCATAAATATAATTGTAAAAACGATCGTATTCATAATCATAAATTGTGATGGTAAAATATAAATTACGACAATTGATATTGTGAATACATTAGCAATTATTAATAATAAAACAAAAATCAAAAGTTTTTTCTAAACAATAATATAAGGACTATTATTTGGATTGTTATTAATCAAATAATGACATTAATAATCGTTGCCGTTATTATTAGATTTTTTTATAACGTTGCATAATAAAATCAAACATGTCTGAATCCATTAAATAATAACAGATATTTGGAATTTTGAGATAGCTACTCCCACAATTCCTTGATTATGCACTTGACAAGCTAGCTAGACATTATGTTCCGTTTCATCTGACTGCCTAAAATATATTACATTGTACGGGATACTAACAGGAAGTTTCTATAGAATTTACAAGGAAAATGTCTAAAATCCTTCATCTATGTGAAAAATGTCTACAAACATCAGAAAACTCAGATTGACCTCACTACAAAATGGAAAAGGAAACAAAGCCAATCTCTCAAATCATTATCTTCTTGCACCCAACGCTGCCACTTCAACAAGAGGAGTCGAGAGAGGAGTTGGCATAGGCAATTTCCGGCATATTGGGCATGTCGGATGCAGCCTTAACCAACAGTCCACGCAATTGAGATGAAAAACATGACCGCAATCAGGCAACAACCTCAGCATGTCACTATCCTTATAGTCACCTAAGCATATAGAACAACAAGGAGACTGCAGATCATTATCCTTGTGTCCTAACTTCGCCTTTGAATAGAGCAACTTGGGGTAGCTTGCAAGAGTAGCTTCGTCGAGCCCAAGTTCAATTACGGTGGAGTGCCGGTCGGTGATGGAGTTCCCTTGGTCGGTAGTTGTTTGGGTTGAAGATTCTTGTACACCGCAGGGCCAGAAATACGCCACGAGAGTTAAGATTATGATCAAGATTAGGACACCAAAAGCCATGCTAATAGAATGACCTGGGGATGTCCCGTATGCAGTGGAGCTGCCCATGTTTCCTGAACTATCCAGCCGTTTCCGATCTAATCTATTGTACATATATAGAGGGAGACAGAACGCGGTTTTTTAATCCTCTTATGCTATGGAAGATTGGCACGAAACAAAAAATATATATTTTTTGACCCTTACAAAAAAGATTGAGCTAGGCAACATTAATTATCGTATAATGTAGGATTTATTTTATTCTTTTCTAAAACCCTGGTCAATGCCCATAGTTTCTTGACAGGGACAAAGCTGGATTAATTATATATATATATATTTCTCAAACTTAGATGGATTGATCTAATCTATTATTTTTTAATTAAAATTAAATCTATTATTTTTTAAATTAAGTCAGTGTTAGAAACGTACTTAACTTTTAGACCATTATTAAATTACTTTTTAAATCAAACTAATTCAAATTGAGTATAACTTAAGAATAATTATAATTAATTATCTATAAATAATGAAAATTGGATTTTAATTTTAATTTTAAACGAATCAAAACAATCCAAAAAGTCGTAAAACATTTCTCGTGAATACGTAAAATTACTATATATAATCATCGCATACGTCTGCCTTTCACGGATAGAACTTTAGACTTCCTACCCTTGAAACACACTGAAGCATGTAGGTTTGACTAGCACAGTATGCATGCCTTGCTCTGGATAAGTTTACATAATGTATTTTAATATTTTAAATCATTTTTTTTTAAATCGAAGTTATAATTAAAATCAATTAACATTAATTGCAGAGGTTTTTTAAAATTTAATATGTATTATATAATATTTAATAAAAATATATATATTCCATAATTAATTTTAAATATCTTATAAGTATGTTTGATTTTGATCGATAAAACAATAACATGAATTAATTATCTATTTTTTTATACAAAAAAATCAAATTAGAAAGGGAGTTAAATCAATTTATATTAGAATATGTTTAATTATATTTAATGGATGTATAAAAAAATAACTATTAACTATTAAGAGAACAAATATTTTGAGCAAATAATAAATAATTAAAAAATTAAAAGCATAAAAAAGAAAAAGAAAAAAAGAGATTGGGCTAGGGCGCGCACGAGGCCCTTTCAGTTGGGCTCAGAGACAACCGGCTCAAGCACCTGGGCTGGAAGCGTGGCTCAACTATTAAAAAAACACAAAAGACTTCTTGTAATACAAATTAAGTTTAGAGATCGGTTAGTATAAAATTAAAACTTTAAGGACCAAAGTGTATAAACAATGACTAAATGTCTAAAAAATCAGTTTTTCTTTTCTCCGATAGAGCGACATCCTTTCAATCCAAAATGGGATAAAATAACGTTGTTTGGTCCCCCCACGGTCTGAGTTCAGCTATAGTGAAATCATGCTCTCTCTTTTTGTGTATATATATATATTCCTTTGTTTTTATATAATTAGATCACTTCCCCGGCTTGCCTTGACAAAAAGGCTATTGAATTTTTTTTTTTTCTGGCTGGATTCCAAATTACTAGTCAACTAACAACTAGTTTTAAATTATATTATAAATATAATTGTAAAAACAATCATATTTATAATCACAAATCATGATAGTAAAATAATAATCACAATAATTCATATCGTGAATCATTAATAATAAAACAAAAAGTCAAAAGTTTTTTTTTTTAACAATAACATAAGGATCGTTATTCATCAAATAATAATAATAATAGATGTTACTATTATATAACATTATTATTGTCGTTATTTAGATGAAACATTATCTGATTTTTTCATAATTTTATATGATAAAATCAAAGACATCAAATCCATTAAATAATAACAGATATTTGGAATTATGAACTAGCTAGTACCACAATTCCTTGATTATGTACTTGACAAGCTAGCTAGACATTATGTTCCATTTCCATTTCCTAAAATCCTACAGGTATGATTGCCAAAAAATTCGCGTTAAAATATATATTACATTGCACGGAATCCTAACAGGAATTTTCTATAGGATTTACACCACTTCATCTATGTGAAAAATGTCTACAAACATCGGAAAACTGAGATTGACCTCACTAAAAAATGGAAAAGGAAACGAAGCCAATCTCTCAAATCATTATCTGCTTGCACCCAATGTTGCCACTTCAACGATCGGAGTCGAGAGAGAAGTCGGCATAGGCAATTTCCGGCATATTGGGCATGTAGGATGCAGCCTTAACCAACAGTCCACGCAATTGAGATGAAAAACATGACCGCAATCAGGCAACAACCTCAGCATGTCACTATCCTTATAGTCCCCTAAGCATATAGGACAACAAGGAGGCTGCAGATCATTACCCTTGTGTACTAACTTCGCCTTTGAATAGAGCAACTTGGGGTAGCTTGCAAGAGTAGCTTCGTCGAGCCCAAGTTCAATTACGGTGGAGTGCCGGTCGGCGATGGAGTTGCCTTGGTTGGTAGTTGTTTGGGTTGAAGATTCTTGTACACTGCAGGACCAGAAATACGCCGCCAGAGTTAAGATAATGATCAAGATTAGGACACCAAAAGCCATGCCAATAGAATGACCTGAGGATTCCCCGTTTGCAGTGGACCAACCCATGTTTCCTGCACCATTCAGCCGTTTCTGATCTAATCAATATATAGAGGGTGGGCAGGTATAGATGGTCTGACAATTCTTGGGGAGTAACTACCTAGAGAATGTTTGGTAATTTTCATGCGGTGGAGTGACCGCCTAATTGTCAACGTGGAGGTATTGCCTAATCGTCAACGTTTCTGTCACTTTCATAGACAGGCGTGGTTTCTCCACATTGTTTTTCTGACAGAGAAAGACGATCCGATTGGCTTCGAATGAAGCCTGCTGTGAGAATCTGAAAGCAACAAATTCAGCCGTTTCTCTAAGATATTAGGGTTATTCGAGTCTTTCAAAGTTAATTGCAAACAAAAAGTTAGTCAGATCATTTAGTGGTGGAAGTTAAGGTTCCTGAAAAATGTTCTAGCGACCATCAGGGTCCAGAGAAGAGCCAGTTGCAATTTGCATAAACACCGGTGCTTAGCACAAGCCCACCATAGCCAAAATTAGCATGATAACGTTCTAACCCAACACTACTGGAAAGCAGAGCACCATTCAGAAACTTACGGCAAACTATAAATCCAAAAATCAAGTAGACGAAATCTCCATACAAGAGTTCAAACACTAAGTAATTATGAGTCTGCAAGCATAGATGAAATCTCCATAAAAGAAACTAGTAGTGGTCTATCTCCTATCACAATGTTGAGAATCTTATTCTCTTAAATAAATTGTCAAGCCCAACATAATTTGATCTTGATCCCATTGAGTTCCTCTTCAATCACTGTCAACCCCAGTTCACTGATTATTGCTGAGCACATTGCACCCTCTGGGCACCACCAGGCATATCATCATCTTCATCATATGCTTCTTGAGCCTGTTGTTGTTGCTTCCTCCTCATCTCCTCCTCAATGTTCACATCATGTAAAGTAGTTTCCTCACATTCGTCGAGTTCCATATCTGTCAGCTGGATGGAGGATCGTGGAGGGAGCACAGCCTCCAAGGCTTTACACTGATCAGGAGACAGGGAGTCTGGGAAATCAACAGTGAAATGAATGTACAGTTTACCCCTCATGAACGGCCTTTGGTACAATGGCATTCCTTCATCGTTTATAGCCTTGAATTGATCTGGGACAAGACCAAATAGGAGAACCGTAAATTACCAGATACTAACAATTGGGAAACAAACCACATCACTACATAAAACTTGAAATTTTCAGATGATCAATAAAAACAAAACTAGCCTTGCAACACTCTTTAAACAATACAGTTCCCAAATTCAACAATCCCCCAGAACCCAGGATCTTTAGACAGAAAATCCAAATATATAAGTTTAAAAAGTTCAATCACAAGAACTGAAAGGATGTGTTCCATTTTTTAAAGTTTACTCGGTCCGTTGTGTGCTAGAAAAATAGTCAATAGCAGCACCAGTTAAAAACCTGAAATTAATTCTCGATTGGGATTTCTATTACTAACAACAAAGAGAACATGAATGCATCATGACACTTACCAGGCTTGACTACTTCCCCAGGTTGGGATTTTATCAAGAGCTGCCTTCCATCCAAATGAGTCAAAATGAACTGGAAGCCACAGAGTGCCTCTGTAAGAGAGAGGGTGTGTTCAACAAATAGGTCATCACCCTTTCTCTTAAACTTAGGGTGTTCCTTCTGCTGTAGGACAAAAACGATATCCCCTGTAACAGTGTCAGGCTGCACATGAAAGCACAAACCAGTTAGAATGTGCACAAAAGGTAGTTAAAAGATATCCATCAAATTAAGCATCCAGCTCAACTTACAGCTTCATCAGCTTCTCCAGGGAATGTTATCCTCTGCGCATTTTGCATGCCCTTCTCAACAACTACTTCCAGAACTTTCTTCTCTTGGACCACCTTCTCACCCTTGCATTGGGGGCAACGGTCCTTGTCGTTGATTGTCTCACCAGTACCCTTGCAATCATTGCAAGGATGCTGCATTTGCTGGATCATAGAAGGACCAAGATGTCTTATGGAGACCTTCATTCCAGAACCTTGGCAACCAGTACACTTAGATGATGCACCGGACTTGGACCCTTTACTGCAAAATTTCACATGAAACAACAGATGTCAGCTGCAAAAGAAATAAAACCTCAGCATGCAATAACATGCAACACAGTTTATGTAGACACTTACCCTTTGCACTTGGAGCAGATCACATTGCGTGAAAGAGAGAGCTTCTTGGACGTGCCATTATAGATATCTTCCAAAGAAACTTTAAGAGGGTGGATCACATCCTCACCCCTCCTCTGCCTCCGCCCTCTACTGCTACCACCACCTGGACACAAGAATTGTTTTAGATCAATGGGATAAAAAATATATATCCAACGTTGACATGCTCTCAGAATTCAAATCAGAATATCTAGTGGTCAGAATGCTTACCACCAAAAGGATTGCCACCACCAAAGAAGGATTGGAAGATATCAAATGGATCATGGCCACCACCACCACCACCCATTCCTTCTTTTAGGGCATCCTCTCCGTATTGATCATATATCTCACGCTTCTCTGGGTCACTCAGAACCTCATATGCTTGGGCCAACTCCTTAAACTGCAAGGCACACAGAATTCCCAAGTTCAAAAACCACTCCAATTACAAAGACTAGAAAGAAAAATCAAATAACAGTACTCTCCAAGTTATTCTGCAATGTCATGCATGATTTGCCTATGCTTCCAGAAAATTTCACAGCACCAGTACATTTTTTAAGCATAAAAGTTGAAGCCAAACTATAAAACAAACTTGAAAACAAATTCTAAAATCATAAATAAAAGCTATTAGATCTAAATCAAACGGCTCCAGCAGCTCTATAAGCCCGAGAACAATATATCATACAGAACTCAAATTCATATAAGCAGTTTCTACGACCATAATGACCCACTAAAGCAACAGATCTGTTATCAGCACACATTCACATGTAAACCATCAAACCAAAATCAAGAAATGCCCGATTACACAAGACTAATGATTTATCAAGAATAAATAGATAATACCTTCTCGGGATCACCACCCTTATCAGGATGGTTCTTGATGGCTGCTTTCCTATAAGCCTTCTTTAGATCATCTTGTGAAGCACTCTTTGAGACTCCAAGAATCTCATAGTACTTGGTATTGTCGCTTTTCTTTGGTGCTCTCCCAAACATCTTCTATGTCAATTAAATCCTGCATAACAAACAAAAACCATCAAGATCAATGATCATCAAAAAAAAAAAAAATTGAAAACGAAAAATCTAAACAGAACTACAAAATTTGAAACTTTTTTTAAAAAAAAAACAAGTACCCAGAATCAAAATCAAGAATCTAAAAATATTACAAAGATTGAATCCTTGTTTTTTTTTTTTTTTTTTAATAAAGAGTGCCCAGATGCAAAATCAAGGTCAAGAAACTAAAATAACTATGAAGATTCAATCTTTGCGAAAAATAACATAGACCCAGATGCAAAATCAAGATCAAGATACTAAAACAACAATAAAGATTGAAGATTTTCGAAGAAACGCTAACGTACAGATTGTTATATGATTAGGTCACAGAGAGCCACAAGAGAAACGGCGAAACAGAGAGAGGGATTGTTAAGAATGTCAGATCTGTGTATTTAAAGGAAAGAAAGAATAGACGGTGGAGATTTAATTGTTGTCAGAGGCAGATGGTCGGTAGGATTTAATCCTGTCAAAGGGTTCCCAATTTCTTTCTTCAGATTATTGGTTTTGGGGTTTTAAAGGGGAGAAAGGAGGTGGAAATAGAAGGATCTAGAATTCTCTTGAAGGCTTTTGGGTTCTAGGGTGAACCTGGGCCATTGATTTGGTCCACACCTTGCGATTATTGTTCACCTAAATAATTTATAAAGGATTGAATTAAAATAAATAAATAAAAAGGAGGATGTAATTAAACGTGGTGGGTGTTTCTTGGAAAGGTGTGGGAAATGAGAGAAAGGGATCCTTTTAGAGGACTTCTTCTCTGTGTTTTGTTCTCACATTGACCACGGAAAGGGATATTTTGTAATAAGAGATAATTGTAGATGTTTGAGCCATTAAAATAATTATACGTATTTTTTATGTGTAAATATTTAATGTTTTACGCAATTAATTAAGAGGACAAAATAACTTAATTATAGGTTAAAAAATTAGGATCTAAATTAAAATAAAAAATTATATGTTTTTTCTTAGTAATTAAAAGTTCAGAATACTTTCTAACTGATTAATCTTTTTAGAGAAACAATAATTTATACAAAGTAAGAATTTTATTCAAAGTAAAGTATGTGTTTTGATTTAATAAATAGAATTTTTTTTTTCATTAGAAGAAAACCGATATTTAATAACAATTTTTTTTCTAAAGTTGAAGTAGATTTTTCTTTATAATAACAGGAGTTTTTTTTTTTTTTCATAGTGAATGGCAAAAAAAAAAAAAAAGACACATAGAGTGTAAATGAAGGTTTCCATTTTAAAAAAAGAATAGATTTACGTGTTTATTAATAATTGCCACATGAGATATATTCTTGAATATGCATAAATTTGGAAATTCATCTCTTGAAATAACTTTTATTAGGCATTATACAAATTTGGTACTCTTGAAATGAAAAATTCTGTGAATTCATTATGAAATTTTTTTCCTTGTGCAAGAAGTCATTTAGGGCATTAATTGAAGTCAATTAAGGTATTATCCTCCAAAGTAGGAAAGATTTTATAACCACCAGTATATGTAAGGAGTTAATGGCTTAATCTGCTCTTATATAATATTATAGGATAATTTTTTTCATCCATCATTATAAATTTAAGGAATAATTACCAGAAAAACCCTCTAAAAAAATCTTATATCCAAATAACTCATCAATTTATTTTTAAATCTTTCCAACCCAAAATAATATTTTTCTTACCAAAGCATCCAATAGTTAACCTCCAATTTAACAAGTAGTTAACTATTTGATCTTTTGGTAAGATAATTTTTTATTTTATTTTTAGATTTGAGAGATTTAAAAAATAAATTGATGGATTTTTTAGAGTTTTTTTTATATAGTTTTTATCTAATAATAAACTCATTTCATAGTTTTTTATGATTTTGATATTTATTTATTTATTTTCATGATCAAGTCAAGTTTTTTTTTATTGCATTTGAAAGATTTTTTTTTTTTTTTTTTTTTGTGAGGATTCTTTGACTTTTAAAATCTAACATTTGACTACTATTTTTTTATTATATTAAAAAATTTCTTATATTAGATTTTTTTTCTATCTATTGTTTGTTTCATTACTTATGAGATTAATTTTACTATCTAGTAACTATAGCAATCGACGCAATTTAACTAATTAATATTGATGAAATGAGACTCTTGTTATTCGTTTGTAATTTAGTCAAAGGATTATCATACAAATAAGAAAAATAAGAATATGTAATATTATGAACATTAGTGATATTTTAAATCTTAATATATTGATAGAGAAAAAAAAACATCATCGGTAATACTAGTTTTAATTAATCATAACTCAACATTTTTTATCAATTATTTAAATTAAATTACAAGATGAATGTATAACATATTTTTATGCATTAATTAAATAAAACATGATTATCCATAATAGAAATACATATCTTAAAAGATAATGGTTTCATTTAAACTAAGGATAATTACCAAAATATCTTCTAAAAAATCTTATATCTAAAAAATTCACTATTTTATTTTGAAATTTTTCAAACACAAAATAATATTTTTAAATGTCACAAGCCTAAAATAATATTTTTCTTACCCAAACAATCAATAGTTAACACTAGTGTTAATTATTGAGTGTTTTAGGAAGAAAAATATTATTTTAGGGTTGAGAGATTTAAAAACAAATTTATGAGTTTTTTAGATAGAAGATTTTTTTATAAGGTTTTTCTGATAGTTATCCCTAAATTTAATTAAGTCAATTTTATTTTTGAATATGCGTTAAACTTCCAACCTATATTTTTTGTAAAATTTTTAGATCAAACCACTAAAATTAATTAAGTGATTTGCATATGATAATTTTTTATTTTCAAAATACCATTACAAGTCAAACAAATGGATGACTTTTTGTGCAAACCACATGACTAATCTCAGTATTTTAACGTAAACATCTTACTAAAATGATAGAATAAAAACTTTAACATATATTAGAAAATAAAATTGATTTAATTAAGGATATAAGTAATGTCAACTTTCCATGATATTTTGCTAAATCTTTTATCGAAAAACAGAAATCAAATCCTGGTACAATCATAAATATACTAATCAAAGAAAACATCATGATAAAATATTAATTTTGTCAAAACTTGCCATGAAGTACTAGACTATGATACTGTTATAATATTCCCTCTATGGCAACCAGCATGCCAACATAATCCTGAGATTTCAGAATTTCAAGCTTTAGAAGGATTTTCTTATTAATTAGTGTCAAAGGCTTTTGAAATTCAGATGCCATACATCAGCAAGGTAGAAACAAGAAAATCATTTTGGCATGGTCAGGGGTGGAATTAGAACTTTTTAAAAGTGAGTGCCAATATGAAATGAACGACTTTAGAGATAACAAATGATTTTGAGGATGCAAAATGCATATTTCATTACTTCCTAAGAAATAAGTCTTAATTTAAGGGTCTAATTAAAAACCCTTCAAAAGTTTAGGACTAAATTGTAAACTTTCTCAAAGTTCGAGGTGTCATGGCACCATTAACCCTATAAAAAGAATCAAGTTCCTTTCTTGCCTTGTATCTTTCACTTTATGTACGAGAAAGGAAAAATTAAGAACAGAAAAAAAGAACCTTGTCGGTAATTTGGTTGGTCTTCCATATGCATGGATGCTGACACTGTTCCCTCTCAAATGATCCACCAAAGGTTGAACAGCAATGTAAATAAAGCAGAACGCACTAGTGTCGAACCACATCTAACTTCCCACAGATACTGATTCAAGACTCGGATCATATCCGTCAGGATCTGCTTCTGACGACAACTATAATGCCATCATCAAATAGCATCAGATCCTGCATAACTTCAGGGGCTTCAAAAGGAGATCATTCATGTTGATATCGACACCACTAGTGTTCACGATAATATTCCTGAACAGCCTACAATTACAATCAACAGCTGGTAACTTATTCTGGATATGCAATGTCCTTATTACGCATGTCTCAGAAGCTTCAGAGTGCATTTAAAGTTTAAAGAAAGAAACTTAGCAAGGGCTAAATATTAAGGACATTTCTTATATTAGTTGATTATATAAAAATTAGGAGGAAATGGAGGATGTTGCCTATCAAATCTTTTGTACTAGGTTACATGATGTTTAACAAAATCTGCACAAGGAAACGACAATTCACACCACCAAATTCATGAACTTCTTAAACTAAATTGCTGTGAAAATAAGAGCTCAAATAATATCAGAAACCTTGACAAAAGAACGCCAGCTACTGAGAAGACGCTAGAAGCATCCTTGGTAGAATTAACCTCATATAAGCATATCCAGCCATTGTCACCTGTTAGAGTTGCATCTACATTTTAAAAGAAAAATTCAGAAAAGACGCAGAATTGCCAAGACACAACAACAAAATTAAGTTCATCAGGGCTGGGGACTGACCAGGGAACATAAGACAATGGTTGTGCTGCACCCCCCAATTGAGCTTTCCAATAAACATCAAACACATGTAGTTCAACCATGTGATCCATTGTCTTCATGACAAGAACATATGGAACATCAGAATCACAACAATCAAAACTTTGACTCCATGTAAACTATGTGGTGCTTCCGTGGATTCACAGAGCACAAATAACATTCAACACCGCACCAAAAGAAAATTATATTGTTTTCTCTTCACTTCCTCTTATTTGCCCCCTCTTCCCTCAAAACCAAACACTAATATGTTTGTATGCTCTAGACTTCATATGATGAACTGGAAACTAAGCAAGGCCTAAATAGCCATGCAAAAGAGCTGAGCAGCCAAGAGTCAAGACACACCTTGACCTTGTCAAATAATCATATAGGTTTCGGTTTGTGTGGCTCCCATCAAATGGAAGCCAATATCTCAGTGCATTTCACATCAGTGGGATTAAGTTTCTTTTCTCTTCATTTGATGGACTAGAAATTAAAAGGGCTCCAATTGGCCTGGCAAAAATCAGAGCAGGCAAGACATATCAATCCAAGTTGAATGAACCAAGATCACAAATAGTTTAAAGTTACAGAAAAGTACAAATTATCCAATACAAATATAACTCCAAAACACAGCCTTTACCATAAATATTTCCCATTCAAAGTTCTACTTCAATTTTTGCTCTACAACAAACCATGAAAAAAATCCATCTTTCATGTTCTTCAAGTTTACTTAAACAAAATAAAATTTAAATAAGGTTAAAAAGAAACAAATTCTTCCTTTATCCAAAAAATTAAAAAAAATAAAAATTACTCAAAAAATTAAATACGAATCCAAGGAGTTTATTTTTGTATTAATGTCAGGATGCCTCTGTATAAAACAACGGCCACAAAACCTGACTTTGAAGCTTTACATGTATAATCACTCCTAAAAAGTTATTCTTAGCTTAAACCACACAGACAGAATTTACAACTTCCTCATTCACTTGAAAATATATAGCAAACAAGATAAATTCATCTCCCCAGGCCTACAACACACATAACCAAAAGTCAAATTTCAAACACCTCAAACTAGAACAATTACCACTCAAAGTGAAAATCTAATCTGCATATACCACATCTAACAAAATTTCACAGAAATTGCATGTCAAATGAAACTACAGGAAGCAAAAACATAATGACCAAAGCGTGTAGCAGTACCTCATGGGCTCTATCACACCAGCAAAACTCAGCCTGAACCTTGTTCCATTATAAAGCAAAGTCAAGCACGTGAAACAAAGCTCAAGCTCTTGCTTCAATAAAAACCCTCTATGCATACTACACAGTGCCACTTTCACTATCCTGCTTATAAGCAGAGACTAAACACCATTCCTCCTCTCTCCACCTCACCTTGTTTCAATTTCTCAATCATCAGAATATCCCAAAATCGAATTGTAAATCGATAACAGTCACACCCAAATCCCAAACAAAACCCTTCACAATAAATGTCTTGCGTTCAAATCTATGTGTATTTGGGAAAATTGTTGGGCAACATATTCAAAAATTGAAATTTCACAACAAAAAAAAAAAAAACTTTTTTTTCTGCAGGGTTTATGGAGAAAGCCAGGAACTTTGTTTTGGTCAAATGCATTCTGCAGAATTTTCCTTTTTAATTTTATGTTCGTGCATTGTTTAAAAAATCTACATTTCTTTCAACATTTATATCTATATTCATCAAAAAGACAAAAGATAGCCAGTAATTTTTACAGCGATTACAAACAGTGATTGATTTGGAACTGATTGTGAAAAGTATGAAGTGCGCGACAGTTTTTACCTGAAAACAAATGGTCTAACTGATGGTGAAATATTCCTCCTTCATGCCTGCAGAACATTGAAATAGAGCATGATGATGTACTAAAATATCTTGTTTAGGTATTTCTCAAAGTATGAAAGATTTTATATTAAAAAGTTGGTGATACATACATACATATGTGTGCGTGTGTGTGTAGAAGCATATTTTGTTGTACCTTGGAACACTGGACCAGAAACAGAGTTGATTAATCCGTCCACCAACAGCTGGCAATATGCTCGTCACTGAAACTTCAATTTGCTCGCATTCAAATGATGTATGACGGCCTTTGCATGGCCATCTAGCTGTATCCTCTTGTCTTTCATTTCATTAACAAGGGCTGTACCCCTATCTATATCTCCTATGCTACAGTATCCTGATAAAAGAGCTGTGTATGTCACAGAATCGGGTTCCAGTCCACTATCATTAATTTGTTTGAAAAGGCTTGTGGCAACTTGAATGTCATTCGTTTTACAATATCCAGACAAAAGGGATGTGTATGTCACAGTATCGGGTTTCAATCCTCTGGCAATAATTTCTTTGAAAAGGCTTGTAGCATCCTGAATGTTGTTCATTTTACAGTGCTTGTCAATCAGAACAGTGTAACATATAACATCAGGCTCTACATCCATATCCTTCATCTCCCTCCAAAAAGCTAAAATGTCCTTTATTTTTGAACAACCGTCAATTAAAACAGTATAAGTGACAACGTCAGGTTCAATCCCTCTTTTCTTCATATCATTCAAAAGATCCCAGGCCTCCCTCAAACGATTCGCCTTGCAATAACTATTTATCATGGATGTGTAAGTAAACAGATCAGGATTTATCCCTCTGGTGATCGCAACATCAAAAACTCGCTGGGCCTTTCCCATTTCTCCGGCATGGCAAAGCAAGCCTATGACTTTACTATACATGATTTCGCCAGGACTTACATCCATGGCCAGCATTGTGCTGAACAAGAAGAGAGATTTCTTGTAATCATCTTTTTTGCAGAGATTACAAAGTAGTTTTAAGCAGGAATCATTATTCACTACAAATCCTTGCTTGGACAGCCTGGCAAACAGTTGAAAGGCCTCATCTGTGTGGTTTGCCTTGCAGTAACCATTGACCATGGTACTGTAATTTTCCAAGCACTTCTCTTCCAGATTATCAAAAAACGCTTCAGCATCCTCCACCTTACCCCCTATACAGAAGCCTTCAATGGTCTTATTGTGTGTGGCCATGTTGGGTTTCAAACCCCAAGTATCCATGTCATTCAAAAGTTTAAACGCCTTCTGTACAAGACCGTTTCTAGAAAACGCACCAACTAGTACGTTATAAGTAACGACATCAGGCTTATGTCCATTCATTTTCATTTCATGAAATAAACTTAAGGCATCATTGAGTTTACCTTCAAGGCAGAAACCGTGAATCAAAGTCGTGTAGTTGACAACATCAGGAACCATCCGCCTACCCTTCATGTCAATGAGCAATGCCACTGCTCTGTCCATTTCTCCCAGTTTGCACAAAGCATTCATGACTATATTATAGCAAGCTTTGTCAAGTTTTATTCCCATCTCCTTGAATCTATCAAACTGACTCACCACTTCAGAAGCCCCACCCATACAAAGTAATCCTTGAAGAATCGAGCTCAGAATCACACAATTTGTTTTGATACCTTTAGACTCCATTTCATCATGAAGAGACAACATTTTATGTAAATCCCTAGCCTTGGAAAATCCCCAAATCAATGCACCATAGATATAAACATCTGGTACAAAGCCTTGGTTTTCCATGTCAAGCAAGACACTCTCTGCCTCTTGCAATTTCATTTCTTTGCAGAACCCACGAATCACAGCTGTGTAAGCAAAAACATCTATTGGAACCTTTGCGCTTATCAATGCCTGGAGCATCTTAAAACCTGAATCCGACCCCTGATGCTTACAAAGCCCTTCGATATACGTGGTGTAAGCAAAAGCATTTGGAGTCACTCCAGCTTCCTGCATCTCACAAAATACATCAACGGCTTCCTCCAAACTGCCTCTCACACAAAATGCCTTAATAGCAAGGGTATATGTGTAATCATTAGGGCTCAAATCAATGCTCTTTAAATGCCGATAAATGGCGACAGCCATGTCCACTCTCCTACACTCAATCAACCGGTTCATGAGAAAGTTACATGACAGTATCTGTGGAACGAATCCACAACCCTTATTATTTTGGAAAAGAACATCAATAGCCTCATCAAACATTTCAACCTTAGCATAAACCTTAACCAATGCATCCGACACTCGAGCAAGAACATTGCAAGACTCACTCTCAACCCCCTCCCCCAGAGCTCGAAAAAAATCCACAATTTCAAAATCCAAACCTCTCTCTTTCCTAATAAGTTCCAACAATACGGAATCCAATTTCCTACCCATACCCCAGCAACACAAGATTCTAACAATAGCAGCATATGCATAAACATCATGAGAACACCCCTCTTGTTTTAACTCCTTAAACAGTGAAAATGCAGCTAAGGGCTCTTTTCTCAAACTGTTCAAAGCTTCAGCAACCTTAACTCTGTCTAGCTCTAAAGAATGGCTTGTAGTTAAGTGATTTTGGTCATGGGTTTTCACTGTTTGCTCTTCTGTATCAGAGTTTGACAAAGTGGGATTCAATTGACCAAGAGCTGAAACTGTGTAGAATCTAATCAAAGTAACATTCTTTACATACTTTCTACAAAAAATAAGCTTTATTGATGACACCCACATGGAAATTACAAGTCTTTGAAGGAAAAGAAGATTTTGAAGTAAGCTCGCTTACTTGACTGCCTTGGTGTTTAGAATTGAAGAAGCAAAGATGTGGCCCTGGTGAGAGACAAACAGAGAGAGAAGAAGGGAGGGAGGGAGAGTGATAGAGAGCAAAACCATTGCAAAACCCTGCTAGAGAGAACATGTTCAGGGTTAAGGTTGCACCTGGTTCCTGTGTAAGTGGAAAACGCTGATGAATTGATGGGCTTCAATATAGCCCACTGTATAAAATTGGTCAGGCCCATACTCAGCCCTGTAATTAAGCTTGTTTGGGCTTTTGAGTGGAAGGGTAGAAAATTTTGTGGGTCCAATTTTACTGCAAATTATGGTTAAATGGTGAAAACTTATGAATTTTAAGTCTTTTGAAAATTAGTTTGTAAAATTTTAATTTTTAATTAGATATATTTATATTTATTTTTTATTTAAAATTTATTTTTTTTGTTAAGTTTGCATCAATTATATGATAGAATTACACGCAACTCGCATATGGTTACCCTTTTAACTTTACCAGAGTTAAAAATGTATCAAAACTTATAAATGTTTTGACTTTTACACAAAAACTTATTGATGTTTTTTTTTTCTAAAACGCTTTTGAATTACTTACTTCTTAATATTTTAAAAAAGAAAATTCCTAATTTTTAGCTTGCAATTGACTGTTGAGAAATTATGCTTCCACGATATAATTTATGTAAACCTAATAGTATGACCAAAAAATAAGAAATAGCCGAAAAGAAATCCAACTCAAAATTAAAAATTAAAATATCAATTCTCAAAAGATTTAAATTTCAGCAGAAGTTTGTATCATTTAATTTATTTATTTATTTATTTATTTTGTTTAATGTATCGTATCGGTATAGAGTTTGTTTTAAAGTCATTTTCAAATAAAACTTAATTTCAGCTACCACGCAAACTAATGTTAGAATATTCTTAAATGTTGGATAAAGGAAGGAAGGAAAAAAAAAAAAAAAAACCCTCTCCTTACAGTTTTTTGTGCCCTAATTTTCTTCCAATTTGTTCACTTTCGGTTAAGGTCCAAGTATCCTTTTCCTTATCCTTTTAACCTGTAAGTTTCTGCATGGGAAAGGCAAGGAGAAACGTCAAAGTTTGGAATAATTGCACCTCAAGGAAAATCACATTCACACCCATTTCTGAGGATGATCAGTGCATTGAAAATTACAGGTCCATCATCTATCTAGCTAAGATGCACACTGCATTGAAAATTTTGTTTTGGATGATCAAAGAGCCTCTTCGTTTTATTTTACAAAAAAAAAAAATGTTTAATGCTTTAATCTATCTTTATATATTAATAAATTTTTTATTTTTATTTATTTTATTTTTAAATATATGTTAAGTTTTTAATCTATCATTTTGATAAGATTTTTAAGAAAAATAATCAAAATTAGTCACACAATTTGCACACGGTTAATTTTTAGGCTAAATAAGTCAAACCTTATTTGAAATTTAGTCTATTTGAAAATTAATTTTTAAATTTATAATTTTTTGTTTGACCTCTTTTGGTGTTTTTTTTTAATTTATTTCATCTTTTAGTTTTTTGTTAAAAATAACGATAACCTAAATAGCCTCATAATCTAGATCATTCAATGAAATTTATCTGAAATTCTTTAAAAAAAAATTAAAACATTTTGAATTATTTTCTATTTTTTCTGATTTTTTACATTTTTAATGTTCAAAAGATAAAAAAAAATATCTCTCTCTATCTTGAAAGTTTATGATTTTTTTTTTAAATTGGCTAAATTCCTCGTAATTTTTTTCAAAACATCAGATTCAAAAATAAAAAATTAAATTGTTTTTGATAGAAAATGTGATAGTTAGAAATTATAGAACGAACTAAATTTCAATAAAATAAAATTTATGAAAGATTAAATCAAAAATTAAAAACTCAGAATTGATTTTCAAATGAACTAAAATTTAGAAAATATTTAGTCCATTTAGCCATAAAAAAATTATAAAATACATTTGCAAGCTAGATAAATAAAAGATTTTTATATAAAAATTTACATAACTAATTTCAGTAATCTTGTTTAATAATCTCATCACAACAATAGATCGAAAATTGAAAATTCAACGTTTATTAAAAAATAAAATCATTTTAACATATAAGAATAGATCATATAACTATTCCGTTTTTAATCAAAAGAGATACTCTAATTTATAAAAATCTTTGGTTAAAAAAGAAAAATTTTATAATATTCAACGCGTAATTTATATAAATTATTCTATACAGAGTTAAAGATTAAAAAAAAAAAAAAAAAGAAGAAGAGAGAGAGAGAGAGAGAGAAATATGAGTCAGAAAATTTAAAGGAGAAATTTGAGTAAAGATGGAAATTTTTTATCATCTTTGTTAAGTACAGATGTGATTCTTTTCTGTTTCATTCATGTATCTATCTTTCTTTCTAGAGTAATTACTGTTCATTGCTAAGTATTATAAAATTTCTCAAAAAGCTTCACCAGGAATGACTCCCCAGAATCCATGTCCCACCACTTCTTGTCTTCACATTCGAAAGGATCAAGACAGTCCCTACGGCTAGCATAAAGCCTTCCCATCTCTTTCTCTGTCTTTGAGCACTCTGTCCCAACTTCTCAAAACCCTTAGTCTTTACTTTCCTCTCACTCCTTCCTTCCTTTCCTTCCTCAAAAAAAGATTAAAAAACAAAAAAAACCCTAAATTATGCATATCTAGTGTCTTCTTCACCTGCTGTCCGTCTAATCTTCAAATTCTTACATCACCTTCTCTTGCTGTCCAAATAGACTCTGTTTGTTTCTTTTGGTAAACTTCATGAATCATGATATCAGCATCTTATCTCACTATAATCTCTTCCCATTTGTTTCTTTTTTGACTTTCAACATGTTTTTGGCCTAATCTATCCTTCTTTCTTTCAGGGCTTTAAGGCTTTAACCCCATCTTCTTCTTGTCTCCAGTGTTTTGAAGCAGAACCAAAAAAAAAAAAAAAAACAATAGCATCCAATCCAAAAGCATACCATGTTGTCCTCTCCAATTCTGTACTCTTTTTCACTCTTGCTTTCTTTTTCCCTCATCTACCTCTTCGCCCCTCAAATCCTTCCTCTCCAAAATCCCCAAAGCCATCTTTTTGACGAGCTTGATGATCTTACTCTCTTCAAGAAAGCCCTTAAGCCTTGTAAGACTATCTCCCACTTAGCCACCAGCAATCCCACTCCTAAAATAGCCTTTCTTTTCCTTACAAACTCTGATCTCTCTTTTGCTCCTCTATGGGAACGTTTTCTCAAGGGCTACAACAATCTTTACAACATCTACGTACATGCAGATCCATTTAGTGAAGTCTCAAACCCAGGTGGGATTTTCAAGAATCAGTTCATTCCTGGCAAGAAAACCGAAAGGGGCTCTCCTTCTTTAATCTCTGCAGAAAAAAGGCTTCTTGCTAGAGCCATTCTTGATGACCCCTTTAATCTTTACTTTGCTCTTGTTTCTCAACACTGTGTACCTCTCTATTCCTTTCAATACATGTACAATACCGTCTTTGGCCACAACATTTTGAAAGCTTTAACTACTCAATCTCGTCATCGGAGTTTCATTGAAATTCTCTCCAAAGATCCAAACTTGCCTGATAGATACAATGCTAGAGGTGAAAACGCTATGCTGCCTGAAATCCCATTTGAGAAATTCAGAGTTGGGTCTCAGTTTTTTGTGCTAGCAAAAAGGCATGCTTTGCTTGTACTCAAGGATAGAAAGATATGGAGGAAATTTAAGCTTCCTTGCTTGAATATAGAGTCTTGCTACCCTGAAGAACACTACTTCCCTACACTTCTGTCGATGAAGGATCGAAGAGGATGCAGTCAGTACACATTAACAAATGTTAATTGGACTGACAGCTTTGATGGCCACCCCCATTTGTATCAAGCAGAAGAGGTTTCTCCAAGTTTAATCTATACATTGAGGCAGTCCAACTCAAGTTATTCCTATCTTTTTGCAAGGAAATTTGCTCCCGATTGCTTGCATCCATTGATGGAAATGGCAGATGATGTGATCTTCAAGGATTGAAGAAAAGTGAGCAAAGGTAAGTAAAGTTAACCGTACAGAATTATTGATCCCTTTAGCTATCGCATCATCACTTGCTATGGTATTGTATTCTCTTTTGCTTTTAGACTTTAGCCAGCAGTCTAGGTAATAGCATTGCAAGTGCTGTTGGGTTGGAAAAAACTTCCAACTTGTCTGAATCAATTTTTGTGGTCTGGGTTCTGACTAGCCACAAAATGTGATTTTATTACCATAATTTTCCCATTATTTTAACATTAGAAGGCAACTTTATCTTTTGTTACTTAATTTATTTTTATTTTATTTTTTGTCAAAGATAGGACTCTGCAGTCCACATCGGTTCGGTTCGGTTGTTAGACATTAGGCACCGCTGAGGAAAGCTTTTAACTCTGATATCTTACACGTACAAGAAGCTCAGTGTCACAACAGAAAGGCTATTGGTTAAATAAATTACTTTAAGTTAAATAAATTACATTTTGAAATTATATATTTTGTTTCTTTTTTGCAACCAATTGATTGCTGACATATCGGTTATATAGAAAGTATTGTTTTTTTTTTTTTTTTTTTTGTAAGATAATGTTTTAGTTATTAGCTTATGCAATGCAACTAATTATTTTACTAGGTTTTAAGCTTTTTTTTATTTAGAATGATAGATAGATTTTGATTAGAGGAGGGACACTTTATAGTAAGGTTAGCAATTTTGATGTAACAGCTGATCTATATGCTTATAATTGTAATTAATGCAAAGGGCAGAGGATTATGGTAGAAGAGAATTGATTCCACATTTAATTTTGTGGGGTCGTAATTTAGGATAGTTTAGAGGAAACGTTTTCTCTGTGGTCCTTTGATGAAATTATGAGTTTTGGTCCATTTTAACTTGCTATTTAAGGCAGATTTTAATTCTCTTAAAGGAATACAAAGTTAAGTCTAAGGTGCCAAGTTGGTATCCTCTCCTCCTTCACTTATTGTAAGGAGCATTTGATGTGAATGTACCATTCCGAGTGTGGATGACCTGTTTAAAATCCGATTACGGAGAAATTCGGTTTTCTTATAACCATTGAAAGAAAGAAAAGAGATTAAATGAATGGGTGAAATACATTTTGTCTTTTTATTATCTAGTATTGTTTATTTGAACTCTTTTTATTTATTTATGTTACAAAACAAAACAAATCATGTATTATTCAAACCTGAGACAAATCAGCCCTTTCATCTATCTCCGTTAACCACGTGTTATCATATGATCGGTCAGATGTTGGATGGAAGACTGATTTGCCTCAATTTTGATTAATATAGAATTTGTTTTGTACTATACCTAGTCAAAGGGATTAAAATGGACAATATTGGATAGTACAATGGCACGAAACTTGTGTTCACCCTTAAATGAATTAAAGAACTTGAATGTTTTTGTTCTCTTACAACATTGTTGTTGTAAATGAAGTTGTTCAAAAAGTTTGCAAATGTCAAAATTTTCAATTTAGAAATTGCTAACAACTCATCCTTCTCTTTTTTTCTCTTTAGAGGGATCTTGATTTTTGACCTTTTGGGTCCGTGTTTCATGGGGAAAACAATCCTATGTTCTCATTTTCCTAAGGCTGTGTTTTGAGCCATGACAAAACTGTGTCGGTAGTTTGCCCTTGCAGTGTAGTTCTAACATGTTATAATTAGGACAAAACCCTAGACTCAAGAGCTCACGTGCATTATGGTCCTTTTGACCGATGAACTATTGTAAAATTCTGCTAGCTCACGTGATCTTGTTTGTGAAAATGCTTTTTTGCAGATTGTTTAAAGGAATCTTTGGACCTTTGCAAGTGGAGTGGAGTGGGGTGGAGAAGAAAGAATTATGTTGGTGTGAAGGGAATAAGACCCAGCCCAATGTGATTTTGGTTAAGTTTTTTTCCTCCTTGCAAAGTTGTTTGTATAGAAAATTGAGTCATAATGTGATGTTGTATATAATAGTTAAACACTTTTGCTTTTGTTTATTTTAAGTTAAGTACAAAAGTGATGGAGTGTGAGACTTTAGGGCATAAAGAGTGGAGCAAAGACTCGATGCCTTCCTTTTTCCTAAAGTGAAAGATGGAGATCTCCCTTTGTTCCTTCCAGATATATATACTTTCTCCCTGTGTATTCTCGCATCATACTTTTTCTTGTTTTGACCCTTTTAAATTTAGTGTGGTTGTTGCATGCACATCCCCATTGAGAAATTAAGCCTTTCTCCTTCTTATGTTTGTAAATGGTGTTTTGGGTTTATCCATGGTGATTTCCAGATGATGGATTTTGGTTCCGTCCTCAGCTTAATGGCCTTTAATTCTCGCTTTGAAGCACACAAAGATGATGTTTTATCTTGGCATCCTCCATGAAAACTGGGACTACCTGGCTGAAAGCCCTTTGTCATTGCATCACCAGACACCATCCTGAAGGAGATGGGAAAGAGGACGAGGGATCCTCTAATGCTGGTGTCCAAATGAAGAGCTCAAACTGGATCCCAAAGGACAGTGAAAAGTTGGCGAAATAGTGCGTTTTTCAGGCTTGGTGTTGTTGGGGATTGGAAGAATTACCTTGCCCCTAAAATGTGTGAATGTCTTGATTAACAAGAAAGCACTACAACAAAAGAGAGATTTAGCGACGGATTATAATCCATTGTTAAAAAACAAGTAAATAGCAACGGTATAGAGATGGTTTGAGGATAGTTTATCAGCGATGGATGATGGTCCATCGTTATTTAGTGATTTAGCGACGGGTTAACGATGACATTTGTTAGGAAAATCAGCAACGGTTTATTAATTTTATTGCTATTTTTATGTTTAGCATTAGCGACGAATAAAGGCTTTCATTTAACAACGAGTTAGTGATGGACAATTATGTCTATCATCGTTAAATAACGATAAATCAGTTACAGTAAGATATTGCTATCTTTAAGCTGTAAAAAGCTTACCAATCACACAACAATATTCAAATAAAAATTTCATATTCATAGAAAAAATTAAAATTCTTATTACAATAAAAAAAATAGTATTTTGATGCAAGTTTTTGATAACCACTTTGTTAATGCAATTATTTTTATTTTATGCTTGGGAGTATAATTTGGTTGGATTGCCGAATTGTAAATCTTTTAATAATGTATTATCTTGTCATTCATAGCACTCGTGGATTTCAGATGGGCTTTATATTTGCTTGGGCTGGTACCATCCAATTCTATGTATTGGATTCTGTTTGAGTTTATATGGGCCTACTCTAAATGTGGACCAAACAAGCCCAAGTTTTAAAAGGTAATAAGGCTTCAAGCTATTATTGGGTCACTCTAGACCATGCACGCTAATGAAATTCATCAAGTTTGTCTTGTTAATGAGTTTTTTTAAATTGTTATTGTTCTTTTGGGTATATCTTTGTAAATACCAGTGATTTCTTTTTATTACAAAAGATAGATTCGAATTCGAGATCATTTAAAATGAAGAAACAACATTAATACTGATTGAGATACAATTCATTCGTTAAATGATAATAAAATTCATTTTATGTTCAATGAGTTTGTCTTGTTAATGAATTTTTTTATTAGTTTTTGTTTTCTTGGTATATGTCTCTATAAATGCTAAAGAATTTTTTTTTTTTTTTATCACGTAACAAGGATTCAAACTCAAAATCATTTAGGAAAACAAAAATAATACTCGATTGAGTTTAATATCAAGCTTCTCTTCTTAATGAAATTTTTTTTTATAGTTAATAGATATTGTTTTGTTGATGTGTATCTTTAATGATTTTTTTTATTACATTACGGAAATTCAAACTATAGATCATTTAGAGAGAGGAGGGGCAATGATATTAATTGAGTTACAATTTATTGGCTAAATTGGCTAAATGTTAATAAAATTTTCACTGCGTTCATCAATTTATTTGTTGATACGAATCAACATATATCTTTGTAATATTAATATCTTTTTTATTAAACAATAGAAATTCAAACTCAAGATTATTTAAAGAAAAAAGAGATACTAACATTAATTGAGTTACGATTCATTCATTAAATGTTAATAAATTTGTTGCCTTGTTAACTTTATCTAGACGACAATGATCCTATCGTTTGGAGTTGGGCACCAATAAACATGGAAATCTTAAAAATAAATAATCCCTAAAGCGAAAGCTTACCAACTTGCATTAGGACAATAATCATATCAATTAGACAAGTGGTCCTATCACACTCACCAACCAAGTTGTATTCAAGAACAAGACATAACCACTTTTTCGGTTCCCTCGTCACAAGTGGGAGATAGATGACCAACGAGAAGACAAAAGCAGTACTATAGAAACATCTAACAATCTATAAACAATTAGAATATCATCAATGTGTTTAGTTGTATTGCACTTAGTTAGTCACATCCATCAATTAAATGAAGATAATTTAGAAGCAACCAAGCAAGGTGGGCGAACATTTCTAATCTTTATGATTAATCATTATAGTGTTTAGTTGTGTTGCACTTAATTGTTTACACAAATCATATTTTTCTTCTTTTTTTTTTTCAATTCGTAAAAAATGTTTATGAATCAATTAAGATTAAATATATCTATTAAATAATTTTTAAAATATACTCTATGTACATCTCGTGTGTTTAAAATCATTGAATTATGATGGACTAACAAAAAAAATAAGATAAATAGTTTAATTTATCTTCATATAATATCATGAGTTTTTTATATATTTTAAAATTTTTGATTGCATCTCATCTATTTTTAAATTTTTTTTAAATATTTAATTTGTTCTTTCGATTAATTTTTTTGTACTAAAATGCTCTCCAATGAAATGCAAAAGATAAAAAAAAAAAAAAAAAACCATATATGTCATGCAATTTTAAGTATTTTTTCACTTTAAGTAAAAAATATTTAGGTAAAAAAACTTATTTACGATAAGAAAGTAATGAAAATGACAAATTAAATGTTTTAAATATTTTTCAAGACATATTAAATGTAATTAAAAACATATAAAAGACATGATATTATATAAAAATAAAATTAACTATTCACATATGGTGGATATTGCTAGCTAGATATTTGTTTTACCTTGTGAATATCACAATCACATCAAGGTCTCCTCTATCTTTAATCTTACTTGCAAGATCTTACTATTAGTAGTAAGATTTTAAGATGGTCCCACAATTGGAGGTATTAGGTCTAGATTCTCGGACAACCAAGACCTCTGCATACTATGTTATAAAATTTAAATAAAAGTGTCCATACACTCAAAGAGAACAAACCTTTTTCTTTTATGAAACTGAGGAATATATATATATATATATATATATATAAACACATGTGCTTGTTTAATTTCCATAAAAAGGAAAAAAAAGTTGTGTTTTAACTTAGAATAGGTCATTTCACCTGCATTCTTTAATAGGCTAGTGCTTGACAGAATAAACTATTAATTAGTCCCTTTAATTTTGAAAAATAAATAAATTAATCTTTTTTATTTTAAAAATTAAAATTATTCAATCTCTTAATTAGTATCGATAATATTTAATTTCAAAAAATATTTCTTATTAATCTTTTTATCATATCTATTTTGTTTTTAAAACAAAAAACAGAATAAATTATAAAAAAATAAAATGAAAAAAAATTAAATAATTAATTTTTTAAGAAAAGAATTAATTAATTTTTTTTCAAAACTAGAAGGCTAATTTATATATATATATTTTTGATACTTTCAAATTACAAAAAGTTCTGCAGTCCTTGTCTGGCCATGCCACTAGTTGATTGCTTTATATATTATAAAAAGATTTTTTTATTTTTTATTATATATTCTAAATTCATTTTAAAAAATAAACTTCTAAACTCACCATTTGTTCAAGTCAGTGAGAGAGAAAAAAAAAAAACCGTTTATTAAGGCAGTATTGATCCTATCCTAGTTTTAGGATTCTTTCTGGTTGGAGCCGAGGAATTCAATTCCTCGGCGATTTGTTTTAAGAAGTGACAGCAATGTAAGATTTTACACGTGCATCGTAAGGTGAGAAATGGATTCGGTTACCTACCTGTTACGCTAAAGCGGGAAAACAAATATGTGTGTGCGTGTTTGGCTATTTTTTCTGTTTTGTATTTATTAGGGAATCTTTATAACCTACATATATGGATGTTAATTGATAAAATTTTTAAAAATATATAAATATAAATTTATTAATAATTATAAATATGTTAATATATTTATGAAATTAATTATTATAATTATTATTTTATTATCAAGATAAATTGTAATTGTGATCTCATACAATATTTAAATTTATCATCTTACTCATCTTCCTAAAATTTCTATGGATGCGACCAACTTGTGCTATTTTTCTTTTTTGTTTTTCGTATCAGACAAGTAAATAGCATAAGCATCCCCGAGGATTTGGTGAGGAAAAAAGCCTTAATACAGGCATAGGAAGTCGTGCTACAATATCTTTGCTTTCATATTGACTATCTTTGCCTTAGAAAATAAAATAAATAAAATTACTCACATTTCTATATTTTGTCCTGCCAAAGCGCCAAGCAAGAAAAGAAAAGTGAAAGGCTGACATGACCAACCAAAGCAGAGGACCCACAGTCTCCCATCTTGCTGTATCCCACAAACAGCAGCAAATGGGACTGAGTTAGTGAGTAGAGCTACTCTACTTCTTTAGTTTAGTATTTATTTTTGCAAGATTAAGGAAGGGTTCTTTCCTTACTGCTTTAACTATTCCTTCACCTTCCTCCCTTGCTTTCTCTCTGAGTTGGCGAAGATAAAAGGTGAGTCCAAGTTTCAAACTTTGTGATTTCTTTTTTTTTTTTTTTTTTGGTTTTTTCTTTCATTTTCTTTTGGAAAAATTTGATTTTGTTTCTGCGTTTTTATTTCATCTTTTTATTCTTGTCATGTTAACTTGTTTCTTTTTCTTCTACTTTTTTTTGTGCTTTGATTCAGTAAAGTTTGAATCTTTTTCCTGTAAGGTTTCACTGTTGCATTGATTATATTGCATTTGTTAGTCTTTTAAGTTTTAATTCCTTTATGAAAGTCATTCTTTTTTCCCTTTTTTTTTTTTTTTGAAGAAAGTTGAAACGCAGTAGACTGATTATTTATGTTTCTGGGTTTTTCTCAGTCTTTTGTTTGGTTGCCTAGACTGTGAGTAAAATAGAGAAAATACAATGATGGGACTTATGTTTCTTATCGTTTTGGATTTTAGACTGTTGAAAAGAAATTTTTTTGTTATTATATTCAAGGATTTTGACTCTTTGAGGTGATTTGAGCCAAAAAAAAAAAAAAAAGAAAGAAAGAAAAAGAGGGAAGGAAGCATAACATTTGTAGTCAAATCCTGTAATTAATGGCGAAGGTAATGAACTCATTTAAAGGCATTTACTATTGATTTTTCACTAAACGGAATCTGTTTTGTAAGTTGTAATCCTCCTTTTGTAGTATGCCATTGATATCCATCATTTATTTCTTTCTGTTATTATTATATCAATGGACTGGCATTTGGCAACACAAGTTTGGTGGTTGTTTTGAACAATGAATGGGTTGCAAAAAAAGATTTTAGCTTTTTTGTTCTTGAGGGAATTTTATTTGAAAATTGTATAGCAAAGCACTTTGCTTTTTGGGAAATCTTGGATCCAGCCTATCTCTTCTTTCTCTGTTTTTTAAATATTCCTTTTAGAAGTTCTATAAATCTCTCCTTATTGTAAAGTTTTCTACCAATAAGGTAGGTTAGGATGCTGTAAGAGACATGACACTAAAGTTGCTGAATAGAGGAACATGTTGTGTTGCTTTCTTTCCATAAGAGGCACATACAGCAGCTAAGAATGGATATCTGTGAAAATTGAAGCTTGAACAAACCCTGTTATTGTTTTTCACCATGTCAAGGCAATCTCTCCTACCTCCTCGCTGCCCGTTTCAGAAACATGTGGTTTCTCGTCCAGTTCATGACTCCTACCCACAACACCATAGATCTCCCTCCCAAGGTTCAATTTTGGAGGAGAAGCCAGCATGGCTTGATGATTTGTTAAGTGATGAAGATGCAGATTCCAAGGAAACTTGTCTTCGCCGGTCGGCCAGTGATTCGGTCACCCTCTTGGATGGTATTGTGGATTCATTTTCGGGTTTGAGTCCTTATAACGATGAAGCTGCTTCAGATGGGAATGAAACTTGTAGTGGGCTGAAGTCAGCTTCTATGTATGGTCCTAATTCTCCTAGGCGAAGAGGGAATGTGACCCTTTCGGAGAATGCGTTAGCTTCAGCACTATCAGAGTATGCATTTCAGAATCCGCTGCAGTATGTAGACGGCAGCCTGTGCATCTCGGGGATTACCCCCTTGGATTCAATGGGGAATGCATGTGGTTCATCTGGGGAGCACAACAGCGAGACAAACGCTGTGAAACGGTTAGAGTCTGAAACTCTCTTGTTTGATTGCTCACTGATTTTTTATTTCTTGGTAATCATAATTACTCTTTCTATCACATCAGTTTCTAAGCAATTTCCTAGCCTGTATTCTTTGGCTGTTTATCACATTTTTTATTGGGGAAGATTTCCAATTGTTTGTTAATGCCCCAGCTCACTTTTTAACATTTATTTTAGCTCAATCTGGAATCTGAATCAATCTTCAGATAAATTTGAAAGCATTCAACCATGCTTTAGCAACCTAGCCTCAACTCTACCGAACTAATTTGTAGTTCTGTTGCTTGCTGATTGTGATGTATCCACTTTATAAGCGAGGCCATTTTTTCCTCTTCACATTCAGAGGTTGTTCAGTACTGAAAAAGTTTGTTGAATTTTGTCTTGATCATGTTTGTGAACAGTTGTCTTGTAGGCTGGGAGGCATTCTATTCAGTGTATAGATTTGAACTGTCTTTTCAAACAATACAAAGGGGAATGTTTAATTGTCTGTTAGGAGTCACACCATGAACCAATATGGTCATCCAAGATGACCTCCGTACGTTAGAGTCGTCCCTCACCAATCTTCCTTCTTTACAAATGTCCCCAGACATAAACTTTGGCTGAAGCTCAACTGCTAAATTTCCCACATGAGGTCGAGCCTCAGAATTCTGTACTACTGGCGCTGAGAAATGTGCTTTTTCATACTATTTGCTTGCAGATTGAATATGATAATTCTAGTCCGTAGGTGCTGGCTGGCACTGAATATTGAAGCACACACCTTGAGTTCTTAATGAGAAGGATATCATGGAAAACCTACCACATAGAGCTTGGTGTCATTTGCAATTATATTGTACTTATAATAAAAGTCAGGAAATTCTCACTTCCGAACAAAGTATTCAATTTGAAGCTTCATATTCTCTGATGAATCGTTTTCTCATCATTGTTTTAGCAAAATATGGAGTCAATCTAATTGGTTTTTATGGCTTTCTTCATAGGCACTCTGGGCAGCGCTCAAGAGTTCGTAAACTCCAGTATATTGCTGAACTGGAAAGAACTGTTAATGTTCTGCAGGTAATTAATCTGATGGATGAGATTTTTTGCCCTGCTTTGTTCTCTGTATGGTTGAATCTCTCTTTTTAGGGGTAGCAAGCAGCAACGTTATCCTTTATGCAGTGCATCAGTTAGGTCAATGAGATGATTAAAGTATCGGATAATTTATGCAATTGGGTATATCCATGAGCAGAGCTTACTCTGCATTTGTTTCATTTGAAGTACTTTGCTGGTTTAAGAATAGAAATAGATTGTCCATGATTAAAATGCTTCCACAATCTAGTTTCTACCATTCTTCCCAGTTTTTCAAGTTCTGAGCATCAAGCAAATGTAATTACTGGGCATGTTCAGATCTTTGAAACTCTTTTAGCAATGCACATGAGTTTTGTGTCAATCACACACACACACACACACACACACATAAAAAAAATAAAAATAAAATAAAAAATAAAATTCCTGTGCATGGCAAATTGCCATGTATGTGTAACTGATGTTGATGGATTATGCTTCAATTATATCCTATAGATACTTTTCAGCAAAAAATATTTTTTTTTATTAGACTCGTTTAGCAAATAAAAAATTTAGCGGCTGTGTAACAATCTGCAGACTTTGGAGTCCGAGTTGGCTGTCAAGGTTGTTTCTATGCTCCAGAAACGCGCCTCCTTGTCCCTGGAAAACAGCACATTAAAGCAGCAGGTGGCCAGACTGAGGCAGGAAAAATTGATCACAGAGAGTGAGTTTCTCATCTCTCTAATTCTTTGATTCGTCCCAAATACAATGTTTTGAAGATTTCAAAGTTCTTCCAAACTGAAAAGCATAATTGAGTTTTGCAAGCACATTATTTTATTCTTCCATCCATTTTGCTGCAGCTCAACATAAGGCTTTGAAGAAGGAAGCTGAGAGATTGAAAAACAAGTTAAGCTGTTCCACAAATAATAAGTTCAGAACATATTCCAGATCAACCCCTCCAGAGGCAGCAGAAGTTAAATGGCAGATGGCGAAACTTAATCTTAACTAACAGTAGAAGACCTTATCCATGCTTTCGACAATACATCTCGAACGAGGTTTTCTGCTCATCAGTCAGTCATTTTGTGGAAAAGAAAACAACCTTGCCTTATCATGTCATATATTGTAGGGATACCTTGCACTCCCGGGGCTCGAGTGTTTATATCTTGCCATACTTGAACTGTCAATGAATAAAGGGAGTGCATCAACTTTTCTCCATAATTATCTTTGCATCCACAGATGGGTTGCAATCTCATGCTTGATCATTCAAGTTCTTATTTTCCTAGAAAACCTACTGAATTCCAATCTACAGAAGAATAATCAAAGAAAGCTTCATTACAGAAGATCCCCCAACCTTTAGGCATTTGAAAATCCTACCTTCCTAGCTCATTCCAACGTTGCATCAGAGTTGGTAGGTGCTGTCATAGATTTAAATAATGGCGTGAACAGCTGTTATATAATGATTTTGAAGCATTTTGTTATTATTATTTTAATACTGTAAGAAGTCGCAATCTGCAACTTCAATTTCAACGGTATGGGATTTAAAACCATGGGTGCTGTTACTGCATGATTAGACTACTCAGCTTTTGAAAAGCAAATGGATATTGCGTTTTATTGCCTTATTGATGATGGCTGATGCAACAAAGGCGCATTTCTTGCTGAATTATAAATTTGAAATCTATGGCTACAGCAATTGGATTTTGAGATTTGAAACGTCAGAAAGGGAATCAGATTTTGATTTTTGTGGTTGTATGCATTTCCTTACGGCCAATATTTCTCATAATAGCAATAACCATTTTCTTCAACAAAAAGTAGAAAGAATGTCAAGCCAATTCTCCCTGTAATCCAACATAAAACAACAAAAATAATGAGTTCAACTTTAGATTGATCATTGCCTTCTATTGGCCACAAGATCAAGGATTAATTTGTTCGAATCGGAGGAATTAAAAAACAGAAAGCAAACCAAAGCAGCCACTGTTGGGGATTAGTAAAAACAGTTCTTCAATTTTCTCAAGCTAAACATACATCCCTGCTATCCAAGAAAAAGGAAAGTTCAGCTTCATTTACATATCTACTCGTGTAGAATCAGCTAGCCAAACTGTTCAGGGGCATCCTTTTTCACAAGATGTATTCACAATACTTATTAAAAGAAAAAATAAATCATTGCATGGATAAAGCCAACCCCTCCAAACACCAATTAAGTTACTCAATCAATCATAGTAAATCTGCACATGATTACAAGGGTTTGTCATCCAGCTCTTCCAGTTACATTCACAAGGATCACAGAAAGAAACCGCCTAACCACGAAGCGATGCCCGAGGGACAGCAGGTAGGCCCAGTTCATCCTCAGCCTGTCAAGAATCGAAGTTCAGAGAAAGATGCATTAGCTGGAGAACATTGAGCAAGACATGACAAATACAGGTAAAGCATATCTAACAATGCCTTTCAGAAGCTCAAACAATCTAATTGTTGGGTAGTAGGAAACAAGTTGGCTGTTCTCTTAAGCTGGGATGCAGGGGTTCAAACTGCATTATTTTCCATTTTTTATAGGTAAATTAGTATTCTGTTCCATTAATTAGAGACAATGCTTCCTTCCGATCAAGAGAAAATAACAATAGACGATAAGAGTATAAAAAACCATGAGAGTTGATAACCCTCTCATAACACTTAATGAAGCAATTCTATAAAAAAAAATTTGCTGTACTGTTAATACCTGGGAATTGGACCTGTCAGCAGGTGCTGCATGTCCTGTGGGTGCTGACGGCAAGTTCAGTTCTGAATCAAGACCAGATTCCTTATCTGGTTGCAGATAAGAAGGCACACCTTCAGATTCAGTTTCCATTCCCATGTCTGCTTCCAGAGCATCAAGTTCTGCATTCCAAATGAATAAAGCAATAATAAGGTATAGACAACATTTGAAATGTTCTTGTCTTTTTTCACCCCCGAATCCAGTGCATGAATGCCCTTTTCAAATGTTTGTGTGAGGGTCGGGAAATATTCTCAACAAACAACATGCTATACATTATTAAAGAACTTGCTTTTCAAACACCTGGGCTAAATAGCAAATCAAATTTTCTATTTTGTCCAAAAATAAACTTGGATTGAACCTATAAACAAACTTAAGCTTACCACCCATGAGTTCTTCCTCATCAATATCATCTGGCACATTATAGCTTCTACCCAAGGTCTCTTGAATTTCATTACTCACATCCATCAAGTCCATCATCTCATCTTGCAAGTTCTACACACACACACACCAAATAAAATAAAAGGAGTTAAAACAATTATCATCATTATTTTTTGGGAGACCTCAGTAGAAAATCCATTAAGAGAGGACGGGAGGAGGGGCTTTGGAATCAAGAGACTTCATACATCTATATCTTGAATCTTCACAGTTTTCATCATCCCTTTCAATTCTTTGTTGGCAGATTTCAAAGCTGTCATCTGAAAAGAACACCATAAAATTAATGGGTGAGAAGTCGAGCCAAAATTTTTGGGACTGGTTCACTTAGAATACCCCATGGTTATATATATTTCATCTTAAACTAAATGACCACGCATGCTGAATGAGTATAACAAAACCTAGGAAACTATGTTTTGAAGCAATCCCTCCCTAAGAGCAGACGTTTCATCCCCTAACTCTCACGAGGTGGGCAGCAGGTTCCCATTGGATTGCAGATATCGCTCCACCAGCTTGAACCAGGCCCCATTGGGTGCTACCAAGACAAACAAATATATCAAGGTGAGCGTCCCATCCCCAATGCAACCATAAATTGATCTGGTATAATTACTAAACAGAAACACCTTATCCATTTCACACACACAATATGCTTATAGCCTTAAGTACTGTCTACTACTTTTTGCAATTCCGTCGAACTAACAGATGCTTTAAGGCCCCCTTCACTAGTTATTTCGAAAATGAACATTTTTAAAATTAAATCAACATTGTGGAACATACAGTTTGTTGAGCATCTTTAATTCCTTCAGAAGCAAATGCAACTTGATCAAGGTTGTATGTCTGGTTATAGAGCATATCACGCTGTCCTTCATACCTGTCCAACAGATTTGCAGATTACATTAGTCATTAAGGCAATTGACAATATAAAAATCAAGATGTATGGCATCACCCTAGAATTAAACTTAAGCCAATGCAATTCATTTCATCGCGCCCAACAAAAAGGGCTTCAACCCACTATCAAAATCCACACACGCAATTAGCTCAACCAGTTTAGCGATTCAAATGCAACGAAAAAGGTGTAAACTTTGAAGTTCAAATTCTAAAATACAATCTAAAAACCTCAGGGTTTCTTTCAATATTATGATCACAACTCAATAGCCTTTTCAAATCTAGAGGGAAAAAACCCCAGTTATTTAAAACACAAAATTCAATCTATAAAAAAGAGAGAACTTTAAATACTTACATTTTCTTTTGCTTTAGAACCCTCATAGCTCTAGCTTTAACAGCCTCTTGAGCAGGTCCAGGTCTTGTCTTTTTAATCTGTTCTTTGTATCTAGCAAGTTCTGCATCTAGCTTCTTGATCTTGTCCTCTACTGTATCACCTCTTTGATTAATCTAATGTTTTTATCATCAAATTAAAAACCCATATCACAAATCTGACAAACACCCAATATTATAATTCAATTTCAAAACTTTGTTGAATTACAGAAACAAAGAATTCAAGAAAAAAAAAATACATTACCCTGTCTGATGCATCTTGAATGGAAGGTGGTGGTTCTTTCTCTTTTTTAGCACCAAATACTCTCTTCATCTTGACGGAGACCAAGAAAAAAAAAACAGCGAATTTGGTGATTATGTTCTTGAAAGAAACTAAAGGGAAGATTAGCAGAGAGAAGAAGAGAGATTTTCTTTGTTTTTGGAAGAATTAAAGATTGCTGCTTTTGTTCTTGTTTTACTTTTAACGCGTTAAGGGAAGCTTCTTTGAGTTTGCGAGGTGGCCATGGGGATTCGTTTTGGTTTATGATGTGGCTTGATGTGGTTGGTTGGATGGGCTTATTGGGTCCTATTGTAACGTGCCACGTCATGACGCCAGTTTATGCAACTTTGAGCAATTAATTTTATTAATCTTGTGTTGGACTAAATGGTCCAAATACAATTATTTTTTGAAACACTCATTTTTTTTTTTTTTAAAGAGTTTTTATCAGTACAAGTTAGTTAAAATGTTTTACCAGAGTAGAAAAAGCTTACCGGGTAAATTATAAATTAATCCCTTATTTTTAAAAGGAATTAAATAATACCTCTAGTTTCAATAACTAGTTAATTTAATTCTTATATTTTTAAATTTATTTACTTTCATTCCTTTTTAATTGCTATGTTTTAAATAGAAAAAAATAAAAAATATAAAAAAAATTGTTGAGAAAATAAGATTTTTTTTAAAAAATTAATTCTTACACACATTGAAATTTAAAAAATAGAAGAATTAATTCTTAAACCATTCATTAATTCTTCCGTTGACCGATTCTTTTACATATCCCACTAAAATTTATGAATTATTTGATATTAACTTATAATCATATGGATGAACAAACAATGACTTATCCTTTGTACCAAAAAGTAAACACCTCAATAAAAAAAACATATCTGATAATAATAATAATAATAAGCATGATAAAAAACTAATAGTAATAAAAAGAAAATAACGTTTCTTTTTTGTGATACCGCGTAGATATAGGAGAAATTTTATAATATACAAAGAGTAATTAATGGTATGTACTTGTAGTTACTTATCGGGCTCACTTTGAGAGAGAGATAGACACATAAAAAGAGAGAGAAAATAAAAAAAAATTAAGTAGATGTGAAAATCTTCTTATCACTTTTGATGGGTATAGATGTAATTTCTTTCTTTTTTATGTGTCTATCTCTCTCCTTAAAGTGGATATAAAGAGTAATTACTCGTTCACGCCACTAGTTACTCATTGTGCATTGTAAAATTTTTTTTATTATCATTTTACATGATTTAAATTTTAAAATATTAATTTTTATGAAAATATAATTTAATTTTTTTTTTCGTTATTTGTTAATGATGATTCCAATTGACCATTAAACAGGATGCTTAAAGTGACTGTTTTTTTTTTGGTTAAAAAAAAATTAAAAAAAATTGTTTAGAATATTAGAGAGAGAGACGGTGAGTTTGATTTATTTTTCACTAGCTGTCAACCTCCAACCACCACGTCGTCATCCTTTCATTACCGTCCACCACCGCTGTCGACCTTTCTAGTTGCCGCCAAAGTCCATTGATAGCTCAGTCCCAAACCATCATCAAAAACCCTCCGTCACCATACACAACCACAATATATTTCAATTTCGTTATACTCTGATTAAAATTGTTAGTGAAAGGAAATAAGACACATGACATGTCGTCTGTCTTTATCCCCATTAATTCTAAATATATATATATATTTTTTAAACAACACTAGAACGTCAGTGAAAGGACATATGACATGTAGTCTGTCTAATCCTCATTAATTTTAAATATATATTTTTTAAAAAAAACAACACTAGAATGTTTAAACGAAATCTTTAAATATTTTATTTAATTATTAATCAAGTTGATGGTAAAAAAAAAAAAAAATTTAAACAGTCGTTCGCTCAAAAAATCGATATTTTCAGATTTATATTAATAAACAACTAAAATTATTAAATTGCAACAAAATAATTACAACTTTTGCCATGAAACCCGTATCTAAATGAAATGACTTCGTCAAGAAACAACTTTAGTCCGCCCTCAGTAATACAGTGCAAAGTGCAAACAACCTTTACCTATAAAATGGTCAGCTCCTCTTTTGTACTTGAAGCTTCCAAGCGAACAAACTCAGTACTTTCAGAATCTCAAAATCTGAGTCATGGCCAACCAGTTAGAAGGGTTCAATTTCGAGCAGAGACATGGCAAAGCTAGAGTGAGAGTTGCAAGAGTTTGGAGGAACAGATCGGATGATAATCATTTTATGGTGGAATGGAATGTCAGTATCAGCCTGTTATCTGATTGTGTCAACTCTTATGTTCGTGATGATAATTCTGATATTGTTGCCACTGATACCATGAAAAACACTGTAAAGTTTCTCACCCAGAATTTCTCCTTTTCGATTCAAGATTTGTTCTTTGATTTATTATTGAGGTGAAGATGAAGCAAAGTTTTGATCTTGACTGGTACTTGGTTAACTTAGTTTGTGGTCTCTTTGAGTGTGAGATTTCTTTTTGCCCTTTTGTCAGCAAGTCAGCATCTTTTTGTTTTTGTTTTGTTTTGGGTTTTTAAGGATTTTGTTGAAGATTTAGATGGCTTGATTTGATTTAGTGAATTACTGAATGGGCCCTTCAAGATGCATGTGTTTTATGCCTGATTTAGGTGGTAAGGAGGAATGGAATTGCTTAGGTTAGTGATATGATTTATTTATGGTATTAGAGGATCTAATTTTTGATTTGTGAAGTGATAATGCTTAGTGTGACTCTATAATCTAGTGTAGGAAACTTTTTTTAGATTTTCATGGAGATGGTTAGTTTATGTGTAAATCATGCTTATAAATCAGTAAAGGTGTCGAAAAAACTTTTCATATGATATCATCGGTATTTCTTGTTTATCGAACAGTAATTGATTTTAAAGGTGAACTGTAATGCAGGTATATGCGAAAGCAAAGGAATGTTCAGAACAGCTTTCAGCAGAGAACTTTGCAATTCTGCTTGCTAGCCACTTCACATCGGTTTACAAGCAGGTAATTAACTGTTGCATTGAGATTGTTACGGTTGAAGACACGGGGATTGGAACTGTTTTGTTAGGCCACTAGATTCGAAAGCTCTCAAACCTCATTTCCCAAGTTTTCTGGTTGGCAGCTTGATTTTGTTTTATATAGTTAGTGAATGACCCTTGAAATCTAAAATAGCTTCTTAGATTTAATTCTTATGCATTTCTCCTTTCTTATGTTTCCATTCAGTAATGAATCATGATATTAAGTCGTTTCTGTTAATGCAGACCTCTGTTTTATTTTTTTATTTCTTTTTGTAGGTAACCACTGCCATTGTAAAGATAGTGGAGAAGCCATGGGAGCGTGTGCACATAGACGGGCAGCCACATGAACATGGTAATTTCAGAGCTTCTAGGGCAGACTATTGTTGTGAATTTGTGAAAGCAAGTACAGTATTTCTAAACTTCTCAGAAAAAAAAAAACATTTAATGTGGAATGCTTCTTGACATATCTTTGAGGATAACAATTTGCTGTTTCTTTTTCGTTTTGAGATTGCTTAATTTTTGAAAAACTGAAAGAAATGTGTATTGGTTTGGATTAAATTTACACTTTTTACTCTTCTGAAGGTTTTAAACTTGGATGTGAGAAGCATACAACTGAGGTAACAGTACAGAAGTCTGGTGTTCTAAAACTGACTTCTGGTATAGAAGGATTGTCTGTGCTGAAGACAACAAAGGTAAAATAATCTCTATTTGATGATCAAATTCAGAATAAGCACTCAGATGTTCTTAAAAAACGAGAAGAAACCCTTATTTGATATCTTTCAATTTGGAGTGTATGGTATGAACAGTCAGGTTTTGAAGGGTTTATTAGGGATCGATATACAGCTCTTCCTGAAACACGAGAGAGGATACTGGCAACAGAAGTCACTGCATCATGGAGGCAAGTTTTTCCAATTCATTAACGATTTGATAGTGGATAATTGCTATTATATGTCAATGGATGATTAATGTTCTTAACAGAACTCTTTGCTCTATTTGGTTAGAGTTTAGTACTAGTATGTTGACCTTTTGAGCGTCGAATCATGCACGCTTTCGAGATAATTCTGTATGCAGGTATTCCTATGAGTTGGTCTCTAGCATCCCCGGGAATCCACTTTACTTCACAGAGCGATATTTGGATGTGAAAAAGCTTTAGCCAACACTTTCTTCGGTCCTCCTAAGGAAGGAGTATACAGTCCATCTGTTCAAAGCACTCTTTTTCAAATGGCAAAGGCTGTACTCAACAGGTCTCTTTCTTCTCAATCACATACAAGCTCAATGCCGACACGCTCGATGTGAACTAACTCCTTATATTGCAATCTCTGCAGGTTCCCTGACATATCATCCATCCAACTAAAAATGCCAAATCTCCACTTCCTACCAGTTAATATATCAAGCAAGGAAAACACCATTGTGAAGGTAGAATTCTCTAGATTGCTCGATGATTTGAGTAAATCATGTAAATTTTTACTTAATGACAAATTTATCTGCTGAAAAATTGAACTAACGATGACAACGTCCGCGACGAATCTTGCAGTTTGATGATGATGTATATCTACCAACTGACGAGCCACATGGTTCGATAGAAGCAAGCTTGAGCCGCTTCTGGTCGAAGATGTAGAAACTGTTCTACATATGTACCGATACTGTGATCACTGTCCTCCTGCCTGTTGCGAATGCTGCTCAGATTCTGTAATTCCAAAATAATCTGTGTAACTTGAATAAGAAAAAGAAATAATCAGTAGGAACTAAAACCTATTTTAAGAAGTGTGAACTGTACTGTACCCTTAATGGTTATGTTAACAATGCAAGTTAATATCTTTGGCTACAAGGGATTCGACTTCAAACTTAACACCATTTTTTTTTAAATAGCTAATTAAGTATTTTTAATTCAATTTCTGTCCATTATAAGATGATGTTTTATTTGTGTTAGAATAATAAATTATGATATTGCTTTTTTTATTTTAAAAGGAAAATTTTCTATCTCGTTATAAAATAAATAGAAATAATAGGAGAATTGAAGAAAATGATGACAAGAAAATGAAATCACTATAATGTGAATACAAGTGATAAGAACTTCAAAGTTTCTCTTGTTCTCTCTATAAAACTTGTACATCAACAAATGAACAATCAAGCTTATTTTTAGGCTTCAAAATTAAGATGAGAATTAGAAGGGACTATGAATAATTAAAAGTACATCAATTGCATCATCCTTTCAATTTCTTATATTGAATGGTGAATTGAATCACATTAAGGATCATGAGTAGTGGGGATATGAAAAGTAAATGGACATTCATATGGACATTCATTATTTTATAACACTCCCCTCGAATGTCCATTGCACGAGGAATATGCCTCATTAAAACCTTACTAGGAAAACACCTAGTGGGAAAAAAATCCTAGTGAAGGAAAAAGAGTACAATATTCCTTGCACACATTAATCCTCATTTTTTTCTCTCCCTGTTGAAGAAATTATTTAAGATCTCTAAGATGATGCATTTCAATTTTGTGAATCATCTTCTCAAAAGTTGTGGTAGGTAAAACCTTAGTGAACAAATCTACTGGATTGTCACTTTAATGTATTCTTCCTTCAATGAAATTATGCAAGCGACATTATCCCATATGATATTGTTGGAACTTTTTTTGTCGATAAATAAACTGTATGTCTCTCGGATATGATAGATCGTTGATCTTAGCTAAACACATTCTCGACTTACCTCGTGAATTGATATCTCCGCATGATTTGAAGATGTGGCGGCTATAGTTTGCTTCGTAGAACGTCATGCTATAGCTCGTATCTCTATATATAAATACATAACCGAGTTTGAGATCGAGCTTTGTATGGATCGATTAAATAACCTACATCCGCATAGTTAATCTTGTCTTTGATTTATTTGAGTAATATAAGCCCATATCAATTATTCTTTGAAACGTAACTATGACTTGCTAACAAATTTATAGAACTATGACTTGCTAACAAATTTATAGAACTATGACTTGCTAATAAATTTATAGAAAATACTATATCAAGTCGAGTATTATTAGCAAGATACATCAATGCACCGAGTGGCACTAAAATATGGTACTTCGGGACCAAGTAGTTCTTCGTTATCTTCTCGAAGTTGAAAATGGTCTTTTTGGATATCAAGTGAATGAACTACAATTGGGTTAGTCAATGAATGATCTTTATATAGAATCATTGTAGAACCTTTTTCGATATAAATTGACTAATGAATGAAAATCTCATTTTTCGAGTGCTCGAACTGCGAGTCGAGATAACATTTTGTTTTTCCAAGATATTCACATCAAATTCTCTTTTTAGATAACTTATGACACTTGGAATCTTTTCGGGGTTCCAATAATATTTAAGTTATCGACATATATAACAAACCCTTTTTCAAATAAAAACATATGAATAAATAGGGTTATTTTTTATAACTTTCTTTCAATAAATAATCATTGAAGTGATTATATCACATGCACACGGATTAATAATAAACGAGTAGATATAAAATTAAAATATAAAGAGTATAAATTGAATTTCTAAAAACTAAAATAATAAAACAAATACTAAAATAATTCTAATAGAGATCTCTATAATTTAATTGAATTCTTATCTCGAGAATATATATTACATGCTTCGGCATGTTAAGTCCTTCTAGGACTTTCATACCGATATCATTTCAAATGAACAAATAAACCGTGATCACATTCATTAAATGCATGCATATGAATGTTTTTCATACATTTTTCCGGACTAATGAAATAACAAAAGACAATTACATCCACTATAGGAGAATATATCTCCTCATAGTCAATTTCAATTCTTTACAAAAACTTTTGTGTTAAAAGTTTTGTTTTATATATTATAATCTCATCTTTCTTATTTCATTTTTGCATAAATACATATTTGTATCTCACTAGCTTAACATCTTCGGGTGTTTTAGCTATGGGTTCAAAAAACTATTATTTTATAAGAGAACATAATTTCGCCTAGATTGTTCTTTTTATTTAGGCCAATCATCTTTATGTCGACATTCTTCAATAATTTAGGCTCGGGATCTTTATTTTCATCCATAATATCGGTTGCAATATTAGATGCAAAAATTTTATCAATAGATGTTTCTTTTCGGTCCTATTCTCTCCTCGCATTGATATAATTTATCAAAATCTCTTGATTTTTCTCAAGTATTTGGACTTCTTCTAGAAGCCTATTATTAGAAATATATTGGATCATTTTGTGAATATTTTCATCTTGTCCTTTTCTTTTAGGGATTTTGTCTTTAAAACCGTTTGGTCTACCACGCTTCGGGCGTGATTTAGATTTATTAGCTTTAACATTAATAGATCGTCCTTACGGGACATCAATTCTAATATGAGCATTCTCGACTGGACATGCATTATAGTTAATCATTTAGGATTGAAGAATGCATCTAGCGAGTCGGTTTCTAATACATTATAAATGAATTATCTTTTAAACTTCGGTTCATATTATTTTGTACGAGATTAAATATAATATAAAGATAGAGTACTCCATGTAATCTTTTTTTTCAACATTTTCAATTGCTTATTTTGCTTATTCTCTCCTCCTAATGTTAAAAAAACTATTTCATCAAAATGACGAGTCGATAAATCGAGTCTGTAAAAATTTTCTCTTATTCATGAATCAAGAGATTAAATTATCGAAGAGGATTCATATATTCCCAATCTCTTTTAAGTGCTCATTTTATTTCATTATAGAGGAGCACTAAGGATATACATTGCAATGCCAAAAATTCTTAAATAAGAAATAATTGGCTTATGACCATAAATCAATTAAAGAGGAGAGAATTTCGATAACTTATGGATCATATACGAATAAGTGTTGCTTGCATGTAAGATTGCATATCCCCAAATATAAACAGAGAGTTTTATTTTTAAATAATGGTTTAGCTATCAATTGGAGCCTTTTGATAAATGATTTTGCTAAACCTTTTTTAGTATGAACATGAGCAACGGGATGTTCAATAGCCAATCAATAATAATTTAATGCTTGAGAACTAAATTCATCGAGCATTATCAATGTGACTTGTTTTAATAGCATAATTTGAAAATTATGCTTGAAATCAAATTATTTGCTAGCAATCTCGAAAACATCGGGTTTCGAGTAGATAATAAGCATATATGTGACCATCTTGTGGATGCATTTATCAAAATCATAAAATATTTAAATGGGCCACATGGTGGATGAATTGATCCACATATATCACCTTGAATACATTCTAAAATACTAAAGATTCAATCTCAATTTTACTTGATGATGGCTTAATCATCAATTTGCCTTTGCAACATGCAAAACATGAAAGTTCATTAAATTGAAGAATCTTCCGGCTCTTTAATAGATATTCATATAATTTTTTTAATAATTTTTTCGCATCATGAAAGACCCAAGATAACACAACCGGTCATGTCACATAGTAAAAATATTTGAATTAGTAAACTTCGATTTACTATAATATTTGTTTCAAACATTTCAATGTTTGTAACAAAGACTACAAGAGAAAACGGATAAATTTTTTTTGATAGATATTTTCTACTCGATATAATGATTATAACATATAAGAATTCGCATTTGCTATCTTGATATGATATCAATTTAGATAAATATTTTTGAAACTCAACAAATATCCATGGGATTTTGAAGAGAATAGTACATCATTCATAATAAATTTATCATTTCGGATGATAACATATTTGCTCTTATGGAGCCTTTAAATTAGTCACTTCAAGTAATAATATATCGACTCTTCTAGAGCCTTTAAAAATTTTCTCTTCAAGTAATAATTTATTCACTCTTCTAGAGCTTCAAAAATTTATCTCTTCAAGTCATGATATAATGGCTCTTCTAGAGCCTTCAAAATCCATCTCTTTAGATAATAATATAGTCGCTCTTCTAGAGCTTTCTATTATATTGATATTATCATATATAATATTAACATAAAATAAATAATCAAATAAATCGATATATGCCTCATAAACATAAAAAAAAAATAAATAGTAAAATAAATGTGTAACCATCAATATACGACATAAATTATAATAAATATAAAATATTTTATTTATAAATAGAAAAACTAACAAATAATTAATTTCAATTACTATTACTTTGATATATAAAAGTGGCCTTCATATTTTACTCTTTATTTTTCAATAAGGCTTGACAAGACTCAATGAGGTGCTTTGGTGTACGGTAGGTACACAATCAATATTCATTCATTCCACATCTATAATATTTATTTTTCAAAATACCGACTTTATTTATTTTTATTTCTTTTTTTTCATAGTTATCCACTTCGGAGGTGAGATGTAATATTATGGTCATTACAATTATAATAATAATTATTTCCACCATATCCATGTCTATGACCACATCTTCATCCATGTCTAAAATTATTATAAATTGTCACATTCACTTCGGAGAATGGAGTAGATCCAATTGGATGAGATTTATTCTTTTTCATTTTATTTAGCCACTAACAAATATAAAATCGATCCAAAATATTTCTTAAACTCTTTTTCTCGATATGCTACTACATGAGCATATCCAAGACATAAAAAGTAGAGCACATTTTTTTTTAAAATCAAGCACTCATAATCAATAATTCTTATTCAAAATATCAAGAGTCACCAAATCAAGTTTATGAGGTTTGATATGATAAAAATTCATAATACAATATATAATAATAATATTAGAAAATAAATATAATAATAAAATTAAAGCCTTCAATTAACAAATATTAGATCATTAGTAGATCATTTAAGTTTTCAAATATATATTTCAAGTATCAATAGATTTAAAGTACATGAATAAATTAGATACATACCTCTTAATGATCTAAATAATTTAGATCTTTTGATAGAGCACTTGTGTAGAAGAAATCCAATTGTTGAAATAATTGATTAAATCTTTTGGTAGCTACATACCTCATGGTCTATTATCTCGATTGGTTAGAGCTTCGTGTCGATAACGTGTTATAAAATAAATAGAAATAATAGGAGAATTGAAGAAAATGATGACAAGAAAATGAAATCATTATCATGTGAATACAAGTGATAAGAACTTCAAAGTTTCTCTTATTCTCTCTACAAAACTTGTACATCAACAAATGAACAATCAAGCCTATTTATAGGCCTCAAAATTGAGATGAGAATTAGAAGGGACTATGAATAATTAAAAGTACATCAATTGCATCATTCTTTCAATTTCTTATATTGAATGGTGAATTGAATCACATTAAGGATCATGAGTAGTGGGGATATGAAAAGTAAATAGACATTCATATGGATATTCATTATTTTATAACGAGTATCAAATTATTTTGTTATTTTTTACTTTTTATATACAGATTCAAATTATCTTTATATTCAAAAAGTAAAAGATGGCACAATAATATGGGAGGAAAAGTTCTTTCAAAAAATATAAAGTTAAAATCATAATTTAGTAGTCTAGCGCAAAGACACATCATTAGCTAACGTAGTAATTAATATAAATTTGATAAAAAATATTTAATTATAAATTTTAAAAAAATTAATATATTCAAATAAAGAAATAAAGAAAATTAAAATTTATGTATTCTATTGAAAAATATTTATGATGCAATTTCTCCAAAATTCATGTACTGGAATGAAAAATATTTATGATGCAATTTCCCCACCCACAAATGTTCTTCATGCTTCTCATTAAGGAGTTTTGTCAATGTTCCACTTCTACCGGTTTGAAATTTTTAATGTTACCCTTGCAATTTCAAAACATTTCAATGTTATCCCTAACCAATTAAAAATCTACTTTTTTCTATTTTAAATTTTAATTTTCTTGTAGGTTTTTATATATTTTTGTGAGATATAATAATAAATATGATGATTTGAAAGGAAAAGAGTGACATGTAAGAAAAAATAAAATTAAAAATTAAAAGAAAAAGAGGTCAGCTTTCTTTTAGCTATTTGTAGTAAAGGGAAAATTTTAAACATTTTAAAACGAATAAGGATAGGATTGAGAAATTTTAGAATATGGGGGTCGAAGTGGAACATTGGTAAACCTATCAGGATTAGAATATAGTTCGCCCGACCATCAATGTCTTGCTTGGGAACCAATGACAGGAATTGCCTCTGGAATTAAGAGAAAGCAGAACCGAAGAGTTCTTTCCTCTCCTCACGCATGTTCTTCTCAAGCTCTGGTACTCTCTGCCTCTTTCTATCTCTGTAGTTTTTAGAGCTCTAAATTTCCCATTAGTCCAATACTATGGATTCCCATGACAGCAACCAACCACAACCTAATCAACCACACCCAAGAACAAGATCAAAACCCGTTAAACTCTACTGTTTATCAATATTAATCCTCATTTTGGCAATCTCATTAAGTTTCAACAAGACAAGACATTACTTTAAAGTCCAACATCTAAAATCAACACACACAAAAAACCCCACTTATTTTCAAGAGCTTTTAAGGTTTCTTTATTCAAACCAAAACCCCACCAAAACCCAACAACCAAATCACATTTCCTTGTCCTCTCCCTGTGTTTTATGGATGGCACCTTTCCTTTCAGGTGGTGGGTATAGCTCCGAAGCTTGGTCTTATATTTTAGCACTTAATGAAAACATGAAAAGGGGAAGGTTTAAGTTGAGTATTGAGCAACATGGTGATTTAGAATCTTTGGAGTTTTGGGAAGGTTTGCCGCAAGAAACCCAGAAGTTGGCTATTAAGCTTTACCAAACTGAATGTAGAGTAAATGAGACTATTGTGATTTGTCATAGTGAGCCTGGTGCTTGGTATCCACCATTGTTTCAGACTATGCCATGTCCACCAACTGGTTATAAAGATTTCAACTTTGTTATTGGTAGAACCATGTTTGAGACTGATAGGGTTAATGTTGAGCATGTTAAGAGATGTAATAGGATGGATTATGTTTGGGTTCCTACTGATTTTCACGTGTCTACATTTGTGAAAAGTGGGGTTGATCCATCTAAGGTTGTTAAAGTTGTTCAGGCTGTTGATGTTGAGTTCTTTGATCCTTTAAAGTATGAGCCTTTAGATCTTGGTTCCATAGGAAATTTGGTTTTAGGTTCAAGGAAGAAGGATTTGGATTTGAAGATGGAGTTTGTGTTCTTGAGTGTGTTTAAGTGGGAGTATAGGAAAGGATGGGATGTATTATTGAAAGCATACTTGAAAGAGTTTTCTAGGATTGATGGGGTTGCTTTGTATTTGTTAACAAATCCTTACCATTCTGATGGAGATTTTGGGAACAAGATAGTGGAGTTCGTTGAGGATTCTGGCATAGAGGAACCAGTTAATGGTTGGGCTCCTATTTATGTGATCAATACGCATATAGCTCAGGTTGATTTGCCAAGAATGTACAAGGCTGCCCATGCATTTGTTCTCCCATCAAGAGGGGAAGGGTGGGGGAGGCCTCTGGTTGAGGCCATGTCGATATCTTTGCCAGTTATTGCGACGAATTGGTCTGGACCAACAGAGTATTTGACAGAGGAGAATAGCTATCCATTGCCGGTGGATAGAATGAGTGAAGTTATGGAAGGGCCATTCAAAGGGCATCTTTGGGCTGAACCTTCTATTGATAAGCTACAACTTTTGATGAGGCATGTGATAAGTAATGTTGAGGAAGCTAAGATGAAGGGAAGGCAGGCAAGAGAAGACATGATTAGAAGGTTTTCTCCTCAGATTGTTGCTGGTTTTGTCACAGATCTGATAGAAAATCTACTTGACAGGATGATTTGAGTGCTTCTTTTTGTCTGTGGAGTTCATATATTGTATGGATTGGCTGGGAGAGCTGCACCGTTTACTATTCATGTTTCAAAAGTTTTACCACTATTGTTCCAACATATTCTTGTTTGTACTCAAATGATTCTGTCATTATATAGAAGACTAATGTCAAATTTTGAGATATTCAAGAATGAAGTTCCAGGGTTTCAAGCGTCTGCTAGGTTATTTCTGTTGTTGGCAATGGTAGCTGGAAACGCAGCACAGCTTAGAGTGGCTTATCCAGGAGTGTAACCGTTTAAATTACTATGGGGAACTCTATACATTACTAGACAATAGTTTGTGTGATCGCAAATCTGTTAGGGAAGAAATGATCCCAAATGCCCTCTACTTCAGCAAAATCATGGGAGTAGGAATCATGTCTTTTTATAGTACTACACTATCTGGAGGCAAATGCTTGATCTCTGTAATTCAGGAAGACAGGTAGATGATTGGCTAACAAATTTTGAATTTGCCAATTGGAACTTACAGTAAAGAATTTTTCCTTCACTTCCTTGAAGAATTTCCAGGTTCTTTTTACCAGATTTGGAGAAAAGAAGCCTTTTTTGACAACATTCTTCGCAGAACTCTAGCATCAATAGTATGGTTCAGATTATCATAATTTCAGCTGGCATCATTTAACGGCATTCTCTGCAAAAAAGAAAAGCCTTGGCTAAGTCCCATTTTAGGAATATCTATTTTAATTGTGGTCTCCTATTATGTCTGCAATTATTTGTCAGATTTCTCTTCAATAGCTAGCTGTTTTACTTTACCTTTTATTTTTCTTGTGCTTTTAAATCTTTATATCCATTTTTCTGCTGCAATGAAGCTTTGCCCTTTCTCAGGTTTCTCTGGACCATCACGCTATAGATTTCTCTCTTCCTCGTTCCCTGTGAATTTGAGGAGAAACTTGTGTTTTACTGCAAAATGTGATTAATCTGAACTTAGAATGAGCCAGGAAAATCAAATCAGGTCAGTGGCACCAAAACCTATGGTTTGGTTTAACACCCAAGTTCTTAGCCAATGTAGATTGGTCCAGACACGTGACCAAAACCAGCCTTAATGCCCTCGATGGTATAGGATATTCTCTCTTTAAAAACCCTAGTATACATTTTTGGAAAGGAAAAGACTAGACATACAAATTGATGGTGTGATTTACAAAATCATCCATTTAATGCTATGGTATTTATAAAATATTTGGTATAATTTTTCTATTTCTGTCACCTTACTGTTTAGGAAAAACCCTTCTTTCTCTATCTTGACATAAAAGTTAACCAAATTGAGTAAAAAGAACAGCAAAATCTTCCCACGAAATCGTGTTTTGCCAAAGAAATAGGCAAAAAACTTGGAGGATATATAGAAATGGAAAAGAAGGGGCAAAAGAAAAAATCACTTCCTAACATCCTAAATGGTAAGACACTATAGAAATCTTTTACAAGCTCTATGGGATCTTGTCTTTGGTTTATTACAAAAAAAGAAGACAACAGCATCCTTCCCTCCGAGGAATCTTCTCTTCCTCACAATCTCACCAACTTCTCTCCTTCCCTGTTATCTATCAATCATTAGTTTTTATTTCTTTCAAACCTTATCTTAACCAGCCCCCAAAAATGGCAGCTGCTGCCAATCTCCCCTGAACACCACCTACCCTTGCCTTCCTCAAAACCCAACTTCCCCAGTTCAGGACAGGATGGCCTCCTGCACCACCACCCTCACCCTCCTCCTTGGCCTCCTGTCTTTCCTCATTGTAGCCAATTCAGCATCCTCCTCCTCCTCTTCTGGGGGAATCCGCCTTGGAGTTATCCGAAAACCATCTGCCGATGTCCCGGTCTTCAGGGAGGCTCCAGCTTTTCGAAATGGGGATTCCTGTGGGCCTCAGAGAATCCACATTGTTATGACCCTTGATGCCAATTACCTTCGAGGCACCATGGCTGCTGTTTTATCCATCCTCCAGCATTCTACTTGTCCTGAAAACATGGAGTTTCATTTTCTCTGGGCACGGTTTGAACGGGAGGTCTTCTCCAGCATCAAATCCACCTTCCCTTACCTCAACTTCAAAGTTTACCGGTTCGACTCCAATCTTGTTCGCGGCAAGATCTCTAAATCCATCCGTCAAGCCCTCGACCAGCCTTTAAACTATGCTAGAATTTACCTTGCTGACATTATCCCATCCCACGTTAAACGTGTCATTTATCTTGACTCTGACCTTGTTGTTGTTGATGATATTGCAAAACTGTGGGAAGTTGATTTAGAGGACAAGGTTTTGGCTGCTCCAGAATATTGTCATGCAAATTTCACCTGCTATTTCTCTAACCTCTTTTGGCTCGATCCTGTTTTGGCCAAAACTTTTCATGGGAGAAGGCCTTGTTATTTTAACACAGGAGTTATGGTTGTGGACGTGGAAAAGTGGAGGCAGGGACAGATTACACAGAAGGTTGAAGAGTGGATGACAGTGCAAAAGCAGAAGAGAATCTACCACTTAGGTTCATTGCCACCATTTCTCCTGGTTCTGGCTGGGAACATAAAAGCGGTTGATCATCGATGGAATCAGCATGGTTTAGGTGGTGACAACATTGAAGGAAAGTGTCGGAGTTTGCACCCAGGACCTATTAGTTTGCTTCATTGGAGTGGGAAAGGGAAACCTTGGCTGAGACTTGACTCGAGGAAACCTTGCATTGTGGATCATCTTTGGGCACCATATGATCTTTACCGCTCATCGGTGCATGCTCTTGAAGGATGAGGATGGAGACATTGTTGGAAAAAGAAGGGGTTGGTGGTTTAGGAGAGCAAGAAGGAGATATATATACTAATGGCTAAGAAACCGAAATTTTAAAAATATTTTTTTCTTCCCATTCTTTCATATCATTTAAGCCTTTTTTTTTCCTTCTATTTTCAAATTCTTAGAAAAAAAAACAGAGAGATTTTTCACTTTTTTGTCAAGATCATCCACGAAAAACCCTCATCAAAGTTCTGTTGTAAGAGGTGGAAAAGAGAAGCCATTAGAGTTTGAATGTTTTGGTTCTAACTACTGCTTATCAGCATGAACTCTAGAAGCTGTCTTCATCAAATGATTCTTTTGCATAGAGCTTGAGGGAAGATCTTGAGTTCCTTGTGAAATGGACAATCACACGATGATGGAGGTTGTGCAAAAATTTTCTATGTCCCTCTAATCCTCTACACAACTTTCTCAATACTACATATCTATTTCTGAATCCAGTTTTAGTTTCATTAATTCTTTATTTTTTTTTCTTTTTTCTTTTTTTGAACTTGTGGAACCCTGCCCTTCTGTTGTAGATACCTTATGATCTCCTCTGCTCCAAATAAATTGGCAGATAGACTGTGCTTGTCATTGCAATTTGTTATCTCAATCTTGGCTTTGGGAATTGTTGACATTTTTCATGGAAATTTCATTTCTGAGTCATGAATTCATGGCAATTAGAAGTTTGCTTAGTTCCAAATTGGGATCGGCCGATAAAATAAGTAATTTCCGATGTTGAAATTCGCCGGAGATACCATTACTGTCGAAAAAAAAAAAAACTAACATAAAGAAGAATAACTTGCTAATTCTGTGGTTGAACCATAACATAATCAGAGACAATAGCAACAAATTCCAGGGGTGCACTTAGGGCATCATATTGCTGTAGAATAGTTGAAAGGGCTAAATTGTGATAAGAAGATTCTTCTAGGGCCAAATGTGTTTAACCAAACATTATACAACAACGCAAACATGTTAAAATAAAGCCATTCCACTGACATGGCAGGAACTAACTGGCTCACCTACGTAGAGACTAGGGTTTTTTTCGTTCCAAGCTAAGATTTCTTCTCATGGCTTCCTTTTTTCTTTGGATAAATGCATCTGATTTCTCGTTGATGTTCGAGGCCACACTTATGAGATGCCTTGGAAACACCTCCTTTGCCTCATGCTCTCTTGCTAGCGTCGAATTTTCACTAATTATGTTCTTACCTTTCTTAGCTCTATCTTCTACCTTGCTGTCCTGTATGGTGACAAACTTTTTCGGACCTCTACCTCGAGTCATGGCGCTCGCATTGGAGTCTGTCTCTTGCTCGGCTTTCCCTCGAGTAGTAATACCATTCACCTGAACTCGGGGGAGCTCCTCCTTGTCATGGGGTGGCTCGGTGACCTTCTTCCTTTTCTGTATACCCACCCTGTAACCAGGGAGCTGTCGCTTTTCTGATAAAGAGATGGGGATTCTGTCACCTTTCTTCGATTTCGGCTGATCACCGTCGTTAATTTTCAGGCTGCTTTCCACTGGTTCGTGGACCGAAGAGCCGAGGTTGTCAACAGGAATCCAATGCTCCAATTCTTCTTCGGTTTGCTTTAAGTGAACCTGAATTTCAGATCCTGAACCAGTATCTTTTGACCTTTCTTGATCCTGATGATGCAGCTTTTTTTCTCTGTTAGTTCTTTTAAGTATCAAGGGTACCTGATGTTCGTCCACTCCATTCGTCAAAGAGTCATCTACAGGTCCCTCTGTTGAGCTACGAGACACTGCATCTGCACGGCCTGAAATGTGATTAAAGGGACGAGCGATAAAGTTGTTCACGAAGAAGTTGAAGAGCCTCCGGCAAATGCCAGGGAGCTGAAATTGGCTATCCTTTTTCTGCATGTTTTGTGCCAAAAGCACTGTATAGATAAAGGAGAAAGAAAAAAAACAGCAGCCGTGGATGGTGACTTATGAGGGGACTTAAAGAGACAGTATATGTATTTGAAAGATTTGGTTAACATGCGTTATTCTATCCTTAGAAAATGGGGTAACAAAAGGAAGGAATGCGAATTTGATGGAAGCATCCTTTGCCCTTTTAACCTTGAAAGGGTGTCATTTCTCAACCTGCTTCAGTAGAAAGCATCGCAAAAGCAGAGAACATGAGTGACATAGGCAAATCTTATTGATTCCATGCATATCAAAGGGAAATGGAATCCTACTTTGCTTGAAGTTTCTGATATCCCTAAATCACAAAGAGCATGAGTCACGCTAAACCCTAACCTATATCAATGTGGCCCACGACTAGCAAATGCAATTCAAATGCCTAACATCCTTTGGACAACCTGAAATTCTATCTTACAAGGAACTCCATGCAGTTGGCTATGGCTGGTGATTCATCGCAGAAGGCAACACCAATGTTGAATAATTTTAATCACAACAACAACTGCAATCAAATCAATGCCAACTTATGATTTTTCCAATAACAAATTGGATGTGCATCCAAGAGGTATAATCCAAATAACGTTTGCTCATTTAGTTAATTGGTACAACATGTATAAGATAAGCAAAGTTGATACTTGTACATGAATTTATTGGAAATAGGGAGCAAAAACTGCCAAAACTTCCTTGTATACGGGTTTTTTGAAATCCACCGCCTACATGAAAATGAGGGGAAAAAATGGAATGGATCAATAACAAAATCAGAATAATCAGATTTAACTGGTTAGACAGATAAGAAACAGTAAGACAGGAACATCTACCCTGTCGATTATTTGTTCTGGTGACATCCATGACCACTCGCCAAACTCAGGTTTTTCTGTGCCATCACCCAATAGATTGATCTCTTCCTCATTCCCTGTGAATTTAAGGAGAAACCTGCGTGTTTGCAGTTGCGAAATGTGATTAATCTGGATTTAGAATGAGCCAGGAAATAAACTGGTTGTTGGATGCTTTGGCACCAAAAACTATAGTTTTAACATCGTAGAATAAAAGTTCACAGCCAAGGTTAGATTGGTTCAGACATGCAATCAACCTCAATGGCGTAGGTAGTGTGGAATGATTCTTACAAAATGTGGGCTATTTATGTACTCACCACTTCTGTGCTTGACCTTTCCAGTCAGATCCCCATTGATGTTTAAGTTTTTCCCTGACTTCTGGTGGGAAGTCATATGTCAACCAAGAAGGCGTCTGCAAATTCAATGAAGTTAGTAAACCTACCACGGAATGCCCAACAAGAACCTGTAGCCACTACCAAAGTAATTTGAACAGAACATGTAGTAAGAAATGGATGCAAGTTCAGATTAGAAAAGCTAGGGAAAGGCTGAAAAATAGGAAGTATTTAAGCTCCAACAAAGGCATGGGAGCACATGGTTGATCAATCCATAGTGACAGCTAATGTGATAAATTAAAACAAATAGCATAGAGTTAGTCAGATACGATTTTGTCCATGAACTCTTACAAGGCTAGCCCACGACATTACAATTTACAAAGCGTAACTAAATCCACATCCACTTTCATGAATCAGACAAGCCCCCTCGTTCAGAGGCATTTACAAAATGGCTGAATAATATAATACATGACTGGAAATGTTTTTCTAGCTAGATCTCGGTACTAATGATTGCATATATGTGCAGTGTAGAGCACATCAACAACCGCAAGACGCCAGGCTGAAGTTTTCTCAAACAAATTCAGTAGTGACATGAAAGTTAACAAGTTTAAGGATAACATGTTGGCTAACAATAAAGATAATTTCTTTGATATCTCAAAGCCAGCTTAAATTAGATGGTTGATAAAATCCAATATTCTTTATTAGAGTGACCTGTTTCCAGAGAAGCACTCCATCCTGCTTGAGATAAGCTGCTCAATTCCTTAAGGACCAAAAACAACGGGGAAAAAAAAAAAAGGACATGTAAAGCCAAACCTCAGCAAGAACTTCTGCTGAGCTAACCCCCGTCTCCTCTTTTAGTTCCCTGATAGCTGCAACTTTAGGATCTTCACTCTCATCAATACCACCCTATTACACAGTCACACAAAACACCATTAACATCCTATATTGGCAAGCCAAATTCTTTAAAAAAAAAACTAACTCTATATAACATCATTGTACCACAAATTGAAACCTTTTTTACTAATCGTTAAAGCACCAACCATCATTTGAGATTAAAAAACACAGACAAGAGCAGCTTTCAAACTAACATGCCAAACCACTAACATAAGTCTCGTATCAGCATTAATCTTTACGACATAGTTAACTGATACTACATAATAATTAATACTAAATTAAACATAACTCCACAATCTTCAACAGATTAAAAAAAAAACAACAGGGCCATCTTTGTTTTCAAAGAAAACCAATCAAACAATACATATATTCAAAAACTGAACAAAATCCATTAAAAAAAAAAAACAATTTTTAAAATTTTACCTGTGGCATTTGCCAAGCATCGGGTATGTCCAACCTTGACGCAGCAAAAATCTACAGAGTCCAAACAAAATAAGCTCAAAAAATCATGAAAACGTAAAGAATTATAGCTAAATTTGCACTTAACTACCTTCTTTGATGGATTTATCAGGCAAATGCCAACATTTTTTCTGTAACCTCCAGGAGGTGATTCCATTGATGATGTAAAGTGAGGTCTCGGGTTTTGGCCGTGGAGTGGCAGGTTGGTCGATTTAGAGAACTTAGAAGGGTATTTTGGGAGGCAAAAAGTGGATTTAGAGAGAAGGTGGTGGTGGGGAGGACGATGAAGAAGTGGGGAATAAAAGAAAACAGAACGGCAAATGGCCATTTCTTGGGCTTTCGTATTTTTTCAGTCGCTGGTTATAACCGGGCTAATTTGTTTTACCGAAATATCCCTGTATGTTGAGTTAATTACGGTGTTATGAGTTGGGTTGGGCTGCCCATGGTTTTCATTTGTTGTTTTTCTTTTGGGCTGGGTTTAGTTTTTAAGGGCTGTTTGTATAAGAATATAGATTTTTGGATGTTTTTTTCAACAATTGTGATGGTAATTTTGAGGAGTAAATTAAAAATCAGTCCCTCTAGTTTGGTAAAAATAATTAAATGATCTCTTTTTAAGAAAGTATATATTTCTTCTTTTCTCATCAATTTTTTTTTTCATATTTTTACTTATTTTTTCTTTTTCTATTTATTAAAACAAAATAATAATGATAAATTGAAAAAGAATGAAAAGTATTAAAGTTAAAAATAGATTTAATAATATAGGAACTAATTAATTAGTTATTAAAACTAAAGGGACTATTTACTTCTTTTTGAAAAGATAGAAAGATTGATTTGTAATTTATTCTATTGTAAGCAAATCACTTAGTTTATATATATACAACACTCGAGGTATTCACCGAGGTATTCTCATACCAATTTTTATATTAACCGAGACTAAATCTATTATTTTTTGAGTTAAACTACTACCTAATTTTTTATCGACTATTAAACTTAATAACGAATTTTTGTATGAATAAATTATTGGGTATGTTAGTTATACTCGTTTTTTCACATAAACACATGAGTTATAAATTGTTATGTAATAAAGCAAAATACAACTATCGATATATTGAATAATTTCTTAAATCATATGGTATGATATTGAATACATACATAAAATTATTTTTCTCTAAATATCTAAAATAAAGTTTTGTTATGTTTTTATTAATTTAGAATACATTTGAGAAATATCCGATATGTATAAATTTTAAATATGGACTAGATACAAAAAATAGTAAAAGATATGGACCAATACGGACTAGTGGGGATTTTAAAGTATGCATGCTTTATAGAAACATGTTCCTAATTAGATTTTTTTTCTCTAGTATCTCCATTTGACATTGGAGATAAGATTAATTATGTTCGAAACAAAAAAGACAAGGTTTAACTATTTTCAATAAGTGCAATTCTAAAAGTCGATGGTAAAAAGTTCGTTTGAGTTGTAGTTTTTTTGTTTTGCTACTTTATTGGCTTTAGCCTTTTTTAGCAACGAGAATTTCCTTTTTAGCAACAACTAATATGGCAGTTGTTTCTTTCAAGCTTGCCATGTTTTTCTGAATTATTTCCTCCATGTAAATTGCAAAATTTAATGATGCTAACCTAGCATTATAATTCCCAACTTTCAATTTTGGTCCCTACACTTCTCTCCTTTAAATTTTTTCATGGGCTAAAAGTGTTTATGGCTTTTTACTGCCCTATTTAGTCCATACCAATTTTGTTGTTGTTGCAAAGGATACAATGACCGACTTGTTTATGAGATTAAATTTTCCGAGTTTGGATGGAATTACTAAACCAAGATTTAATTAAAACATATTTAGTTATAGTGTCCAATCTAGTACAAAATTACTAGATTAAATTATAAATTAGTCCCTTTTGTTTTTTTTTTAAATGAAGTAAATAGTCTTTTCGGTTTCTTAAACTAATTAATTGGTCATTATGTTTTTTATTTATTTGTAAATTATTTATTTTTATTTTTCTATTTATTTTAATTTTTTTTTTTTTGAAAAAAAGAAAGTAAAAACACCGAGTGATTAATAAGAAAAAAGAGAGATATTTTTGGAAATAAAATAATATTGAACTATCCATGACTAACGGTGGTCAATGAACTAATTAAATAGTTTTTGTAACAAGAAGGATCTGTTTAATCTATTTTTTTTAAACTAGAGAGATTAATTTATAATTTACTCAAATCACCATCACCATTGTGAAAAAAAAAAGGAACTTAAAACTACTTATGATGAATAGAAGGTTAGATGAAGTTAGATCTCACTTAAATCATCCCATCCATGACAATAATTTCGATTTTGAAACCGTGAATAGATAAAATACCTATATCGAGATCGGACGTTAATGAGCACATTAAACTATCTATATATTTAAAAGCTTTTGCAACCGTGACACAACGATATAATACATGCTACACCACAAAATCTTTTTTTTTTTGGTTAAATCCTTAATTAATACCTTAAAATAAATTTATACTAGTTTGTTTTACCAACCTCTTAATTGGGCAAAATTCATGGCAAAATTCATGACAAGTCATACAATTTAATTAGTGAGTACAAGTCACTAACACCCTATTATTTAATGGAATCCAACCTGAAAATTGCATATACTTTTTCCTTTTTCAAGGGGTAATCTCTACTCATTATAAATAGAGAGAGATCCCTTTTCCATTACTACGTTGCCACTCACCATTCATTTCATGCAACAAATTGGCTGTTAGGCCTCTCATTGACACCTCTTCTAGCCTAGCAATCAAGCCATCTCTCTCTTTCTCTTCAAAATTTTCTCCATAGCCAAAACAACAATCAAGTGCTGTGTTTTGCTAGCTTTCGTACAACATGGTACCTATTAACATGGCAGACTTTCCTCCAAACCCTGAAGATGGAGAGCTATGGCTTCCTTCTGATGTTTTTCTTGAAATTGTGTCCACAACAACTGTTCAAAATAAGAACAAGAATCTTGTTCATGGTCCTCCCACCACCTTAAAATCTTCTGCCTATGTTGCCCCAAAAAATCAGGTTAATTTCTTAATCTACCTCTCTCAATCTTTGCATGTCTTGTTAACCTTTAATTTTTTTAATAAATCAACTAATCTTTCCGCATCAACTCTTGTCTAGATTCATTTTCACATCCTCCTACTCAATGCTAATTTTGTTTTTATTTTCCCAAAGTCATTCTTTGAAAACGGTCCGTTATCGTGTTGTGTGTATATATATATGAAAGTGGAAGAAGAGATTTTTCATGTGAACTATCTTTGTTGTTAGCGACATGTTGACAGATATTATATGAACTGATCTAAGTTGTCACTGCCAAATATGATTGCAGAAATGTGACGCTTTTTGTGGTGTGAAGCCAAATGGGAAGAATCCCATTGGCAAAAGAGATCCAAGTGTTAACCATGGCAGCCATCCATGGTGGAGTCATGGATTTCAAGTTGTATCTGGACCCTTTAACGTCTACCATTCAAAGATCACGATACCGACTCATCAAGCTCAAGTAAATATTTTTCTCTTCTTTGTTTTCTTCCATTTTTCAAAATTTTTATAACTATATTTATTGACCTTTTTCTTTTTTTTAGGGTTTTAAAAACGGGCAAGCTATGTTTGTCCATGGAAAATCTGAAGGCACTGGGGTTTTTCTTCCTCGTTTTAAGAAATCACCCTCGAAGGAAATTGGGGTATTGCCTAGAGGGACTGGTGTGTTCCTTAATCATCAAGTTATGGACAAAAACAAAAATGGTAAGTTACAAAAACAATTTAAAAATTTTTAGCCGTATATTCATAACTTTTTCCTTTTTTCTGGGTGTCACTTTTCGATTTTGGGCTTATCTAGTAATTACACTTTTTGTTGTTTAGCACACTAGGCTTGAAACTGCCTAATTAATCATCAGTCAACTTTATTCAAATGGGGTTACAAAGAAGAAGGAATTGCATTTATTAATTGTGGGGTTTTGCATCATTTTATAGATTATAGCTACCATCGTCAACATATATGCACTAAATGTTTTTGAAGATGGCATTTACAAACTTTTACAATCCTAAAACCCTAATAGATTACCTTAATTAATCACAGGGATCGAGTTATGATAGTCTTAGTTGACTTCTTGGTATAAAACGAATACATTAAACTTTTTTAGTTCATCCAAAGGTTCATAGGTCTCGTATTACATAATAGAAAGTGCTTTAATTCATTATATAATAATCAAATAAACTACAATCTTAAGAACTCAAATCTTTTCTCTTTTTTTTACTGAAATTAGCAATATATAAACGAGAGATTATGCTTTTATATATATATATATATATATATATATATTAAATGATTATAATAAATGAAATAGGTTTTATTAGATAAGATTTTCTCGCGAATCATTCATCTAATTGTATATATTCAAGAGCCGAATTTACACCATTTTGACTATATATTCAATAAAGAGATGAATTAACTCTCACAATTCCATAGAAAATAAATTTGCTATAGTAACCAAGAATTGTTTGATGATTTGATGTTTGAATAATTTGATGTAATTTTCATTCAATAGAGTAGTTTTTAAAACTAAAAGGACTATTGATTCATTTTATAAAAACTAGAGGGACTAGTTTATAGTTTATTCTACATCCTTAACAATCCTCATTTATTAACTATAGCTTTAATCATTTTATTTTATTTTTAATTTTTTTTATGACATTATAGCTTCAAGCATTAATCATTATACATTTATGCACACGCATATATTATGTCTTTAATTATATTATGGAATGAAAAGGAAAAATAATCGAGGTCTATTTTCTTTTTTCTTTTTTTCTCTAGGTGGTGAAAAGAATGATCAGGAGTTCAAAAAGAAGAAACAATTTGGCAAGGACGAAAGTGAGGAAAATAAGAGATTTGAGTCTCAATTGACACATGATAATCAAATATCTTTACCTAAGGAATGGACATATTCAGCTCTCTAGATAAAAATTTAGCTTTTATCTTATGTTAAAAAAAAAAAACATTTTCTCCTGAGAGAGGAAGTGATGCCTTGTTTAAATAAAATAAAATAAAATAAAATAAAATAAAATAAAATAAAATTTTAGAATTTTCATGAATTGTGATTCTCTCTGATTTTTTATACTCCGTAATGGACTTGGGCTACACTGATTTGTAGGCCCATTGTCCTATGTAGCCCACAAGAGTCTACTCGGGCTGACAACAATTTATCATATGGGCTTTGAGTTGGACCAAATTAAGGATGTTTACTACTCGGTCCGCGGCTGACGAAATCGTAAATTTGTGAAAATGTTTATTTTTTATTTTTTATTTTATAGGCAAATGAGTAATAATGACTGCTAAATAGTAGATTGATCAGTGATTTGGTCAAATAAATAATAAATAAATAACCTCTGGTTTGAAAATTGAATTTTAAAATTTGAAAAAAGAATGAAAGAAGTAAAGAGTAATCCTTTTGCAGATTTTGAAAAAAGAAATGTATTTTCAAAATAAATTTGAAAAATAAAATTCTCATTAATTTATTATTTTGATGTTGATAACATTCTTGTAATAGTAAAATTCTCAAGTATTTTTTCTAATAAATTAGCAAAATCACTTTTTTTTTATTTAATTTTACTTTTTCTTGTAGTTAATTAAAAATGAATAATATTTTTTAGAAATTGTAGTTATTAATATTCGAATCTTATTAAAGTAAGCTATTCATACATAATAGCTATTATAATAATTTTAATTTTTAACTTTAAAGTTAGCTGTGGATACGCAACGGTTAGTATATTAATTTCAACTTTCAACTTAAACGTTAATTTTGTTGAAAATGATATGAAAAAAATGATCAAAATAATTATTTCTTTCAAGTTTCAACCAAATTTTGATCCTAAAAATACAATTTTTTTCTTCTTGAATTTAAGTTAGTGAATGATGATGATGGTGGCTGGTAGATAAAAAAGAAAAATATATGAAGACCAAAGCGTACAACCTGTCAAAGTAAAAGACCAACCGAAAACAAGCAAAAGAAAATTCTTCAGAAAAAACTGGCACTGCCCTGGTGGGTTTGGTCGGCTCCGCTCTGGTCCCATATCTTCTCAATTAATTCAAGCTTCAGCAAGAACTAATCTTTTTAGGTTATTTCTATATTTTCTTTCTGGGTTTTCTCTGTTTTCTTCAAACCATAGGAAGAGAAAATGGTTGTGGCAGTGTCAGGCATGGATTCACTTGGTGAAAGAGCAGCAAAGATGAAAGAAGCACTTCAAAAAAGCCAAACTATTACTGATAATGTTGTTACAATTCTGGGTTCTTTTGATAGTCGTCTTTCAGTTCTTGAGACTGCTATGCGTCCAACTCAGGTAAGCAGATGCAGTATTTCCTTTTTTGTGTGGTTTTTTTTTGCATTTTTGGTTCTTGAGAAAGTAAGGGAAAAGATTGGGACTTTGGGGTTTTTTGGTGGCAAACTGAGGAACCCAGATGAGATAATTGATCCTAGTTGTCTGTGTCTAGTTTGGTTTTGTAATTGCTTTGACTTGTTCTTGCTGTTTGCTGTTGATTTCTTGTTTGTTGTTTGGTTTGTGACAAAGTGGAGGAAAGCTGAAAGATTGGATTTTTTTTTTCTTTGATCTTAGGATGAAGAATCCAGATGAGATAAATGGTTAGTTGGGTGATTTAGAAGACAAGGGTATCAGATTCTTGATTGGATCCTGAGTGCTAGTGTTTAGTTTGATTTGCTATTGAATTGACTGGTTATTCTTGTTTGGTATGGATTTATGATTTGCTGTTTAGTTGAAAGACTTTGGATCTTGAGTGTTAAACTGATTTCTGTCGAAGAACCCCAGATGGATGAATTGACTAGTTATTCGAGACAATTAAATTATACTGATTTGATTGGTTTATTTTGTTAAAAGAGTTGGGGTTAGATTGATTTTATTGAATTTGCTTTTGCTTAATCTGGATTTTGTAGATCAGAACACATGCGATAAGGAAAGCTCATGAGAATATTGACAAGACATTAAAGGCTGCAGAGGTTATATTGACTCAGTTTGATGCTTCTCGGCAGGTTGGTTTCATGGATTACTACAATTTTGCTTTCTTGTTTGATTTGTAAATCACTACTTATTGAATTGTCAGTGTCTTTTCTTTCCCTGTTTCAGAATATGTTTTGATTGTTTCATGAATTGCTTTCGATTGTCAGAATATGTTTCAGACAATACGTTACTGACTTGCCCCCTGCGACTAGCTTGATGAAAGAGTTTTTGTGCTTTTCTATGGAATTGCTAGACTGAGGTCTGCTGCTCTCAAAAACAAGGATTCTAGGTCCTTTTTAATTGGCAAAATAGATTTAAGCATCATTCTAACATTTCCATTGACATATTCATAGGTTGTCTGTTTTTGTTTTGGTGTCTTTTTTTAATTTCTCGAGGTGAAAACCTGATGCCGTATGTGATTTTTAATGGGTCATGTCTTTTCTGAAGTTCTACCTTTTCTTTGATGATTTATAGTGTTTGATGTTAGAAATCTTTCACTCTTTGAATGCACATTTCCTGCCTGTGATTGTTGATGTCATCATCACTTAAATATGTAGGCAGAGGCTAAAATACTTAAGGGGCCGCATGAGGACCTAGAAAGTTACCTGGAAGCAATCGATCAGCTAAGAAGCAACATCCGTTTCTTTAGTGGCAACAAAGGTTTTAAGAGTAGCGATGCAGTTATCAATAATGCAAATACCTTACTTAGTAAGGCAATTTCAAAGCTAGAAGATGAGTTTAAGCAGCTGTTGGCGTTGTACAGGTATTCTGTCTAATTGATGCTCTTCATGTTGCATGCCAGGTACTTATAACAGGAGTTTTGCTATTTCTTCTGCCTTCTTAACCAATTGGTGCTTCTATTGTACACTGAAGATATTTAACATTTCTCTATGTGTCAACTGATAGCTATTTGTGGTAACATACTTCTTATGATGTGTTGGATAGAAGCTAGTCCCATGGGACATTGCTTGCTTCACCTTCCATATCTTCCAGCCAACATACTTGCATATTGTCAATGCTTTTTTAAGTTTTGCTAGCTTATGATAGGCATGCATAGATTAACCTTTTGGGGATATCATTTAGTATAAACTTTGGGGGTATTTGTTGTGCAATATATTGTCCCTTATTTCTATATGATCGCCAATTTATGAAGGTTAGCATTCATTTAAACACCAAACAAGCTGGACTCTGTTTACTTATGAACGATCATCCTCTGTCTATTTTATTTATGGCATTTATATGGATGCATAATTGATATTAATGTTTCAGTGATTCTAGACCCATTTATGCACTTTGTCTGGCCATGCAACTTATATTTGTTCATCTCACTGGCTAATTTATTTATTTTTCAAAATTCCAGCAAGCCTGTGGAACCTGATCGTCTCTTTGAGTGCCTCCCTGAATCAATGCGGCCATCTTTAGAATCGCCTGGAAACCATAAGCATCATAATTCTGAGCACCAAAACGGTACTTCGGAAACTGGTGGTTTCAAACATCTTCCTCTCATACCTCCAAGGGTTCTACCTTTGTTGCACGATTTAGCCATACAAATGGTTCAAGCTGGGAACCAACAACAGTTACTTAGAATTTACAGGTAAAGAGTTTTTTCTTGCATTTAGTTGTTTACACCAGCTAAGTCAATTTTACAAAGCTTTAATATGACATTAGTATTTTCTTACAACTTTAGTGCTTTCTTGGAATAAAAAGTCAAAATGGCCCATCCCAGTATAAAAGGAATTTTTGTGCTGTTAGAGACCAAACTAGTTCCAGTCTAAGGAAGACATTAATTCAGTTTCTATAATTTTGCACCTTACAGAGAGTGGTCTGTATGAAATCTAACTTGAAGAACTCCAAATTTTGCCTAGCTGAAGAGATGCGAGCTTATAGAAAATTATAATTTCTTTCCATGATTCTATGGTACTGCATGATACCCAAGCCTTGTCAATATCAGCTAGCAATACTGCATTATGCAACATTATTTGACTTTATAGTTTAAATAGGAAGACATGATGTCAAGTTGAACACTTCTTTCAGGGATACCCGTTCTTCAGTATTGGAGGAAAGCCTTCGCAAGTTGGGAGTTGAAAAGCTGAGCAAAGAGGATGTCCAAAAGATGCAATGGGAGGTGTTGGAGGCCAAGATTGGGAATTGGATTCATTTCATGCGCATTGCTGTAAGAACTCTGTGGACTTGGATGATTGCATGTATATTGTACTTCCTAGTATCTAATTATGTTTTGAGCAGGTCAAAGTCCTGTTTGTTGGAGAAAGAAGAGTCTGCGATCAAATATTTGAAGGACATGATGCTCTTCTGGATCAGTGCTTTGCTGAATGTACCGCTACTAGTGTCTCCATGCTCCTTAGTTTTGGGGATGCAATTGCCAGAAGCAAAAGGTCACCTGAGAAGTTATTTGTACTTCTGGACATGTATGAGATAATGCGAGAACTACATTCAGAGGTATGGTTGATGCAACATATATATAAGAAATGCATTCCATTCACTTTCTGTAACTTTGTTCAGTTTTATATGAATGAAATAAGAAACCAAATATGTATAGCAGAAACTGCATCAAATCTTCATTCATATATTAGCTCTTTCTTTCTCTATTGTCCTACTTTCTTTTGAATGAGTTTGATTCATATTCTTAATTTGCTTTAGGAAAATAAACACCTATTCTCACTGGCACCAACGTTTTTGATCCTTTTTTTCCATGTTTCTCCATGTGGTAGTTTTTTAGTACAATTGAATCAAACACCTAAACACATATCTGCATCTGACTCCAATTTGGTCTATATCTGCTACCGATTTATGATAATTTTGTGGATGCACACTCTACGAGCTATATGATATATTCCATATTTGGCCAGGATAGATGTTAAAGCATGAGTTGCAATCAGGGTTAGTAATATGTTGAGAAACAGGGCAGTATTGTAAATATACTACAGGATATTTATTGACTGCAAATTCTTTTGCAGGTTGAGGCAGTTTTTGGTAGTAAAGCTTGCAATGAAATTAGGGAATCCACATTTGGTTTGACAAAAAGGCTTGCCCAGACAGCTCAAGAAACCTTTGGTGATTTTGAAGAAGCAGTTGAAAAAGATGCCACAAAGACTGCTGTTCTGGATGGAACTGTCCATCCTTTGACAAGTTATGTGATTAACTACGTGAAGTTTCTCTTTGAGTAAGTTCAGCTGGCCATACTTCGATCTTCTAGTTCCATTGTTTAGCTGGTTCCCACTTGTTCACTTTTAGTGCTGTATCATATTTCAACTTGAAGCTACATGATGCAGTCGTGCTTATGACTGACAAGGCCTCTATATTGTTTTTTTTTTTTTTTTTTTCAGAGTGGTTGAACAAAATATTCTTGGCTCCCCTATTGACATTGAACAACTTATTCTATTCTCTGAAAACCTTCCAGCCTTTTTAATAATTTCTTTTTAAATAAAATATTCCCATGCTGCTGGATTTAACATTGGATATGTTCAACCATTATTTACCTGTAAATGGTTTATTAAATCTCTACAGCTATCAATCAACCTTGAAGCAACTCTTCCAAGAATTTGAAAGCAGTGGCGAAACAACTTCACAGTTAGCAACTGTAACAATGCGGATAATGCAGGCTCTTCAAACGAATTTGGATGGGAAATCTAAGCAGTATAGAGATCCAGCTCTGACTCACTTATTTCTCATGAACAATATTCATTACATGGTCAGATCTGTGCGCAGGTTTGTCATGCATTATGTTTTCTCAGAGTTCTTAAAAGTTTACTAGTTCTGCTTGTGGGCAAGTTTCAGTGTGTAACTTTTCGTTTTCAGATCAGAAGCCAAGGACTTGTTAGGAGACGATTGGGTTCAAAGGCATCGAAGGGTTGTGCAGCAGCATGCAAACCAATACAAAAGGAATGCTTGGGCAAAGGTGTTGTTCTGTTTGCCAATTACATGAACTGCCAGATATCAAGCAACTTTAGTTAGTTTTTTGTTGATACCAAATATAGTCTTGATATTATCATTGAGGTAGTTGAAGGTGAAAGGTGCCCTCGAAGTGCCAGAAGCCTTTTTGAATAGTTCTGCAAGAAAATATGTGTTTGCTAGTCAAGATGATTTCAACATGAATGAAATATAACAAGAAGATACAGGTATAGGCAATTGGCATAACATTATATTACCCAAGGCATATGAAAGAAAAGTTGACAGAAATGGAACTTTTGGCAGTGGGAAAAGATAGAACAAAGATATTTTATATTACGAGAAAGAAAAATGGATTTGTTGAGAGCGCTTGCCTTTTATTTATTCTGTTCTATTCAGATGAAAAGATCTAGAGTGATGTAACTGGGTTTTTTCCTTACTAAATGTTGGATTTTCAGATTCTTCAATGTCTATCTACACAAGGGCTTACCTCATCTGGGGGAGGTTCTGGAGTACCTGGTGAGGGAGGAAGTGGCAGTGGAGCTTCAAGAGGGTTGATTAAAGACAGGTTCAAATCAATTCACATTCTTCTTGGAACACCCTTATTTTCTTTTCATTTTCATATTCACAAACTTTTCTGACCTGGATGGAGAAGTGTGTTTTGTGATCAGGTTCAAGACTTTCAATGTGCAATTTGAGGAGCTTCACCAAAAACAATCTCAGTGGACTGTTCCTGACACTGAGTTGCGAGAGTCACTAAGGCTTGCTGTTGCTGAAGTCTTGTTGCCTGCCTACAGATCCTTTTTAAAACGCTATGGGTATGTTCTGTCCTGTTATGCTTGCTTCTTAATATTCTTGTAGATTTGGGGAAACATCTCTTTTATAATGTGGTTTTTGCAAGAGAAGAACAAGGCACATGCATAAGTTTAAACTCGATCTGAAAATATTAATATAAGTACAGTAGGGTGTCAACTTGAATTTGGGTAGCTGAAAACTGAACAAAACCAACCTGAATTGGTTGTTTGGCCTGGTCTTTTTAATGTTCAGATTTTGTATTGGGCATGCTCATTTGTGAGTGTTAAGGGGCCGGGAGTTATAATTTTTGTGTGCTTGTGCTGAAGCTCATTTCAGTTTCTGGCTCCAGGCTATCTTGATCATGGCTGGTTTAGTTGAAAAAAGCTTGAAACCTAATCCAAGTGGCATACCCCTACATCTTGATGTCATCTTTCCTCTTTTCAATTCTGAATGTTATAAATCCCTAGGTGCTGCTGCTGCTGCTACAATAAAGATTGTGCAATGCCCATATATTTAATTGGACTGCAGTCTTCTTATTTGTATCCTTTCCCCCATTTTGTTGCAGGCCTCTAGTTGAGAGTGGGAAGAATCCTCAGAAGTACATTAGGTACACAGCTGAGGATCTGGAAAGAATGTTGGCCGAATTTTTCGAGGGGAAGACCTTGAATGAACCCAGGCGGTAAAGCTCGATACCCTCTTGAAAATCGGGCACATACGTAAGGGATCTCTTGATCTAGTAGTACACTCAACACACTTTCTTTGGTGTGTTTAGTCGTCATGTTCCTTCACCATTGTAGTGGTAGTACCTTTGTTTTGATGATGGTGTTATGAGGGGATCTTGTGTATCTGTGTACCATTTGTAAAGGCTGTGAATAAAAATGTATTCTTTCTATCTGATTTTAAGAGAAATAAGGACTACTTTTGCCCTAACTTGTGCTATTGGCCAAGAGTACTTTTGTAATGAAACAATAGAGCTGCAGCTCTTTCCAATTTCCAAATTATTTGCTCTGCCATTGCCTCATCTTTTTTCTCCAGCAAGATCAATATTGCCACCATTTCTGATCCCAGATGTTTTACTTCCAAGAACTTTGGCTATGAATGAGGTTTCCTTCCCCATTTTCCGAACCAAGAATTAATAAATATATTAAAACAAAATGACAAAATGGGATTTCACTGTAGCTTTTTTTTTGGTGAATTTTTTGCTTGTTTTGGTTTTTATTCTGTTGTCTCACTTCTATTTTGGTCTGTAAAGGTTTTTTTTTTTTTTTTTTGGTCCATGTGTTTTGATTTTTCAAAGTTTAAAATTATTGTTATTGTGCTCATTTTTTATTCTTGTTTTTTTAATTTTCCTTGCAATATTTTATTGAATTATTAAAAATTTTTATTTTTCTTAAGGTTTTTTTTTTTTTTTTTTGGCTTTTAGCTAAAGTTTTTTTTTATATATATATATTTTTTGGGTCTCTGTTATTTAATTTTTATTTTATTTTATTTTGATCATTGAAGTTTTGTTATTTGTGATTTTTACCTTTACCTTATGCGCATTGGGCTTTTTGTTTTTGCTGTTCTTATGCTTTTTTTTTTTTTTTGAACTTTTAGTGAAAAATTTCTTTTTATTTCGGTCTGTATTCTTTTATTTTTATTTTGTTTTGATCATTAAAATTTTATTGTTTTGTAAGTATATAAAATCTCTACTATTTGGTATTGCATCAAATTAAAAGAGTGCCTTTTAGGTGCTTTTGTTTATCTCGATATATATATATATATATATAATAAAAAATATTTAATAAGTTTGATCATATCAAAACAAACAAATTATTGATAAAAAAATAGATAATGAAAAATATAACTATTCAAAATTTAAAAAACTACCACATTATTATTTAATTGTTAGTTATTATACATGTTTCTAATAATTTTTTTTTGTTAAAACAACAATTAATTAGTAATATTATATTACTCAACTTTATAATTTTTTTTTCATAAGTCCTTTTAAATAATTGTTTATCTATAACAACGGGCAAGATGCATATTAATTGATGACTAAAGTGCCATACTATCTTTGATTATTTTGAAGACACTTTTATTACAAATAATATGCATATTAGTTTTAATCTTGTTATTATTTTATTTTTTATGCATATTAGTTTATGACTAAAGTGCCATACTACCTTTAATTATTTTGAAGACACTTTTCTTTTTTCAATTACAAATAAGATTTTTCGTGACTTTATAATTGCAGCCTTGTCGTCTTGACTAGTGTAACATTTTAAAGAAACAAAAACTCATCGGAAGGAATTTTTTTTTTTCAATTTTTAATGGAGGCTGATTTTCTTATTAACTTTTTATTCGTTTTGATCCATATACTGTGATCTTACTTTTATTTTGGTCCTTAAATTATACTTTTATTTCGATTTTTCAAATTTTAAAGTTATTCTTATGGGACTCATTTAGTTGAGTGATAGTAATTTGCTGTCATTGACCTAGTAGTTACGAAAATGCACGACATGTTCATAGGAATTCGAAAGCTTTTTGGATCATTGCACTGGACTTGAAATCTGAATTTGAATCTGACACTATCAGAAACATTCTCAATATTATACATAAATTCACTGTCAGATTTTGGATGGAACTACATTTCCATATTTTAGGAGATATGTAAGCCCTTGGTGGACCTAATGGTGTTACTTGCACGTGTCTTTATCACGAGATAGATAAAAATTTTGGTTTTTTTTATTTATTTTTATTTTTAAACTTAAATCTTGTATTCTTTGAATTTTTTTAATTAAAACTCTTTTTTTTTTTTTAGTTTGATTGAGACTTTTTATTTTTTAAAATTTTATGTTATAACATCATCAATCGAGTAATCGATATTTTTTCAATATTTCTTAATTAACAATGTTATATGTTGATTACTGATTGATGTCGTTATAACAAAGAATGTGAAATGGAAAGTTTCGAAGAGTAGAGTAGATGATCTCAATTAAGTAAAAAAATGATAGAGGATTTGAATAAAAAAATTCAAAAAATACGTAGTCATAAAAGTTTCTGTTGTAGCTGATAGAAATATTGGAACTGGTTGAACTGAAATCATTGAAAATTGAATCCTCTAGTTTGTATTAAAAAATAAAAAAAGTTTACATACTCACTTAGATGTTCATGGCTTATAATGATCGGAACTAGCCTTCAGTTCAGGACTTGAAGTAACTGAGCCACAGTTCGCATGGTTGGACGAGATTGAGGATCGGCAGATATACATGAACGTGCAAGATTTAAGATACAGAACAATGCGTTCGGAACCTTTTGTCCTGTGGGAGGGGAGAGACGCGGATCTGTTACATCTTCTAAGTTGATGATTCCTTCATTAGCAGAAGATTGTAGGTAGGATATGAGTTCCCCTGGATGCTTTCCCATCAGAACTTCTAATGCCAATACCCTAAAACTAAAAACATCACATTTCTCGTTCACCACCGCTGTGTAAGCAAGCTCTGCAACAATCAACACTTGTAAGGATCATGAAATTTTATCACTCTTTCAGCTAGCAAATATTGGATTTTCTCCCCATTTGGATCCTTTATTCTTTGACTTATTTATTTATTTATTTTTTAACACTTGTAAGGATCTGTTACAACCGCTATCTTTTTTGCCCAGTCCAGCTCCCTGGCTCCTTCTTCATCCCTCAGCATACCGGCCAGACTTCCTCTCTCTAAAAACTCATAAATAAAAAAATGGTGCCTTCCTTGAGAGCAAAATACTTAGAGTTTCACTATGTTTCGATGGCGTGATTCCAATAAAGCTGCTATCTCGTCGCTAAAACTTTTTACTGCCTCAATCTCTCTGTCTTGAACCAGAGAACCATTAAGCTTTTTTGCAACGAACACTTGACCACCTGGGATTTCCACTTTATAAACCTTTCCAGTTCCTCCCACTCCACTTTATACACAATTCTCCCATCAAAACACCATATCAAGAATGGGTTTTCCCTCCTCGATCTGTTTTCATGTGTTGACATGTTTCTGGACTTCCTCCGATGGCAGCAAATTGCAGTAAATCCAACAAAGCCAAGGGAAACGAACAGTGCACTTGATATCAAAGCAACAAAAATTACTAATTTGTTTTTCTTATTTCCCCAACCTTTTCCATTGGTTGCAGTGCAGCTCTGCAAGATCTCAAACCTTGTACCTCACCGCACAAGTCTTTATTGTTAGCATAGGAATTCGGCTCGACCGAATGAAAGATTTTGCTGTCAGGAAGTGGACCCTCTAAATTGTTATATGAAAAGTCGACAGCAACCAAGCTAACCATGTTGCTGAGAGAAGCAGGAATTGAAAAGTAAGATTGTTGTGGGATAAGTCGAGCTGTGCTAAACTCGTCAGCTTCGCCAGCTCTGAAGGTATCTCTCCAGAGAGCAAATTATAGCTCAAATGTAGTAAGTCATGTAAGCTTACAAGATTCCCAATTTGACGGGGGATTGTCCCACTCAAGTTATTCTTTCCCAAGCGTAAGAGTTGAAGTCTAGAACATCCCCCTATTTGATATGGAATTGGCCCACTTAGCATGTTCATGGAGAGATCTAGATACCCCAATTTGGACAGCTCTCTAATCTCCACGGGCACCCCACCTGAAAGCATGTTATCTTTCAGGTTTAGAACATACAAATTGGACAAATTTCCAATTTGTGCTGGTATCTCTCCAGAAATTCTATTAGACGAGATGTCAAGCACTGCAAGCTTGTTCAGCTGAACAATCTCATCAGGGATTTTGCCACCGAGCAAATTCCCAGCAATTCTCAGAACTGTCAGTTTTTGGCATTCTCCCCATTTTGTTGAGAGCTCACCTTTTAACTTATTGAAGCTTAGGTCAATATAACTGAGGTTTGGATATATTCCAAAATCTTGGTCGACAGTTCCCATCAGTTGGTTTCCCTCAAGCCTAAGCCTATACAAGGTACTGCAATTGTTTAGGCTTGCTGGGATTGGACCGAAGTAATTGTTAAAGGCTGCACTAAAGTTGACTAGCTTTCCATTTTGGCATACTTTTGGCAATTGGCCTGTGAAATTATTGAAGGACAAGTGTAAAACAGCTAGAGATGAAAGATTGCCTAATTCTTCAGGCACAAATCCAGACAATTGGTTCGTGAACAAGAGCAAGTCTGTTAACTTGCTCAAAGTGCGTATACTGGGTGGGATGTTTCCCGAAAGAAGATTATTGCAAAGGCGAAGAATGGTCAACTCACTCAAGTTACCTAAAGATGAAGGGATAGGTCCATAAAAACGATTCTCATCTAGATCTACAAGAGACAAATGTTTACAGTTTCCAATTTCTTGTGGAATTTGACCACCAATTCCATTAGTTCGGAGAAGGAAATTTTTTAGGCTAACAAGGCCGCCAGCTTGTTTGTTGGCTGTTCCATCAGGGAATAAGCGTGGGTCTAGTGTACATATCAATCAACACTACTTTGCTGCATTTGTCACACAAGTAACATTAAAAATATTCAAGTTTTGATTCTCCAGTAGGAATTCCAAAGGGTTTTTCTATATTTTGAACATGTACTTTTTGAATTTTTTTTAATTATGATACTTTATTTTTAAAATTTTTTTATTTCAAATTTTTTGTTATAATTCTACTAATTAGTGATGGACATGTGACATCATAAAGTAATAAATTTCAAAAAAGAAGACGATATGTGATCAATATTATAAAAGATGGTTTAAATTAAAAAATCTCAAAAAATATAAAGTTTTAATCAAATTAAAAAAGAATGGAGAGTTTTAATAAGAAAAATTCAAAGAATACAGAGTCTTGGGGAAAACTGGAATTCTAAACTATGAAATGGGTTTAGTATCCGAATGGAAGTGAATAAATGAAACTGGATTAAATTAGACTATAAATAATATTAGATTAGAAAAATACGTATTCTTGCCATGTTTGGAGTAGTACTGCACGTGACAAAGAGTGGCAAAGTTTTTTCAAAAATTCATTTTGGGCATTTAATTTTTTAATAATTTATTTTAGTACTTATATTTTATTTTTATGATATTTTAATCTTTATTTATCTTGTTTGTCTTCTAATTTTTTGGAATGTGCAATTTAGTCCTGAATCCGATTTTTTTTTTCAATTAAGCTCTTGATTTTGCTAATTTGAATTAAATGCCATATACAATTAAGAATTTTTTTTTTTTTTTTGGGTTTAGAATTGACACCCACTAATTAATACTTGGATCCACCCTTACTATGGGCATGGCTCTTTCTTGCTTCTCAAAATAATAAATTCATCGAGTAAATTATAAAGTAGTCCCTTTAATTTTAAAAAATGAAGTAATTAGTCTATTTTATTTTAAAAACTAAATTATTTAGTCTCTTAAAAAGCTGTGACATAGAATATTATTTTTTTTCAATTTTTTTTATCATCAATATTTCATATTTTTTATTTCTTAAAAAAATCAAAATAAAATAAAAAGAATGAAAATGATTAAATTACAACAAAAATTAAAAATATCGGGACAAGATAATTATTTTTTGAAAAAAATATTAATTAATTTTTTCTTAAAAATACAAGAATAATTTATAATTTACTCTAATTTCATATCTTTTGAAAAAAAAATCAAGTATTTATCCCAAAAATATATTTCCATTTAACAGCATGGGCCAAGCCTAATCACACAGGCCCTAAACTAAGAGTTTGAAGCCCAAGCCTTACCATAAATGGACTTTAGATACAAAAAAGCTCTAAACTTGTTTGGTAACAGCCATTGTTGTTTCCCTATCCAATGTATCGAGGGATTATCTATTCCATTGAGTCCAAACTCCCTCCTTCAGAGAATTCAACTGGCCGCCAAAAAGGAAAAACCAAATGAACCAGGTTTTGCCACGTGGTGCAAATTTAGCCAAGACAGACATTCTTGAAATACCGTTATTTGTTTGTTCGTTTGTGTTCGCTAATTCTTCTTAATAAAGGTCCTCACTTTCCCACTCTTTCTATCACCAATTCTTGTTTGGTTTCTTAGAAAATTGCCATGAAGAATAATATCTCTCCAAAGGGTATGTAAATGTTAAACTTTCTTGCTGAATCTTTTTTCATGTTTGATTTGGTTTTAAGGGTTTTTTTTTCCTTAAAATTTTTTTCTTGATCACTGCTGATCATTGGCTTTGAAAAATATTTGTGGGTTTTGCAGATAAGGAAGATGAGACAAGGGAATGTTGTACCAAGGAATCATGTGATTACAAGCCAAGAAAACCTGTTTCTGATTTCATAATCCCTCACATTCTCAATCTGTGAGTTCTTTTTCGCTATTAATTCCATTTGTTTTAATGCTCTTTGTTTTAAATTTATTCGTCAGAGATTCAAGATTATGTACAGCTTTTTGACGATGTCTTAAATTTCGTATCCGAGGTTGAGAATTGATGGCTGAATTTATTGTCATTAAAGTTTTTTTTTTTTTTTTATAAAAAAAAAACGAGGTTTTTGTTCTTATGGTAAAGAGGGTGTACGTGCTCCCTTCTTGTCTCTTTTCATGACGTGGATAGACTGACGTTGACCAGCGATAGATACAATTGTTATTAAAGTTTTTCAATTACCATTTGGCCTAGTAGAGGTATTGTTGTGAAGTTCAATTTCGTAGTTATTGTAATGGTGACATTCAGGCAGACAGAATTGGTATCGGTTATGGTTATGGTTCATATTTTCATTCAATCTTATGCATTCTGAAGCCATCGGAGGTAGGGATAGAAATTAGGCTATCCTTGATGATGGATGTTCGGATGATGTAAAGTTCTGTTCTTGATAAAGATTAATCTCTACGAATCACTTCAAGATGTTCATTGAAGTTCTTTAATTGATTGTTTCAGATATGGGGCTTCTCCCACAGCTCGTGACTTTGAAATCTATGCTCCAAATGCTTCCTTTGAAGATCCGCTCATGTGTGCTCATGGGTATGTAAATGTTGATGCTTAGAAATGTTTTGCTAGAAAAGTGAGCCATAGACTTACTGATTTTAAACTTAAAACACACTGCATATCACAGAGACTGTTTGCAATTACGAAACTGGAACAGTCAAGTGAAATCCAATACATGAAATAATTTGGACAGCATCGTTGTGGTAAAGGCCGTAATGATAGAGGAATCATTACCGCTAGGCACATAGGGGAGGTCGTAAACGTCTATGCTGTAAAATCAATTTACGACAGAATGAAAAAATACATATATGGTAGAATTGTAACTGTAGAATACGAGCTTTGTCTCATCCATTACGGGGATGGTGAGAAGAGATATATTTTATAAGCAGAGTTCGGTAGTGATTATGAGTTAGAGATATAGTTTGCATATGCTACTGTATGATAGAGCTCTTCAAAATCATCAGCATTCTGCCGGGAGTGGACATTTATAAGTTTACGAAGTGAATGGACTTTCGTTGTTCCGGTTATCGATCAGAATCAGTATTTTGCTTCTTGTTTGAACCACAGAAATGTTGTCTAGTTTATTGATCCGAATCAGTATTTCGCTGCTTGTTTGAACCTGAGAAATGTTGTCTAGTTTATTGATCAGAATCAGTATTTTGCTTCTTGTTTGAACCAGAGAAATGTTGACTAGTTTATCGATTAGAATCAGTATTTTGCTGCTTGTTTGAACCAGAGAAATGTTGACTAGTTTATCGATTAGAATCAGTATTTTGCTGCTTGTTTGAACCAGAGAAATGTTGTGGAGATGAGTACCATGGCATTTTCTTCTTATGCTGATTTTATGATCCCACAGGGTGAAGCAGATCAAATCAGCATTCTATTCAATTTCTAAGGTACTTTACTTTTCCGTATCAGGAATTGTCTTCTTCTTATGTATAAATGCTACTGTTGAATCATGTATTACATTAAAAGAATTTTTATTTATTGTTTTTCAGGTTTTCAGCGAATCAAAAATTGTTGAATACAGTGTGAAAGAAACAGCAATGTCACCAACAAAGCAAGAGGTTCAAAAACTTGTTTTCGCAGTTTTTTCGAGGTTTCATTCCTGATATAGATAATTGAAGCTTTACATGTACATTTGCTTCAGATATTAATTGACAACAAGCAGCACTATAAGTTCCTGGGTAGAAATATAGACATGATATCACTCATTAAGCTATATGTCGAGGATGGGAAGGTTGTTCGTCATGAAGATTGGTATGCTCTACAGAACATGCCTGCGTAGAATTCTCTGTAATCTGGACTTACAGTAGTATAGTTGTGCTTATGTTAAATTCTGTATTACTTTGTGCAGGTGGAACAAGAAGCCAATTGGAAATAGAGAAACAATCAAGTTTCCACTACTGGGCCACGTTATGGAAACACTTCGCAGGGGTTCAATGCTTGCAACTCATGCTATGATGGGTTTCGGGAAGGACCCAACCACGTAAAGTTACTCTTAGAATCAAACAGATGCATCATGCTTTTCTTCTGCTCAATTGTGTTCATGTCTGTATTGATGTTCTGTTTCCTGCTAGCTATACATCATTGGTTGCTGTTCTGCTTTAAATTAGCATTACGAGTAGTAATCAGAAACTGCAAGTTTGTATTTGAGTATTGTATAATCATTATCGGCATTACATACAAACTCTATTTTGTTGGGGTAGAAAGTTGTATCGAGGAAATCACCATAGAGGAACAAGATTTGTAATCAAAGTGCAGGTTTCATTTGGTAATACATTAAATGTGATTCCTTTAATTATCATTTTCTTCTTTAATGATCTGGGATGGCTGCTTTATGCGAAAAAATTGGCTTTCCGACATGTTCTTTTCATATATCTTTCATATATCGCAAACACATAGTGTTAGCTTTTTCCCAACAAATTTAGCCAAAAATGGTGACTTACCGGTCACTGACTCATAGCAGGGCTAGGCAGCCACAATAACATAGAGGGGAAAGAAAGGAAGTAGAGCATGAGAGGAAGCTATGATGTTTGCATATCAGATTGATTGCAGCATACTAGAAACATACAGATTGCAGGAATACCTGTGCAAACAACCAAATTAACCTCTCGTAAACTTGTTTCGATATTAGTGATGGATCGACAAATGTGAGACTCGAGCTTGAGACATGTACTTTTTACTTAAACCTTCAACATTTTCCAGTCAAATTCTGTCATCATATCTTGTTTGCGGATCTAGAGAACACCTTTAGGCTTTACCCTTGATTTCCATGTATGATCTTGTCATTTCCAAAAATGTTTTTCTTTTGGTCGAATCTCGATATGCTAGACGGTAGATGTGTTTTTTCCTGTCCATTGCTGCTTTATATGTGTTTAATTTTTCCTTCAGATAACATGCAAATACCTTGCTATTAGTGCCTGTCCTTAATTTGGATTACTGCTGATATGGTTGAATCTCTTGTGAGGAGAGCGTCTAGGACACAGAATTGGACTACATCTACAATTTATTAGGCAATATCTTTATTCTTTAAGGGTTAAGTTGATCTCTATGATCTCCCCAAGATGCTCAAAGACAAAATCAAACAATGATTGAAAGCAAAAACATATCGAATATCCAATATCATATCTAACATTCTCTCGTTAAATTTCACGCCGGAGCCTCTTTTTGACTGGTCTTTCACGCTGCTTTGCCTTTGAGATTTATTTATAACTACAGTACCCCACAACAAGCCTAGTTGCTCTCTTTCTTTCCATTATCATATGAGAATGATGGTTGAAGGATCCAAGACTAGTGTTCTTCAGGTATAGCCGCAGTTAAGGAGAGAGTGAAAGGTAGAGATGATTCTATGACAAAGCTTTTTCTTTGTCGGATCTCAATTATAGACTTGTTATTGGAGTTTCAGATCCAAGAATTCCCTTACTTTCATGCAAGAATTCTCTCATACTAGAAAGAAGGAGCTTTATGCAGATGGTGACCTTAAATAAGAACAACCATTCTTAGCCAGCTCTGGCTTTCTTTTCCCAAAGACTGCTAAAGTATAAGGTGTGGAAACTTTGTCTCCATGCCATTCTTTTTGGCAAAGGCCTGGCTCCACTCTCTCGCTAAAAATCTAAAGTTTGAGGTGTGGAAGCTGTCTTGGATGAGAGCAGTACTAATGCCTTCTTTGAAAACAGTGTGCATTTTGAATACTTTTTGCCCTAACGACCCCTAAAAAGAATAAAAACTAGTGGGTTCGTGCTTTTGTATTTCTTTTTCCCATTACTTTGTATCCCTTGTTATGATTTTCAGTTCATATTGTTCTAAGATTATATCAGGATAACGGCTAGTATAATTCATCTCACCAAAAAGAAAAAGAACCTTTTGGCCTTTATTTCGTGGCAATGATTTAGGTGTTTGTAGTACAACTACATCAACCTAATAATTAGGTGATAAAACTTGAAGTAAAATATGAAACCATTAAGGCCATGCAGCCCTGCCCCACCTCATCATACCATTATGAGCATGAAACAAGCTAACAACAATTTTGTAATTAGCCATAATTATTTTTCTTAATGATATCAGATTTGGTTTAAAAAATAATCTAGTTGTCTATCAATGACTAGACGTGTTTTTGTGCTGGCCTAGTCTGGTGAATAATGGATTGGGCATTGTGAATCCCACATATACCCTACTCCATATATACCTAAAAAAAAAAAAAACCAACCTCGTGATTAGTTATACCTTGATTAAGACCTAAATGATATTGAACTTTTTACCGATACTTAGGTTAAGACTTGAAGAATATCACTGTCTTGGTAAAGATTAATCAACTTTAGATGAGTGCTGGAATGGGTATATATATATATATATATATATATATTGGATGCTACAATGTCAAAAGATTCTGCCGCTAAACCAAGCAACAGCTGCACGAATTTGAATTGCGGCAGCCACTGAAGTGGACTAAAGTTGAGTTTGGAAAACATTTGACTAATTAAGTTTGAGTTGATCATCATCTGTCTATTTTGTCTAAGAGAATGTTTTCTGCATGTCGGATCGATAAACATGAATAGCAGTAGATTAAGGGCGTCTGAGAAGACGAAAAGGTAGCGTAGAAAATGGAAGAAAAGAATCATCTCCTCAGGAAGAAAACAGACCAAAAAATCAACATTTCCGAAACATGTTTGTTATAGTTCTCAAAACTCATCTAGGGCTTGATATGTAGTTGATTATAAGAGTGCAAACATGATAGGTGCAGTAAAAACATGTCTAAATTTGTTTCTTTAAAGATTTACAAACAATCAAAAGCAAAAATGGAAGAATTAGGATGTGTTTGAAGCTTATAGGTGTTGGTCACAGACTCGTAAGACAATGTGCCGGCAGGCTACACAAGCTTTTCTATTATAGTGTGATATATATAAAACAGATGTTACTATTGAAGGTGGGATAGACCAGCCCTTTCAATGTCTGAGTAACCATTTGATGACACATAGTTAATAGAGGTGAATTAAAGGATCCATTTGTTTAATGTTTAGTAATATAGAATTTATTTTGTACTATACTTAGTCATCATTTTAAATAATAATAATCATTATCTTATATAATAATCATTATATAACAATTTTAAAACATTATGTTATTGTTATTTTAATATTATAATAAATCGTGATCTATTATAGTGATTGTTTTTTTAACTGTTTCATAACTATGTTCGGAATAGAAATATTAAAATGAACGCATGCAATGAATTTGAACGGAATTTGATATCATTCATTCCTATGACTTCTTCCTCAAGTCTTTTAATCATTCATCCCTTAATGGGAGCAAAGCTCGAGGTCTTGTCTTCAAGTGACAAAGGCTACCCATTACCATAAACTTAGCGGATTAGTTCTTACAAACTTAAGGGGCTGCGGTTGAATAAGGATTGGTTTCAGCCTAGTTACTATGAGACAATATACATTAAATTCTACTAATCTTTTTGTTGGGTATTTTCTTTTTCTCTTTTCCTCTGTTATCCTTTCTTCTTTTGTCTTGCTTAAGTAAGAACATGACAGTTGGAGATGAGTAAAGCTAGGTGAATCTCATAATTTGGAACTAAGCCATTGCTTTCTTCATTTGATTTTATGTTCTAGAGAATACAAAAGAACTGCCTGAAAAGCATTGGCTTACTACTTTTTGTATTTTCTTAGCGAAGGATAGATAGTACTCATGCTAATTAAGATGGCAAGATCCTCTGGGAGGTGTAAAGAGCTTATATTTATGGTTTCTTGTAAGTAGAGGAAGGGATAGAGCTTTCTGAAAGATGAAACTTATTCCTCTTTTTGTCTTCAAAATGATGCCTTTGAACAAAATCTTTAATTTGTTTGAACACCATGCAAGAACCAAAATCTAAACCTAGCCACACTCCTCCTCTTTTTGGTGCTTCTTACCACCTGATAGGGTGGCTTGGACCACTCATTTCAAGCTACCTAGTTACTGGTTGCTACACTAGCATGCATGTGAGATATTCTGCAGAATAAACTCAAAAAAACGTAGATTAATCAGTCAGCTGAATATGTTGGAACTAGAGAAAAGGAAGTCTCTTCGTAGACATCCATTAAAATCGGGACGATACTGAGAAGATTTAGCATGGCCTCTCCACAAAGATGATACGCACAAATCGAGAAATGATTCAATTTTTTTTCTCCATAAAATAAAAGAACCAGAGAAAAGGAAAGACAAAAACAAATTTTGATTTGAATGGTGAAGAGCTGACAAGGTCCCATGTTTGTACTTCAGGTATAGCTTATAAATTAATAATTATTACCATATACATAAACTAATGTACTTGCAAATTCTTCAAACATGTTCCCCATTATGTTCATGGCTTCAATTTTAAAGTCATAAAAAGATGATCTTCCTTTCTGTGATTCTAAAGTGAAAACTTCTTTATGGTCTAAAGATTAGATGCTTCTTGTTTTTATGCTGATCCTCTTTTTGGGTCGTTGATCATTCCCTCCTTATCTTTTTCAAAGACTAGAATGTTAGGTTTTTATAGACCAACGAAACAAATAGTGATAATGTGAGCAGTTGCCCACTAATCTAAAAGTCTAGTGTTCACTTTTTATAATTGGTTATGGAAGATTTTTCTTCATATATATATATATATATATATATATATATATATTGCTCGTTTCCCTTCCAAAGTAGCCACTCCTTTGCATAACCATGAAGTTATGGATCTCACCTTTTTTATTTTCAACAATTTTTCAATGCTGGCCAAGGGGTTTTTTTTTTTTAATGAAAACCAATTAGATTAAAACAGGAGTCATTTAGTAGATTTCAGAATAGAAATAAAGGATTATAGCCAAAAATAAGATAACTTTTTTTCTATCCACTTCATATTTATCCAAACTATTTGCAACTATATTACCATCTTTAAGATAAATTTTAATGACGATGTTTATTATTTGTTTCAACTTAAAGAGTCTTAAAAGTATTAGGGCAAGTTGAGAGATATATAATATAAATTTGCATGGAAGATTGTCTAACTAGGGCAAAAGAAATGAAATCTTAGAGAAAAACCATGATTAGAAATGCAGTAATCTATTACATGTAACAGCAAGGAAAAAAAAAAAGAAAAGAGAAGAAAAACAGATAAATATACAGCAAAACCTTACTTAGCTAATTAAGTGCCTAAATCCTGTCAACTCCCCCTCCATATAAGATCAGAAAAGAATTTTTCTTTTTCCCCTTAGTTAGTTTAATCTTTCTTTCCCCACATAAATCCACAAAAAAAAAAAAAAGGAAAAATTCCTTCAATATTAAAGATCTAACAAATATACCCTCTCCTATCTTAATTCTTGAATTTTGAAAATAACCTGCCTATCCACATATTCTAAAAACCCATTTTCTGAGAGTGAATATTGATCATCTGCTTTATCACCTTCAATGGAAATATTCAAGTCAAGTGAAAGAACTGGACTTTTCTCTTCCATGGCATCCTCATCTTCCTTGTCTTGATGATCACCAGTTTTTTGCCTTCTTGGAGGTGAACATGCTCTGGACACTGAACTGAAGCTTTCACAACTGAAAATAATAATGGCATCCTTAAAAGGAACCTTTTCACCATCAGGAAGTGTTACATTTCCATTTTCAATGGCTTGCTTGATACCCTTTTGAGAAAAGTTGTCAACTTGATCCACATCTTCCATGAAGAACACGCGATGAGGATTCTCGTTCAAAGATAGGGCAAGTCTCTCGAGATAACTGCAACCCAATTCATCTCTGGCTCTCTTGTTTTTGGATTCTTCAATAGAATCAGCTCTCGGTGATGAGAAATTCCTTAAACCAATTGAGACAAAGTTGCTTTGGGAGCCAAAAACTAGTCTAGCTAGCTCCCTTGCAGCCTTCTCTTTTCCTTCAAAATCAACACCTAAGAAAAACAGCCAAGTTTCTGCTTTGTCTTCTATGTGATTCAACTTCCCTTTCCTTTTCCTCATTCCTGACCTGCACTCAAGGATAGTGGTTGCAATTTCAGGAATGATATCCTTCTGCCATGGTACCTTTTTCTCCAAGCCACTACGTAGATTCTTCAAGTTGTAGTCATTGAACTCATTAAAGCTTTGAACACCTTCCATACCATCCATTGCCTCACTTGAAGAAGCTGAATTTGGACTAGAGTTGGGATTTGACAGAAGGTCAGGTTTATGATCATTTCTCAGATTGCTTTCATAGCCTTCATTGCTGCATTCTGAAATCCAAATCTGGTTCTCTTTAGCAAACTGTTTATGTTCAAAAATCACTGGCCAGCTTAGGTGTGTCTGCTGTGAATCTGTGTTTTGCTCATGCGAGGAAACTGAACTCGGCGAAGGAGGAGACGAAGCGAATTTGATGGTTTTCTCGGGATAGTAGGATTGCTTGTGGACTGAACCAAAAAGAGAGCTCCCTTTATTGCGTAGATATTCCTGCAAAAGAAGTTACAAATTGCCAGGAGTGTTAATTTAAGTACAGCCATTGTAGCCAAGATTTACAGTAACCTTTGAAGTTCAGGTAGAAGAAGCACCTTATCATTGCTGGTGTTTCTTTCAGTTTCTTCTTTGCACTGCTGGAGCCATAAGGGCAAGCTTGAATTGTTGGAAATCGTGATGCTAGAAGTGGATTCCTTATTTTGGGTCCTACCCCTACCTGCTAGGCTTTGAGCTTCTCTGTTGAAGTTGACAGGGTGATCTGTCCAGCAAGTTGAGTGGTTGCCAACTCCAGATTCAAGCAGTGGCCAACTGGACCCATTCAAAGATGCCTTGCTTCTGGATTGATGAGATTGCGAATCACTGAAGAGCGTAAAGCACAGAAGGATTAATACAAGTGACAGGCATGTTGAGGGCATAGAATAAAGCAGATGAACTTGAAATAATATTAAGGACTTACCTGTCAAGTTTGAGGCTCAGGCTTAGGCTCCCAACTGGAATTGTTACAGGATAAAGTTCCCACATGGTCTCCAAAGAAGGGTGCCCTGCTTTACACTTCATGTACGTTTGGAAAGTTGCGATTCCTATAAGCCAGAACCTTCCTGTTTCACTGAATCCATGAACTAATCTTTTGAGCTCCATGATTATGTGATCTACTGTGCAGTAGTAGCTTCTCCTTTGCTCACCATAGCTTGACCAAAAATCAGAAATCCATTTGAGATCACCCAGATATAGAACAACCCCATTACTCATATAGCTCTTCACAATGCACCTAAGCTCCACAAGCTTCTGTTCAAGCTCTTCTTTGGAAAGACTTCTTAAAGACAAGAGAGGAAGGCTTATGAACCTCACAGACCTCAAATCCCCAGAAGCCTCTCCTCTCTCAAACTTGTCCTTCACTCCCCTAACTACACTATCAGCAGTAGCCATACACTCTCCTGTGATGACAGTGTTTCTCTTTTTGCTCACCAATGTGTTGAAGACACTCATTACATCATCATTCCTTACTTGATCTAATAATGGCTTGCTATGTAAGATTCCAAAATGACTAAAAGGTGAAGATTGAGACGCACTGGCACTAAGAGCTTGAGGTTTGATGATTTCTTTAGACTGACTGCTGACAGTAACAGAACTTTGAGGACAAATCTCCAAAGAAACAGCTTGTTCTACCCTGTTTTTCACTTGAGTACTAGAAAAACCAGCCTCCCTCATGACTCTACTAACACTAGGATCATCTAGGATAGAGATAATGAGTTGCTCTATCTCAATTTTCAAAGCCAAAATGGGCTGTTGCTGGTTTTCGATGGAGCCTCGCCGTTGGTGAGCCTGAGCACGCTTAAAGGCCGCAACCAAGGCATTGGAGAGTGAAGGGTAGGACGAGTGAGGCCCTAATAGGGCACTAGATGTGGATGCTGGGAGGCGATTAAGCGCCACGTTGAAGCAAAGCTCTAAGGCCTTGCATTGAAGAGGATGAGAGTGGGATTGAAGGCAAGCCCTTCTGAGAAGACCAGTAGAAGAAGCGAACATAGTACTTGCTACGTGAAGAGGAGTGACTTGAGCATGGCCTCTCCTCCTAGCAAGCCCAACTGCTTGTTTTACTAAACTTACAGCCTCAGGAGTAAGAGTCTGCTGCATACTGCAAATTCCAGCTCTCATCTTTCTCTAGTTTCGAATATGATACAAAGTTTCAAGAGATGAAGGAAAACTAGATGATCATTCAAAGAGGAAAGGAATTCTTTTGGCAAACTATCAAGCTATAAGCTACCAATACGAGGAAGTAGCTATCTGCTGGTTTATATTTTGCTTGTAGAGGAAGAGTTGTGGCATGGTAGATATTATGGGATATGGGATTTGTGCTTTTCTTGCTAGTGAGGCAAATTTTAGTCTTTGTTTGCCAAAGTGGTTTGCATGTGATTTCCAACTTTCTCTCCCTCTCATCATATAAAGGTTTAGTGGATAAATATATAAAAAAAAGTTGGTGTCTCTCTACGTTGTGGCAGCTATAAATTATATCAACATTTTGCAAAGCACTAAGCTTTAAGGACTTTCAATCGAATAATCACTTTATTAATCTTTTATATATATATAATGACTGATGCATTATGTATTATTAGTATTTTTTATATATTTACATATAGTAGGATATTTTTGAATTAGTTTTTTGCGTCCATCAAATAAATTTATCATTTTATGAGTTAGATCAATGCCATATTATGTTAATATTTACAAATAATAAGATATTTTTTATTTGTTTTTACATCAATTGAATAAATTTATCACTTTATATGTTAGATAAATGTTATATAACATTTATCGATTTTAAAAACCGAAATCTTAGAACCTATCAATTTTATGATATAGTGCATGTACAGAAGAATAAGCCCAAAAGTAGAGGATGATAAAAGCAAAGAGAAAAAGAGAAAGGGCAAAGAAAAGGAAGGGCAAATCCACCAATACCAAGAAGGTGAAGAAAAGAAGTGAGGACTGGCTGTCTGTTTGAAGGGAATTGGGAACTGTACTGAGTTACTAGTGCTTTATTTTTACTTTGCTCTATTCTCGAAGAAGAGGAATAATGCCTTTGATGATTGAGTTAGATGTCCACAAACTTTTTAAAAACAATAACAAAAAAACAAAACAACATCAGATAAAACAGATTGTCTGAAATCTATGTAAAAAAAACATTCTTTCTCTCCCTCCCTCCCTCCCTCATGCCCATAAAGTTGGCTTTGATGAGACCTTTATTTCAAATCAAGTTTTCGCTGTTAGTACAATTCATGTATTTTCTTGCCATCAAATTCATAATATATTTGATGTACATTGGTTTTTTTCCTTTTGTCTTGGAATCTATTTGATCATGATGTTTATAACTAATTATTAGATAGATAGATCATGCCTCCCGTGATCATGTAGTAGCCATTCAATAATTAGCTAATCTCCAATTTTCTTCTTTTATGGGATGGACTGTTGTTTTTACAGTCTTATGCTTATCATATAGAACAGTAATGGATCGATACTTGTTGGAATCCTACCTATCTTTCACAACAATGTTGGATAAGGCTGATCAGTCAAAAAAGGTTTTCCATTCTATTTGCCACAATAGCATTAGACTATTCCTTTGAGGTTTCCCTAGATCACACTTGCACTACATATATTACACATAAGCAGAACCAAAGATAATTGCGATAAACAATCTTGATGATGAGGTCGTAAATTTCAAATCAATACCCAAAAATATTAAATTAATGATTTTTTTTAGCGATGACTTTAAAATCGTAGCTAAAGAAATGAAATGGTGATATTTTCAATTCGAAACTGTATTTTTGTCTTAACTTGTTTTTTAGCGACGGTTAAAAAACTATCGCTAATTTGATCAAATAAGATTGTATTTAATGACGATTTTTTAAAAACCATCACTAAATTAACGACGATATACAAAAATCATCACTAATTTTTTAGTGACGATTTTTTCAAACTCGTTTTTTACCGTCGTTAAAAAAATTTAGCAACGATTTAAACTATCACTAGATCTCTTTTTTTGATAGTGAATGATGACTTGTAATGAATAGTTTTATTTTGACTATTGTCTTTGTAAAGTATAATATGGTGGCCGGATGGAAATTGAGGTAGCTAGAGTATTTGTAAAACATATCTTTAAAATGGATTGAAAAACGTTTTGATTATTAAGTTAGTATATGTAAAAAGATGATAGTCTAAAATGATTGTAATGCAGTAATCTAATATATGAAAAAAAATGATAAATAGTATCTATAAATAGAAATGTTTAAGAGTTTTTGCTAGATTTTATAGAAAGACATCATTAAATTACTTGAAATAAAAGGTAAGATGATCTATTTTTTTATTATCGTCTATCACTAATTCAAGTTAAAGAATAAGTATTTTTTATATCGATTTATTTTTATTGAGTGAATATAATTATGTCATAATTGTTGTTGTGGATTAGTCAAAAATAAATCTAAAAGTGTGCCTTCATTATATATGCATGCATGCTGAGGAATAGTAAGTAAGTTGTGATGACCTAAACAAAAAAATAGTCAAGAGGCTAGTGAAATAAACGACAAGTTGGTCCAGAAGGGGGACAATCTGTTAAGATGAATCGAGACGACATGTCGTAAAATAGCAATAGCGAGTGCTGAGTAGGGACTTGCTGACTTAAGACCAGTCTACGTGAAGTAAAACGAAAAAAACGGTCAACATGTCAAATAATCTGCTAAGATAAATTCAAACTACTAGTCGGTGACATGTTGGTGAGAACGCTAAAAAGAAAAGAAGAAAGCTCAACTTACCCCTAAACTTAAAAATTTTATTTTAAGAGCCCGCTAAACTTCTAAGGCTCTTTTTTATCTCTAAACTATTCATTTGTACTAGTTAATGAGAAGGTTCGCTTCTTTTCTTTACTTTTTAAGTTGGAATCTTACAGATAAAAATTTATTAATTTTTTTAAATACTTCATATTGATGTAAGTGTGTGTTTTTAATTAAAATCATTTGTCAAAAAAATTAGTTTCGATGGACATATATACTAACTCAATAAGATTCTTACGGTCGAATAAAAAGATAAAATCTACTAAAAATCAAGAGAAATTGATAAAAATTCTATGTAATTCAAGCAAAATTGTTATAAAGTATTTTACAAGAATAATACAAAATAAAGTGAATCTAAAGTTAAGAAAGATGACATGAATTTTTTAGTGACATAAATTGGTGTCCAAAATTCTTGGATTGCATAAAATTTTCTTCTTCCTTTCTACTTATCTTCAATATTTTAAATAAAAATGAAACCTTTGAGGGATTTTTAAACACAGCTTTAAGTGTAGGGACTAAATTCAGAATATTTATAAATATAAGGGAGCACAGAGCTTAGAATTCCACAAATAAAACGCAAACCCATCTCAGTATCTGTTCCTTTCTATCTCGCAAATATCAAAACCATAGCTACCGAGTTTCAGATACTTCTTAATCTCTTCAAATTTATGCCTTTTTTCCTTAAAACTTCTATCTTTTTTTGTGAATTTGGTTTGAATTTCCAATTACTAAAATGGGTTTGAATTCTTGGATTGAATTGGGATCAAAGTTTGTTTCTTTTCATTGTTTGTCTATGAATTCTTTTCTTTTTTACCTTCAATTCTGGTATTGTGACTCTGTTATTAAGTTCTCTTTCTGTGTTAATATAACAAATTAATGCTAATGTGGGCTTAAACAGTATGAAAAAACAAGCTAAATATATATCAATTCAGGAACTTGTATCTATTAGTAATCTGCATCTGCCTAAAATGCATGCTGTTGAATATATTTGCTCAAGAATGATGTTTTTGAATCCTAATTTGTTATCTTCTTTGCGTCCCGTTATCATGTTTCAATTTGTATGGTTCTTCTGTGCCTGTTTAAACGAAGGGGTTTAGTTATAATGTAGTGTTCATTTGATTGTTTGTGTAATTTTCATTTTTGTTCAAGGAACTTTCACATGTTTATATATACATATAGATATGAAGATTGGCTTATTTATGTGTTCTGCATTTGCAGTTTAGGGTTGCGCTTGTACACACGATCCAAATGATTGGTTCCAAAGAAACTGACTGAGATGAGGAACATGAAGAGACTGATTGAGAAACTAGGTGCTGCAGAGGTAGTGACATCATCAGAATGATTTTGCTTCTGATATGTCTCAGGGACTTGTTTCCGAAGTGATGAAGATATTGGATGCGAAATACTGGGTATCAACAGTAAGGTGAATTAGTACGAGCAATTTGGCAGCTCACTTGAGATTGTTGTGGGATTTTACTTTTGAAGAGATATGGTTGCGTGGGGGGATTCATTGCTTGCGGTTAGATGTTAGTGAAGGATTCCCCATATGCAATAATAACTTAATCGAAATTTAAGAAGACTCTGAGTAAGTGCCAAGGAACTTTGCATTGGACAATGATCCCTGGACTTGATGTTGGCTGTGGAACTTGATGCTTCAATGAGGTGCTTCCTTACATGATTTCCATATTGATTAATGATAGATTTGAGGAGCAACTGATTTATGTTGCATAATTGTCATTTTAGGAGGTCAATTTAGCTTCTTCTTTTTTTATCAGAATACTTGTTTATTTTCCAATCTGTACTAGGTTTTGAACTGTAGCTATGTACGGCTGGATTCAACTTCCTTGTAGATTCCAGACCGTTGCCCTCCTTGACTTATTTGTGAACTTCTATTGTTATTGCCTCCGCGTTACTTAGTTTTGGTCCTTTATCTTTCATTTACATCTTATCTGAAAGGGAGATTGCTTGACTTGGAATGTGCTTTTATCTCTCTTACTATTTTTGTTTTCATGTTTCTCAGTACCTCGACCTCTTATTTTTTCACTTAAAACAAAGTAGGCACATAACATGAATGGATTGTAGGTTCAGAATATCAAAGATGAGTTAAAACTTATTCTTGGCTTATTAAGATGGTCTGAACTCTGAAGTTGGTTTTACTTATTTAAGAATTCGGCTTTTCATTGTATTGAAGACATGGAAATTTCTACAAAGCCTTGTATCACAGGAAATTTCTATCCAGTGTAACAAAAGAAGCAAAACTATGATAGCCTCCCTAGTCTAATCTGAAAAGGGCAAAGATGAAATCGGTAGTTTAGACAATCACAGGAATGGAGTAAGGTAAATTGCATATCAGTCAGGAGTTGAAGTTTGCAGGGACGGAGGATATAGTTATTACCATATTGAAATGTTGAGGTCCAATCATAACATAATTTGATGATCTTTAATGAATATGAAAGCTGGAGGAAGGGAGGAATTTGGAATGGTTTGCCATGCAAAATGATACTTGATTTAATGGAGCATCAGTAGAATCAGCAGATCTGAGGATGCTTACAAGGAATTTAGCTTTGGAAAAATGTCTTGAAATTTGGAGTGCTTTGCCATGCAAGAATTCTTGTTTGTTAAAACAACAGCAGGGAAATTCCTTGCTCTGGAGAATGTAATTCAGTTCTGGTTCTCTGCTTCAGTTTTTCCAATCTATAGTAACTAAAGATTTGCGGATTACTTCTGCTATGGGATGATATAGGTGATTTCACAGTTTTCCTTACCAGCTTGGCATATCTTTCCTTTGTTCAGAGTTTCTTTCTTCATCTTAAAAGGGATTCTTGTTCATTGAAACAACAGTGGAAAATTTTCTTCTTCTGGAAAATTAACCCATTTCTACTGCTCCACTTCACTTTCTCCATTCTTATGGCAACCCAAGATTTGCATATTACCTTTGCCATGAAAAGGGTAAGGGGAGACCACAGGATGTATCAGACTAGTCTCTTAAAAAGGCACAACTTTTTAATCTCAAGTCATTTGTATTTCTATCTATTTCCCTGACAACTCCATGTGGTTTTTTTTTTTTTTCCTTTTTTGATGAATAAAAAAATTTGGGGCAAATGTAACGTGTCTATAGACATCAAATTCTCCATCTTCTCTGTCTCAAGAGTCAAGAAGAAGCATGACAGAAATGATTCGATACTGTTTATACAACAGGCTAAATCTGACAGATGATCTCAAGGCACTGTATATAGGTTTAGCTAATAGTTGATAAAATGTATAGGTGACATTTTTTCAATGCATGGAATTGGGTTTGGGCATAAAATTGAAGATTAATCCAGTCCATCAATGACAGGTGCACCATTGTTGATAAGATTGCTTTCTTTTGAAGTTAATACTGTTCCACGACATGGCCGGCCTTTTGCGTAGATTGCTAAAATTGTGCAATGGCATGTGGAGCTCAGTTAATTAATGCTCGAAAGTGTCGTATAGGAACACTGAATCTCAGTCCCAATTTCATAGACTGATTTATGGTCGGTCAAACACGCCACTTTAGGTGGCTTCTTTATACCAAAATTCAGGGCAGAGGATGAGCAGATACGACAGCAGAACATATCTCAAAGAAGATCGTTCTACTACTAAGTATCTGTATCAAAAGTTAGATTAGCCATCTAGGTTATGTTTTCATGATTCACAGACAGAAATTAAACAAGAATGCAGAAGCTTCATATTCTAGTAGTTCTTGACATTTTCAAGAAGAGGAGAGCTTTCATGATCATCATAGTAATTAATATAAACAAAAAGAAGCTCTATAACTCATTTTGTTTTTCTTTAATCCTAATAATATACACAAAACTGATATAATGAAGCTAAGATCATACCATATGATCTTCCTCATCAATCTCATTAAGCTCTTTCAGAGAGCTTAAAGGAGATGGAGAAGAAAAGGAAGAAGAAACAGCAGAAGAAAAGGAAGTAGAATCAGAACGAGAAGCAGCTGCAATCCCAACAAGTAGATCCACAAATGCCCCAACTATATACCCATGATTTTTCTTCCCATTGACCTTCAAATACCACCCCAATAACTCCTCTAAACGATCCCAATCTTTAAGTCCATGAGACTCCACCATCTCCTCCATCGACCTTCTAAAATCAACATATGGATCTTCTGACTCCATTGCTAGTGCTACACTTTCTTTGAAAGGAAACCCTCCTGTTTTTGCCTCCTCTAGTATTGAGTTTGTGTCTCCTGGCTCAAAAAACAACCTTTCTGATCTCACCCCACGTACAACAACCTCCAACGACTCCCCGTCGAAGTCCTCTGACTCGGTTGAGAAGCTTGTAGTTTCTGATGAGTTTGTGAACCATGACTCTGGTGTTTCAACACCTTCAGAAGGATCAAAGAAGACAGAGTTTACAGTCTTGATCACATCATCTCCACCTTTGAAAGAAAGCGTCCTAGGGTCCTTGCATGAAGGCCATTTTTGCCATGGATGCTTCGTTTCTTTGCCCTTGAAGAGTGTAGGGATCTTCATTTTTTCTTGCTCACCTGATCTCAAACACTCTTTAAGGAGATAACTGTGCCTAGGCTTGAATGTTTTATCAGGATTTTTGAATGTCTGTTGCCCTTTTGGTTTGCTATTAATGTGATCAGAGGGAGTTGTGGAAGCGATATTTAAAGAAGAGGTGAAGAGGCGTAGGGGAAGATGGAAAGGAAATGGGACTGGTAGGGCCTGACATGTGAGTATTAAATTCTGAGTTGCATAATTTAATGTGAATATTAAATGTCTAGTCACAGCAACTGAACGTAACACAACTTTTGTCGACAAGAAATTTTATATTGTTGATCTAATTTTTCATGTTCACAAGCTGATAATAAATGGAGCTTCCCATGATTTGTTGATCTAATTTGGTCCCATAATTTTCCAATCCCTTTCTTAACCATTCTCTTCCAAGTTCCTACAACATTTCTGTTAAAAATACTGCATGAAAGATGTGTTGAGTATGGTCACTACTTAAATCCAAGGTAGTGTTATTGAAAGAACAGTCCACTAAATTTATTTTTAAAATAACAAATAAAAATTATCCTTTTAACAATACAACAGTCATTATTTGGGCCGTCACTTAACAATAACAACAATAATCATTATTTATTGTCATATAACGTTGTTATTATTACTTTTGTGTGAATCAAAATTATATTATATACAATAATAATAAAAAAAGATAACAGTTTTGGTTGATTATGTTAAATAATAATCCTTAAATTATATAACGACTATTATTTAAAACAGTGAGTATAACTCTTGAATTAGAATCCCAAATTAATGAAATGAAAAAAAATCTTTTTTTTAATTATTAAAAGTTAGAATATCTTGTTATTGTGCATCGATAATAAATTAACTTTTAGTATAGTTTTAAATAAATTATCCATATTGGTATTGAAACATTTTAAAAGAAAATTTCTTCCTTTCATGTTGTTTTAGACTCGAATCGAAAACCGTTAAACCATCTATTCAAAAAATTGAAAAAAAAAAAAAACTTCACGTCGAATAGAAAATTGGAAATTAATAATAAAATGCCTGCAACCCTGTTTTGATTATTACAGTAATCGAAAGAGACAGACACATTAGGAAATTTTAGAACTTCAAGTGGTAAATAAGATTGGAAACAATAAATTGGAATCGAAAAAATAAATAAAACATAGGCAAACTTCATGTGACTTGTTTTAAGAAACAACGGTTGAATGAGGCACACTTGTCCTTGCCAGTGGATTTATGAGGCAAGATTTGGGACCTTAAGACATAGACTCCTCATTTATTGGGCAGTAATACCTTTTTTTTTTCTTTTTTTTTTTGTCTTGCCCTACTCTACATCTGTCTGTTAATTAATGGCTCCAAAAAAACCTTCAAAAATCAAACCCTTTGTTCATAATTGGACAACTTTATGTGCAACATTTATTTATTGTTACTCTTTTATAATATTCAAACTTCATGCAAAGATCATCCTTCAAATTTTATATAGATGTACACAATTTCAGAATGACCTCACAAGCCAAGAAGTGAAATTCGGCTGTCCCTTCACTTACCCAAAATTGAATTAATGGAGCAAAATCGACAAAATCAAAATTGACTTGCCATTTGGAGTCATTTTGGAGGCACCATGTTTCTAAACATGATTAAAAAAAAAAAACCATAATAATGACGATTGGATTGTATTTGGTGAACAAATCAAATTGAATAAGATGAGATTAAACATCACACAACTAGACCACATCTTGGAAAAAAGAAATTTAGCTATAAGACGAGACATGGAAAATTTTATAATACTTAAGGAATAAGTAGTGTAAGTTATTCTATAAAGAGAGATAGACACAAAGGAAAAAGAGAAATAGAAGAGAGGAAATTAAAAAAAAAATGAGTTAAAGTGAAAATTTTCTTATCACTTTTCATTGATCCAATGTGATATATATATATATATTTGTTTCTCCTTTCAAAAATGACTTCATGAAGTAACTATTGTATTTATATACTAGTTATTCCTTAAATATTATAAAATTTTTCATAAAATATTATCTATCGTATTCTATTGTATGCTCGAATATAACGAAATTGTAAAAAAAAAAAAATTAAATCGTCAAAGATTAATTAACAATACTTCCTTTAAAAACTTATTTAAGAAGATATTCAATGACATGACGAGAAAAAAGTACTTTTATATCCACTAAAAATAATAAAAATATTTTTACTTAGGTTTTTCTCTCTTTTTCTCTCTCTTTGCTTTGCGTCTCACCCTCTTACAAAGTAAGTATTATCACTAGCTTCTTAAATACCATATAATTTTCTCGAAATTGTCTTACCCAGTCTAATCCTGTTGACAACACTACCTTAGTGATCACACCTGATCCACTAATCAATATTTGCAAGTAAGTATAGTTTTGATGCTAAACCCTAATGTTTATCCCATCTTATTGATCTTTGATGATGTGGTGGGACATTCAGCATTGTCTTCCTGCAACTTGTCAACTACTCAATCCAATGGACAAGATCGATCCATCAAATTGACTTGCTATCATCATCTTGATTTGGAGTAGCAAACCCTAGGACGTACCATGCATGCATCATGGCTTTTTCTTCAATGATAATACCATAAGAGATATTTTAATTTGTTCCCTGTTGGTACCAACGTTTGTACAGAATCCATGTGCATGGGGCCCTAATTACTGGCTCCTGTGGTACAAAAAACTCATTGAAACCCTGATGGGGTCCCTAGACCGTTAGCTCATCAAAATCATGAAAATGAAAATTCATGGAGAAAGCCAAAAAAAATTGGTGGAGCTAGTAGTCTTTTCTTATATGTTATAGGCAATTGTAATGCAGATGACCATTAACCATGTTTATGTCAATTTACTGATCAGTTGCAGAGAGTTTGGTGGTGTCGAAGGATATGTTTCCTAGTTATGGACAAAAACCCCATGTGGTGATCATAGTCTAGTACTGGAAGGTAAAAAACTTGGGACTTTTCAATTATAAATTGGGACTTGTAGATTGTTGAAATCTTTGCTTGCCTTTTGATTTTGTCTATTGTCGTGAAATGTTCTTCTTCTTTTTTAACCCATTTGATCTCTAGCTAGGAAGTTTTCCTTGATTTCAAAATTTGAAAAGAAACCACCATAATGGTTCACTTCTTTTTATATATAGTTTGCTAGTGACTCAGAAAAGAAATTTTTAAATTTATACATTCGATCGTTTAAAGAAAGGTGAATCCCTCTATAGTTTAAATTAAGAACGTGGTTGTAAAAACGATCATAATTGTAATTATGAATTACAATAATAAAATAATAATTACGATAATCGGTATATGTTATGAATACATTAATAATTATTAATATTTTTTTAATTAATATTTTTTTTAATAGTTTAATTAAGCATAATAATAATATCATAACAGTTTAATTATTTGACTGTATAAAAATTTGTATAATATATACATCCAAATGTGGAAAAAAAATTAGTAATGTTTTACATGTAGTGGTGATTTATTTAAAATCAATTTTTTAATAATAATATAACAAGTATTATTTATCAAATAACGTTAATAACGATTGTTATCATTATATAATGTTATTATTGTTATTATTTAGATGAAACCTTTTAAATTTTTTATAAGGTCATGTAATAAGAACATATAGATAAATTTTATAATACTCGAGGAGTAACTAGTGATATGTACGATAATTACTCTATATATCCACTTGAAAAAGAGAGATAGACACATAAAATTATATACGGATCCATTAAAAGTGATAAGAAGATTTTTATATTCGCTCAATTTTTTTAAAAAAATTTATCTCTTCTATTTCTCTTTTCTTTTTTTGTGTCCATCTCTCTTCTCTAAATGAATCTATAGAATAACTATTATATATATCACTAGTTATTCTTTACGTATTATAAAAATAACTATGGCTCTGTACACACACACATATATATATATATATATGTTGTCGTGACTTGTAACGGAACAAGAAGGAAATAAGAAAGGTGATAAGTTTCTTATAATCTATCCTATTTATTATTATTATTTTGTTTTTGGGGTGTGAAATAGCATTTCTCTGTCTTGTCAATGGATTGTTAGAGAATCCAATACGTTGATGAGAAACTTTTAGGGCTGTTTTGAAGAAATGTGAGGAATTTGCATGTTTTTGAAATTGGCTTATAACAATGAATCTATGTCAGTATTTTATACTGTATTCTTATATAAATATTACATGTTTTAAAATAATGAAATGTCACATTTTTCTTTCCAGTAGCATCCAGCACAAATGTTCATGTTCATGTACATGTCCATGTACATCCATTTCTTCTTTCTTCTAAAAAAAATGGTTTTCAATCTTTTGCTCGTGCGATTTGAATGATTCTTGTGTCGGAATCAGTATATCATTGTGTTCGTAATTATTGTGAGTTCTTGAAGAAGAAAAGGGTGTAATGAACTGGTTTGTCTCCTATCTACCAATGCAATATTATTGGCTTTAGGCATCTATATGGAAGCACATGCTAAGTTGACCCTCATTGTTGCATGTTTTTTCCTTCTTCTTCTTTTTAAGTCTTTAAAATGTGTTTAGTTTGTTTGATAATTAATAAGATTATGAAACATAACCACCCATCATTTTGTCCTATATATTTGTGAAATGTCATTCCACGTTATACTAGAAAATATTAATAAATACATTACATCCAAGATCATAGATGGAGTGATAAAAAGATTGTCACAAACTCACCAAGTCAGGAGTTTAATTCTCACCTTTAAAAAGCTCCTCATTTTCCTCTGTGTGACATGGGCAACTGGTGGGGATTAGTAATTTGGCACTGATCTAATCTAAAAACTGATAAATCTAATATTAATTGATGCAAAAACTAGTCTGAATGCATCTCTTTACTTATATATATATATATATATATATAAGTTAATAAATGCATTGAGATGAACATCTAATAATGTTACTATTTAATAAAGAAAAAGAATTTCAAAAAATAAA